CCCTTGTTGAAGGCCTTATGTATTCTTGGATTCAAGCATGAGAGAGAGAGAGAGCTGCAAAGTACAGGCAATGATCAGGTTATGAACAAGATAGATTCTGTAGATTTGTTCTTAAATGAATTTGTATGTAAGTCAGAACAGGCACATTTTAAAATGTAACTCCATAGAAAGATAGAAAGAATAGGAAAGTGTTAATGCCCCTATGAAGCGTATTTTGTGTTCTGTAACTCTATTCAGAAGATTTCACCTCGCTTTCTGCCCCTGTGAAAATAGGATTTTGAAAAATTTGGCTTGTTGTTGAAACAAGGATTGGTGAAAAAGCTTCAATTGAGACACCTTTTTCTTGTAATAACTCTTACAGGAGTGAAGTTCCCTTCCTAGGGGTAGATTTCCTCTCACTTCCTGTTGTCTCACTTCCATTCTTAACTATGAGTCATATGAAAGTCGTATGTAACTCGGAAACTGCCTAAACGTCTTTTATATATATATGCAGGCATCAAATTGTGCCTTGCTTTTGTAAGCCGCCCTGAGTCCCCTTCGGGGTGAGAAGGGCGGGGTAAAAGAACCCCAAATAAATAAATAAATAAATAGAGTTAGGTGAAGAGAAAACTCTTTCACTTATTACAAGTATAAGATACCTGATAAATGCAACATTTTTCATTTTAAAGAGTCCAACTGATTTCAAGTAATTCACATATTTCTTTTTTCTTTTACTTACTTGGACACAGCCTCTACCGAGAGTGAACTGAAGCAATGAGATATGCAAATCTTAGCAGTTTTTTAAAAAAAGTATTGTTAATTCCCTGCTTCTGATTTGAAAGAGGCCCTGCTGCCATAGGAATGCAGTTGGCTGCCAAGACACCTTCCCAAAATACCAGGCCACACTGGAATGTCAAAAGGACATGAGTCCCCATTGATTTTTATTACAAGGGGGCTGTCCAAACATATGCCAACCGGCAGGAGATAAACAAAGAAGGTTTCTGCTTTCCATATGTAGAAGTATGGTTCTACATACGGTTCTACCAGGGCAAATGCTAAACAAAACAAAGAAGAATGCCATTTATGCAATGAATGGGGATATTTACATATCAAACAAAACAATTCAGTCAAGTACAAGGCACTTTACATACTCATCCTGACTTATATTAGTAAGGACCCTTCCACACTGCCTCTTTATCCCAGGATTGGATCTGCTTATCCTAGGTTATTTGGCAGTGGGGACTCATATATTCCAGTTTAAAGCAGATAATCTGGGATCAGATGATGGGATGAGGAGCAGTGTAGAAGGGCCCTAAGTTTAAAAAAAAACCAAAAAACAAACTGTGAGAACACAGGACCATCAGTGCTAGTCCAGCATTAAAGTTTTGACCGAAACCAGCAAAGCGCTCCCGGGGAAACACAAACATTGGGAAGGTCATTACCATCCACTGTTGATTAGATTTTGCTGTTCAAGCACACTCGGCATTAACTTCCAATCCATCTAGATTCTTTGTCATTGCTGTAAATTCTCAAAAGCATATCTCACAGCCAAATACCTGCAGATTTCTTCTCAGTGGATTATACTGACAGCTATACGCTGTTGGTTCATTTGGTGCTGGGTGCATGCAAAACTTTCCAACCAAAGGTGACCCGAATGCAAGCCCATCTTTTGAGTTTTATTGGCAAAAGGGGTACTGCAGTGCAACCTGAGCCCTGCTACATGCACAATGGAGGACCTTCTTGCGGCAACACCAGAGGCACTCCAAGTGGCCAGATACTGGTCAAAGGACATTTAATCAACTACCAAGTTTGTTTTTTTAATCTGTTTGTTTGTTTTGTTCTGTTAGAAATGTAATACAATGGTCTGATTACCCCTGACACGATAAATTCCTTTATTTTCCAGATTCCCAGACTGGGCTACAACAACGCGTGGCAGGGGACGGCTAGTATAATAATAATAATTGGAAGCTTTTAAACAGATGGCCATCGGTCAGGGGTGCTTTGATTGTGCTTTTCCTGCATGACAGGGGGTTGGACTAGATGTTCCATATGGTGTTTTCCAACTCTTACAATTCTATGTATTGTCGAAGGCTTTCATGGCCGGAATCACTCAGTTCTTGTGGGTTTTTTCAGGCTATATGGCCATGTTCTAGAGGCATTTCTCCTGACGTTTCGCCTGCATCTATGGCAGGCTTCCTCAGAGGTCTTACAATTCTATGAGGCATATTGTTTTGAAATGTCAAGAAGGTAAATGCCAAGCTCATAGATATAATACCTCCAGAGTAACTTTCACTGATTGTGCGTGTGCTGATGTGTGTATATAAGCATCAAAGACATCTTCCCTTCCCATGCCATTATAAGAACTTCATATCATAGAATCATAGAATCAAAGAGTTGGAAGAGACCTCATGGGCCATCCAGTCCAACCCCCTGCCAAGAAGCAGGAAAATTGTATTCAAATCACCCCTGACAGATGGCCATCCAGCCTCTGTTTAAAAGCTTCCAAAGAAGAAGCCTCCACCACACTCCGGGGAAGAGAGTTCCACTGCTGAACAGCTCTCACAGTCAGGAAGTTCTTCCTCATGTTCAGATGGAATCTCCTTTCTTGTAGTTTGAAGCCATTGTTCCTTGTCCTAAACCTAATTTTTCGGTGGTGGCCCCTCAACTCTGGAACTCACTCCCTAGAGACACCAGACAGGCCCCAACTCTGGCAGTCTTCAGGAGGAGCTTGAAGACGTGGCTGTTCCAGTGTGCCTTCCCTGAATAATCATCCCATAGCATTTTGTCCTCCAAAGCACTTTACATTTCTTTAGGTCTGCCCGTATGCCCTTCCGCAAACACCTCTATCACCTTCTCGTCCATGCCCCAGCATTATTTCCAATTTTATCTCTACATTTGGCCTTCCCACTGTTTTTAATTGTGTGTTGTCTTATTGATAATGTTGTATATTTTATTGCTTATGTTTTATTTTAATTGCTTGTATTGCTGTTATTATTGCTTGTATGTTTGGGCTCGGCCTCATGTAAGCCACACCGAGTCCCTTGGGGAGATGGTAGCGGGGTACAAATAAAGTGTATTATTATTATTATTATTATTATTATTATTATTATTATAAAAGATCAGCAAACAGGCCTTTTTCCATTTACAACAAGCGAGGCAATTGGCACCCTACCTATCTGATGAGGCTCTGGCAACAGTCATCCATGCCACGGTCATGTCTAGGCTGGACTATTGCAACGCCCTGTATGTTGGCCTTCCGATGTCTACGACCCGAAAGCTCCGTATTGTCCAGAATGCGGCAGCCAGGCTGCTCACAAGAACACCCATGAAATGCCATATAATACCAGTGTTGCAGTATTTGCATTGGCTCCCAACTGATTACCGTGGTCTATATAAGATGCTAGTTCTGACCTTTAAGATTATTTACGGCCAGGGTCCATCGTATCTTAGGGACCGCCTCTCTTTCTCCCATCATTGGAGGTCGCAACGACCATCCCAACGTGACTTACTTTATATACCGGGTCCTAGAGAAGTGCACTTGGAAAGAACCAGACGCAGAGCTTTTTCTATTTCTGCCCCTGCCTTATGGAATTCCTTGCCGCCCTATATGAGAGCCATTCGTGAGTTAGGGCCTTTTACCCTAGCACTTAAGACTTGGTTTTTTACTAGAGCAGTAGTTCTCAACCTTGTAGGTGTTTTGGCCTACAACTCCCAGAAATCCCAGCTGTTAGGATTTCTGGGAGTTGAAGGCCAAAAACATCTGGGGATCCCCAGGTTGAGAACCACTGTACTAGAGCTTTTGATCTTTGTTAATTTTATCAATGTCTGTATATATGTATTTTTATCCTTTACAATTTTAGCTTGTAAATCGCCTAGAGCATCTTGGATGGAGGGCGATTAATAAGTAATTAAATGATGATGATGATGATGATGATGATGATCTCCATGGAAGCAGAAAACAAGCTTGCTCCCTCCTCCTCCCTGTGGCTTCCTCTCACATATTTATACATGGCTATCATATCTCCTCTCAGCCTTCTCTTCTTCAGGCTAAACATGCCCAGCTCCTTAAGCCGTTCCTCATAGGGTTTGTTCTCGACCCTTGATCATTTTAGTCGCCCTCCTCTGGACACAGCTTGTCAAAGTTCTTCCTCATGTTCAGATGGAATCTCCTTTCTTGTAGTTTGAAGCCATTGTTTCGCGTCCTAGTCTCCAAGTAAGCAGAAAACAAGCTTGCTCCCTCCTCCCTGTGACTTCCTCTCATGTATTTATACATGGCTATCATATCTCCTCTCATCCTTCTCTTCTTCAGGCTAAACATTAGGCTTGGGTAATCCATGGTTCTAAATGGTTCTAAAGTACTTACAAAACTAAAGTTCTGGTGGTGAAAATTTCAGAACTCTAACAAAACTCTCAAAATTTCATAATAAATGGCAGTTCCTAATTGGTTCTGTCATTAAAATCACCAATAATGAAATAATAATTAAATTTTGAAAGTTTTGTTAGTTCTGAAATTTTCACCACCAGAACTTTAGTTTTGTAAGTACTTCAGCACCATTTAGAACCATGGATTGCCCAAGCCTACTAAACATGCCCAGTTCCCTAAGCCGCTCCTCATAGGGCTTGTTCTCCAGACCCTTGATCATTTTAGTCGCCCTCCTCTGGACACATTCCAGCTTGTCAATATCTCTCTTGAATTGTGGTGCCCAGAATGGGACACAATATTCCAGGTGTGGTCTAACCAAAGCAGAATAGTGGGGTGGCATGACTTCCCTAGATCTAGACACTATGCTCCTATTGATGCAGGCCAAAATCCCATCAGTGCCAGGCAAGCTCCCCCCTCCCCACTTCCCACACAAAAATGGAAAGCACTGCCTGAGGAGAGTTGTTGACATCCATGGCATTGCAAGGCCGTGTTTTTTTTTTCTGTCCAAGTGACCGGCAGACACTGCCAAAAAGTTGTGGGAAACTTTTTGAGGAGTGAAGGAAGGGAAGAAGGAAGAAGGGAGGAAGGAGTCCCCTACCTAAGGACGCCGTCATGGCCGAGGTTCCTCCCTGGAACGCTCCCCTCCTGATGTGGGGCCTGAAGGGAGGAGGGAGGGAGGGGGAGGGAGGGAGGAGGGGAAGCGCGCGCGCGGGGAGGGCGGGGGGCTTCCTTCCTTCCTCCCTCTCCGCGTCAGCGAGGAGTGACGCCCCGCACTGAGGCATCCGGCCGCGAGAGGGTTCTGCGCTGCGCGAGGGAAAGGGGGGCGGGGCCTGGCCGGACTGCTCTGCGCCAATCAGGTGGCGAGGCCTTCTCTGAATCTCCCTCCTCAGCCAACAAGCACTTTTAGGAAGATGGGGAGGGGAGCTGCCCGCTTTGTCCAAAGGCATCTTTGTATGGAAAGCTTGGCAGGGAGGGGAAAGAGGGGGGAAGCACAATGCCCTGCTTGTGAGTAACTTTCACAAGCAGGACATTGTGCATCCCTTCAGCTGGGTCACTTTCCACAGGACCCAAGCTGCACCTGTAATACTCCTGGTGTTGCACAACCAAGGCCCCTTCCACACAGCTGAATAAAAGCCCACGTTTTCTGCTTTGCACTGGAATATATGGCAGTGTGAACTCAGATAACCCAGTTCAAAGCAGATATTGTGGGATTTTCTGCTTTGATATGCTGGATTATATGGCTGTGTTGTACTGGTCCATTTAGTTTTGAGGCTCTGAGGATCACCTGGGAAGGAATCCCACTGGAGCATTGCAGCGCACACAAATACCTGGGAGTCACTCTAGACCATGCTGTGATCTACAAGAAGCATTGCCTGAACATCAAGCAAAAAGTGGGTGCTAGAAACAATATCATACAAAAGCTGACTGGCACAACCAGGCCCGTACCCAGGATTTTGATTCGGGGGGGGGGGGGGCTGAGTTTGATTTGGGGGGGGGGGGGGCTGAGTCTGAGTGAAAGAGTGTCTACCCTAGCAAACCTTTTGTATCGTTACCCCAATACCCCCATGCATATGGGATATATTGAGCATGGTGATCAGATCATGATATGAATAAACATAACAGTTTAAATAATGTACCAGTAAGGCCTTTTCGCAGATCACCATGAGAATTGGGGGGGGGGTGAAGCCCCCAAAGCCCCAACATCATACGAAAGCTGCCTGGCACAACCTGGGGATCACAACCAGACACAGTGAAGACATCTGCCCTTGCGCTATGCTACTCTGCTGCTGAGTATGCATGCCCAGTGTGGAACACATCTCACCACGCTAAAACAGTAGATGTGGCTCTTAATGAAACATGCCGCATTATCACAGGGTGTCTGTGCCCTACACCACTGGAGAAATTACACTGCTTAGCCGGTATTGCACCACCTGACATCCTTCGGGAAGTAGCAGCCAATAGTGAAAGGACCAAGGACATCTCCAGCTCATCCCCTGTTTGGGTTATCAGCCAGCATGTCAACGAACTTAAATCTAGAAATAGTTTTCTAAGATCTACAGAGACACTCGCTGGAACACCTCAGCAAGCGAGAGTCCAAAAGTGGCAGGCTCAAACCCAGAACCTCAACAATGGCTGATACCAAATGAGAGACTCCCCTCTGGGCACACAGAGGACTGGGCGACTTGGAAGGCACTGAAGAAATGGGCCACAAAGTGGAATCCTCGACATGCGAGTGTGGAGAAGAGCAAACCACTGACCACCTACTGCAATGCAACCTGAGCCCTGCCACATGCACAATGGAGGACCTTCTTGCGGCAACACCAGAGGCACTCCAAGTGGCCAGATACTGGTCAAAGGACATTTAACCAACTACCAAGCTTGCAAATTTTGTGTTTTGTCTGTTTGTTTGTTTGTTTTGTTCTGTTAGAAATGTAATACAATTGACAGGTTGCCCTGACAAGACAAATAAATTTAGTTTTCTTGGCAAGAATACTGGGGTGGTTTGCCATTACCTTCCCCAGGGATTGCGCTTGGCCTGACCTCTCTGCCACGACCTTCCCATCTTTGGTGTCCCTTCACGGTTTCACTTGTGGCATCATTGAGGTGCTCAAACTCCAGCGCCACGACAAGACATCGATCCTTTGCTGGAAGAAACATTAACAACCTTAGATATGCAGATGATACCACTTTGACGGCTGAAAATGAGGAGGAGCTGAGGAGCCTTCTAATCAAGGTGAAAAAAGAAAATGCAAAACTGGGTTTCAGCTAAACATCAAAAACCCCAAGATTATGGCAATAAGACTTATTGATAACTGGCAAATAGAGGGAGAAAACGTGGAGGCAGTGACAGAGTTTGTATTTCTAGGTGTAAGGATTACTGCAGACGCAGACTGCAGCCAGGAAATTAGAAGACGTTTACTTCTTGGGAGGAGAGCAATTACCAATCTTGATAAAATAGTGAAGAGTAGAGACATCACACTGGCAACAAAGATCCGCATAGTCAAAGCCATGGTATTCCCTGTAGTAACCTACGGATGTGAGAGCTGGACCATAGGGAAGGCTGAGCGAAGGAAGATAGATGCTTTTGAACTGTGGTGTTGGAGGAAAGTGCTGAGAGTGCCTTGGACTGCGAGAAGATCCAACCAGTCCATCCTCCAGGAAAGAAAGCCCGATTGCTCATTGGAGGGAAGAATAGTAGAGGCCAAGATGAAGTACTCTGGCCACATCATGAGGAGACAGTAAAGCTTAGAGAAGACAATGATGTTGGGGAAAACGGAAGGAAAATGGAAGAGGGGCCAACCAAGGGCAAGATGGATGGATGGTATTTTTGAAGTGACTGGCTTGACCTTGAAGGAGCTGGGGGTGGCGATGGGCAACAGGGAGCTCTGGCGTGGGCTGGTCCATAAGGTCATGAAGAGTCAGAAACGACAGAACGAATAAATAACAACATATGGCAGTGTGAACTCAAATAACCCAGTTCAAAGCAGATATTGTCGGATTTTCTGCCTTGATATTCTGGGTTATATGACTGTGTTGAAGGGCCCTCAGATGCCCTATATCCCAGGTTATCTGGTAATGGGGACGAAAACCTGGGACCAGACACTGGGATAAAGGGCCTGTCTGGAAGGGCCCCAAGAGAGGATTTCAACAAGAACTGTAGGATACTACAGTTAGGCAGAAAAAAAGTATGACTCCCACAGCAACAGGATGGGTGATGCCTGGCTCAAAGAGAAACCATAGAAAAGAGATCTTGGAATCTGGGCCCTTCTGGACAGGCCGTTTATCCCAGGATCGTAGATTCAACTTTGTAGCCCCATTTCTTAAGATCGGCTATGCATCTCGTGGTGCCAGAGCGCAGTCTGTTCAGTGCCTTTCAAGTTGCCCAGTCTTCTGTGTGCCCAGGGGGGAGTCTCTCATCTGGTATCACCCATGGATTGAGGTGCTGGGTTTGAGCCTGCCACTTTTGAACTCTCGCTTGCTGAGGTGTTCCAGCGAGTGTCTCTGTAGATCTAAGAAAACTATTTCTTGATTTAAGTTGTTGACGTGCTGGCTGATACCCAAACAAGGGATGAGCTGGAGATGTCACTGCCTTGGTCCCAGTGTTTTGTAGAAATCTGTTTCAGTGCAATTTCTACCTGATGGCTCTTATCCTGCCTTCTGGAACAGTGGAGGGTAACTTCCATTCTGCATAACAACCGTTTAGACTGGGGGTCCTCAAACTTTTTAAACAGAGGGCCAGGTCACAGTCCCTCAAACTGTTGGGAGGGCTAGATTAAAATTTGAAAAGAAAAACATGAATGAATTCCTATGCACACTGCACATATCTTATTTGTAGTGCAAAAACTCTTTAAAGCAATACAATAATTAAAATGAAGAACCATTTTAACAAATATAAGCTTATTAGTATTTCAATGGGAAGTGTGGGCCTGCTTTTGGCTGATGAGATAGGATTGTTGTTGTTGTTGTTGTGTGCTTTCAAGTTCTTTCAGACTTAGGTTGGTCCTGAGCGACGGCTGGGTAAATGACCTTGGAGAGCCGTATCTGGCCCTCGGGCCATAGGACCCCTATTTTAGACGTTTAAAGACTATTATAAACCTTTTTCTTTTATCTGCTTTTCACCAAACACATATACCAATGCAGAGAGGAAGAGTATTTCTGGAGTGTAGAAAACAGAAATGTTGTCTATGACATCTCATCTTGAAAAATGCTCTATTAGTGTTCTGGTTAGCCCTATGCCATGATGACAGACAATTCTCTGAGTATTATATGACCATGTTGTTGATCCACAATTCCAACATCTCCTTATCACCGATTATATTGCTTTGAACTGGAATATATGGCAGTGTGAACCGGTTATATTAGCTGTGGCTGAATGTTAATACTTACTATTCCATTTAACGATTCAAGTTTACATTTCAACTGTTAGTACCCATTACAGGCGAATAGATTCTACCAGAAAGCCACAGCCCTGAGTTTACAAGATCTGAGCAGGACTGATGGCGACAGAGTAAGTTGAAGGTCTCTCATCCACAGGGTCGACATAAGATGGCATGACATCGAGTTAAAGAGCAGTTAAAGACAACAGAATAACTAATAACCAAATAAAAAAAAATCAAACATCCATATCCAGTCCAATAAAAATGTAAAAAAGAGAGTTTAACTTTATATTTGCCATAACATAATGTGAAAAACATATACTTCTGTACACAGTATTCTTTTTATGAAATTGGGTTTGAACTGAAATAGCAAGCTCATTTTTTTCTGTTTCCCTTTTCTGTGTTTGTTTTGGTAGCCTAAGAAAATACCGCCGCATAAACATGACAATTCATGCAAGGGCTGGAATGAAATACTGAAGAGAGAAATCCTCGTGGAGCAAGATGAAATGAACAATCCTCTTGTTCAGAATATCTGCAAAAGAGAAGCCCACATTGAAGGATGTCACATTAAAATAGTCCAGAAATTTTGATTCTGGTCACAGTTCTCCTCTATCATATACTTATCTTCCAGCAGGAGAAAAAAATGCAAATAATAATAATAATAATAATAATAATAATAATAATAATAAATTTATTTCTACCCCGCCACCATCTCCCCAATGGGGACTCGGTGCGGCTTACATGGGGCCAGGCCGGGCAACATAATACAGCAATAAAATCAAAGCATATACATCAGACAACAACAACATTATCAAAATGACATTAATAAAAAATAATAGTAATAATAAAATGAAAATAAAATAAAGTATCAATAGACACAATCACGATAGAAATGACAATGGGCGGGCCACATATTCCGAATAAAAACAATTAACAGACTATGGTGAGATAAAATAGGAGCAAGAAGTTTAAATGGAACTCATAAAACACACAGAATTATGGGGCAGAACATCCTATTTGGAGGGCACGAACTCCATTAACCAAAAACGTTGAGGGGGTATAAAAAATCATACTGAGCACCTACTCGCCAAAGACGCAGCGGAAAAGCCAGGTTTTGAGGTTCTTTTTAAATGTTTCCAGTGAAGGGGCTTTCCTGATCTCAAAGTAAAGAGTTCCAAAATCGGGTGGCCACAGAAGAGAAGGCTCTCTCCCTTGTGCCCACAAGGCGAGCTTGTGAGATTGGTAGGGGCGAAAGGAGGACCTCCCCTGAGGAACAAAGGGCCCGGGTTGGTACGTGGAGTGAGATATGGTCACGAAGGCAGGCGGGTCCCAGACCGTTTAGGGCTTTATAGGTGATAACCTGTACCTTCAATTGGGACCGGAAAATAAACGGCAGCCAGTGGAGCTCCTTAAACAGGGGGGTAGACCGGTCTCTGTAGGTTGCCCCAGTTATTAATCTGGCTGCCGAACATTGGACAAGTTGTAGTTTCTGGGCCATCTTCAAGGGCAGCCCCACATAGAGAGCATTACAGTAATCTAGTCTAGAGGTAACTAAGGCATGGACCACCATGGTCAAGTCAGACTTCACGAGGTATGGTCACAGCTGGCACACAAATTTTAATTGTGCGAAGGCCCTCCCGGCCACCGTCGACGCCTGTGCATCAAGCGTCAGCACTGAATCCAGGAGGACCCCCAAGTTGGGGACCTGTGACTTCAGGGGGAGTGCAACCCCGTCCAGCACAGGTTGCCACCCAATTCCCCGGTCAGACCAGCGATCTGTCTTATCAGGATTAATCCTCAGCTTGTTCGTCCTTATCCAGATCGTCACAGTGGCCAGGCACTGGTCCAGTATCCTTGGAGCTTCCTTGGAGTCAGGTGGAAAAGAGTAGTGGAGTTGGGTGTCATCTGCGTAGAGGTGGCACCGCAATCCAAAACTCCGGATGACCTCTCCCAGCGGTTTCATGTAAATGTTAAATAGCACGGGAGACAGAATAGAACTTTGCAGGACCCCACAGGTCAATGGCCAGGGGTCCGAGCAGGAGTCCCCCAGCTTCAACTGGGAACGACCCTCCAGGAAGGACCGGAGCCACAAAGGTGTGCATCAGTCACAGAGATGAATTTGAGTCCTCTATCCCAAATATGCTGCACTTAAAACTACTTCTACTCCTCCATTTTATAGGTAGTTGACAGTACACAATACGTGCACATGGATCCTGCCCCAAAAATATTCGTCCTTGTGTGTATTTACATTTTGCTTCCAATGATGCAAGTAAATTATACTATTCTTTATAAGTTGCGAATTACACATTAAAAGGAACACTTACTACACAGTGCTTTTGTTGGATTCACTTGCTGACCTGCAAGCAGCTGGAGAAGTCTTTTAATGTCAATGCGTGCCTCAGCCATACTCTCAGGGTGTCTCTCTTCAGTCGATTTTTGAGACACATGGTCAGGTACTAGAATTCACAAAGACAAATATTTTACTAAATGTGGCCATAGTTACCATATACCGTAAATCATTTCTTAATATTTAAAACAAGGGGTGGAGAATGTTTAATGCTGGGGCTGCATGTCCCAATATTGTTTTTGCAGCATTTGACTTCTCCAGCCCCTTCCTAAAGGACAAATTATTTCTTCTGGAAGCCTCCGTAGTGGCAATTCAGCCTTCCAAAAAGGTTTCAAACCTCTTCAACACTATCCAGCTTTTAAAAGATTCAAAACAAGGGAAATAACTCTGGTCAATTTCATCTTTTTAGGTACATTTTGGGGACTCTGTGTGAACTCTGGGAGATTCTGGACTGAGAATTGGCCCTTCCATCACAGTAGTAGCCCATCCCTATTTTAAACTGTGTAACTTACTCCCAAGGAAATATACCTATAAGTAGGTAGTTAAAACTGAGTACTGTATATACTCGAGTAAAAGCCTAGTTTTTCAGCCCTTTTTTAGGCTGAAAAGGTCCCCCTCGGCTTATACTCGAGTCAAGGTTATTTATTATTTTACTCTGTTATTGTTATTATTATTTTCATTTCATTTATTATTTTATTCTATTTATTATTATTATTATATTTATCATTTTACTCTATAATAATAATAATAATAATAATAATAATAATAATAATAATAATAACACTTTATTTATACCCTGCTACCATCTCCCCAGGGGACTCGGTGCAGCTTACATGAGGCCGAGCCCAAAATACAACAATACAAGCAATAACGATAACAATACAAGCAATTTAAAAACAACAAAACAATAAAACAATAACATAAGGATTATCAGTAACACAACACACTTTAAAATCTATGGGTAGGCCAAATGTAATTAAAATTTAAAAGATTAAAAAATAATTCTGGACATGGGCAAAAATGATGAGGCGGTTTGTGGGAACATACGAGCAGACCTCAAATAATATAAAGTGCTTGGAGGACGAAGTGCTATGGGATCATTATTCTGGGAAGGCACACTGGAACAACCACGTCTTCAAGCTCCTCTTAAAGACTGCCAAAGTTGGGGCATGCCTGATGTCCTTAGGGAGTGAGTTCCAGAGTCGAGGGGCCACCACCGAAAAGGCCCTCTCTCTCGTCCCCATCAACCGCGCCTGCAATGCAGGTGGGAGCATGAGCAGGGCCTCTCCAGATGATCGAAGAGATCATGTGGGTTCGTATACAGAGATGCGGTCACAAAAGTAGGCGGGTCCCAAACCGTTCAGGGCTTTGTAGGTAAGAACCTGCACCTTGAATTGCTAAATACATTTATTATTTTACTGTATAATTGTCAAGTCAATCCGTTTTCTCAGTTTTTTGTGGTAAAATTAGGTACCTCGGCTTATATTCGGGTCGGCTTATACTCGAGTATATAAGGTATATTATATTCTTTTAAACATCTTTTTGTTTACTGTATGACAGTTATGACCTAAACAACACTACCAAATCGCAAGTAGGGAATGTTAGTTTGTCACATTCTCCCAGATTTCAGTACTAAATCCTCAGAGCCACTTCAAGTACAAAAAAGATAGTTAGAACAGTGTTCTGCTTTATCATAACAGTCTTAACTCCTCTATTGTCCAAAAGAAACAAGAAGCCACAGAGGAAAGGGAAATTGTGACACTTCAAAATTTGTCAGTCCCCAAAAGGAAGTCCCCTACCCTTTCAATTATACTTTTCTTTTCTGAAATATTTCCTTCATTCAATTGTGGCAACAAACTGTACAAATATTTTTTTCTCTCATTCTTTTATCTGAAGCTACTATATAATTTATTCACAGGATGGGACAGCTAAAGCCTCTAAAGACATACTTGCCCCGGCTTTCTTTAAATGTCCTCTAAGTGCAGGATTCAAAAGTAAATTCCACAGCATTCATGGGACTAGAGTCCTCATAATACATTCTTTTTAAATGTTAGAACTGCTTATCTGAGAAGAAAAGTAAAATACCTACCCCAAGGAGGATTCCCAAGATCTTTAAAGTGAGTTGTAACTGACACTAAATCTGTTTCTATCTTCAAGTTCATTTCTCCTTTTTGGTTTGCTTCTATTACCTGCAATGAAAGCAAACCAATCATGAAGTCCTGAACAGTTTTGTCAATTCAACTTTGTCAGAAGAAGAATGTAAATAGACCTGAGTCTTGATTTTCACAATATGCCTGCAAATGTAGTTCTAAATGCATGAAGAAAACTGCACTGAAATAGACAGAGTAATAGTTTAAATAATATTTTATTCCCCTTTATTCCCCTTTTATCACAGGAACTCAGGGCAGTATACAATATAAATACGTCAATATTTTCCAGATTAAAATTATAGTTTGTACAACTATAAATAAATAAAAATAAAAAACATATTAAACGCAATTATTAAAACTACAATTTTAAAAACCATGTATACAAACACTTGAAATAAATTATTCTTTACATTTTTTACTGAAAAGCCATATTTTCACTTGGCACTGCTCTTGCCTACAAGAAGCACTGCCTGAACATCAAGCAAAAAGTGGGTGCCAGAAACAATATCATACGAAAGCTGACTGGCACAACCTGGGGAACACAACCAGATACAGTGAAGACATCTGCCCTTGCGCTGTGCTACTCTGCTGCTGAGTATGCATGCCCAGTGTAGAACACATCTCACCACACTAAACCAGTGGATGTAGCTCTTAATGAGACATGCCGCATTATCACGGGGTGTCTGCGCCCTACACCACTGGAGAAATTACACTGCTTAGCCGGTATTGCACCACCTGATATCCGCTGGAAGGTAGCAGCCAATAGTGAAAGGACCAAGGCAGAGACATCTCCAGCTCATCCCCTGTTTGGGTATCAGCCAGCACGACAACGACTTAAATCTAGAATAGTTTTCTAAGATCTACAGAGACACTCGCTGGAACACTTCAGCAAGCGAGAGTCCAAAAGTGGCAGGCTCAAACCCAGAACCTCAACCAATGGCTGATACCAAATGAGAGACTTCCTCCTGGGCACACAGAGGACTAGGCGACCTGGAAGGCACTAAACAGACTGCGCTCTGGCACCACGAGATGCAGAGCCAACCTTCAGAAATGGGGCTACAAAGTGGAATCCTCGACATGCGAGTGTGGAGAAGAGCAAACCACTGACCACCTGCTGCAATGCAACCTGAGCCCTGCCACATGCACAATGGAGGACCTCCTTGCAGCAACACCAGAAGCACTCCAAGTGGCCAGATACTGGTCAAAGGACATTTAACCAACTACCAAACTCACAAGTTTTGTATTTTGTCTGATTGTTTGCTTTGTTCTGTTAGAAATGTAATATAATGGACTGGTTGCTCTGACATGACAAATAAATAAATAAATATTTGGCACCAGAAAGAAAACATTTGTTGTTGTTGTTTATTCGTTCAGTCATTTCCAACTCTTTGTGACCACATGGACCAGCCCATGTCAGAGCTCCCTGTCAGCCGTCACCACCCCCAGCTCCTTCAAGGTCAATCCAGTCACTTCAAGGATCCCATCCACCCATCTTGCCCTTGGTCGGCCCCTCTTCCTTTTTCCTTCCATTTTCCCCAGCATAATTGTCTTCTCTAAGCTTTCCTGTCTTCTCATTATGTGGCCAAAGAAAACATTAGCAACACTCAAATCTGCAATGCGAGGGTGTTCCTCAACTGAAATGGCCCAGCCATGTCCTTGCACGTTGTAATTGCCCACATTGATGGGACACAAAGGAGAGACCCCTCCTGCAGGCATTTATTATCAGGCAGGTACAGAGGGAGAGGCACTCCTGCAAGTACTGAAGTCATAGCTAGACGTAAAGGTGAAGTACATAAATTCCGGAAATGGTGGGGTGGGGGAAGGAATGTTCTAAAAGCCACATTCATTTCAACAGATGTACGAGGAAGGAGGTAGACTATTGCCTCCAGTAGTAAATATCACATTTTAAGAAAGACACTGCCGAGTTGGAACACATCCTGAGAATACTAAAAAAGACAGTAAGAGTCTAGAAACAAAGACCTGAGGAGAACTGGAGAAGATAAAAGATTATGAGGAGACATGAGAGGATGAACTGTAGTTGTCCTCTATACTCCAAAGAGAAGGATGAGAACCGATGGATGAAAACATGAAGTGTCCCTGTACTGTTTCAAAATAGGGTTTTAATCAAATTGTATATCGAACTGTTTTTAACTTTATATCACTGTATACTTTTTCTGTGCTTTGTCTTAATCATAGATGTTACTAACTTTATGTCCTACTAGTTTGGGGACCCGGCGCTGCCCGGGTTATTAGAGGAAGTGGGTAATGGGGGTTCTGTATGCCAAGTTTGGTCTTTATTGGTCATTGGATGACGGTTGCATTGTTTTCAGTAAGTAAGTCAAGGTACTGCAAGTCCCATCATCCAGTAATGTTTTCAGGAAATGAGTGAAGGTACTTGAAGTCCCATCATCCATGGTCCATTCTCCTACAAACTGCAGCAGGATGTAGAGTGGGTCATGGAGGCTCTGTGTGCCAAGTTTGGTCTTGATCAGTCATTGGATGAGGGCCGCAGTGGTTTCAGTAAGTGAGTCAAGGTACTGCAAGTCCCATCATCCATGGTCCACCCTCCTCCAAACTGCAGCAGGATGTAGATTGGGCCTGCTACCTCGGAATGTTGAGATTGGCCAATCAGAGACCATATGCAAATTGTTTCTCGGAATGTTAAAGTTGGCCAATCAGTGACCATATGCAGATTGTGCCACAGCGGCAGCCAATCAGAATCTTAGAATGTTGTGGCTGGCCAATCAGAGACCTTATGCAAATTGTACCACAGTGGCACATAATAACCAGGTTTTCAGGTTCCTCCTGAAGATTGCCAGCATGGGGGCTTGCCTAATGTCTCTGGGGAGTGAGTTCCAGAGCTGGGGGGCCACCACAGAGAAGGCCCTCTCTCCCGTCCCCACAAGTCGCACTTGCGATGAGGGCAGGAGAGAGAGCAGAGCCTCTCCAGGAGATCAAAGAGGTCGTGTGGGTTCGTAGATGGAAATGTGGTTGCGCAGGTAGGCAGGTCCCAAACCGTTCAGGGCTTTGTAGGTCAAGACCTGCACCTTGAATTGGTCCCGGAAAATAAACACCAGCCAGTGGAGCTCCTTAAAGAGGAGGGTTGACCGCTCTCTGTAATTTGCACCACGTCAGGGTCTGCTGTGGTTTTATGTTTTTATGGATTTAATCTGAATTGTTTTTAATATTAGGCATTATGTTTGAATCAGTTTTAATTGAATCTATGTTTTATCAATTTATTGTTTATTGGTTTTATTGCTTACCGTGTTGTTTTGTTTTTGTATTTCTAGTGCGGCATTGAATTTTGCCATAACTGTAAATCGCTCTGAGTCTCCTTCGGGGTGAGAAGAGCGGGGTAGAAATATAGTAAATAAATAAATACTAATGATGTTTAGTACTGTTTTAATTCTTATATATTTGCATATTTTAAATTATATTGTTATGCTTTTAATGTTAGCCACTTTGAGTCTCCTTATGGAGAGAAAAATGGGATATAAATAAACATCATAATAATAAAGCATTGGTGAGAAAAGTGAGGGCCAAAGATGCATGTATCCTCAAGGGCACAAAAAGAACTCTTTTGGCCCAAGAGGCCACAGATGAAACTGTGGGTGAGTGGAAGAAATTCTGCTTCATCATGCCTGTTTTTGGACACTAGACCGGACAGGAAATTACTGAGAAGCTAACATCAATGGCCACATCTACACTGTACAATCAATGCAATTTGACACCACTTTAACTGCCATGGCTCAATGATAAGTAATTATGAAAGTTGTAGTTTGACAAGGTATTTAGCCTTTTCTGGTGCCTCACCAAACTATAACTCCCATGATTCCCTAGCATTGAAACATGGCAGTTAAAGTAATGTCAAACTGCATTAATTCTGCAGCTCAGATGTTAAAAAGGCCTCTGCTCTGCTTAAAACATGGCAAAAGAAGAGAATTCTGGAAAAAAATCCTTTTTTGCTCAAATTTTATTTCTGTGGGGTGCAATAGAACTAAGGCCCTTCTAAATCTCTATGACTAATTTGGTCCCCCAGTCCACGATTCTGCTGTACAGTACCTTGCCCAGTTTAGCCCAGAGATTTACAATGATCAAGTAGAAATGTGCCCCCAAAATTACAGCGAAGTCTACCCGCAACTCATATTCAAATTAGGAATGTCACAACTTACTATAGAATTGCTGAGGTTTTTCATTCTCTCTACAACACTCTTCATGGTCTTCATCACAGGTAAATAAATGCTGACCTGCAAAATAAAAGCAGCTGCACTGAAAACATGATATCTGAGCCATGTATGTCTCACTTTGTTACCATTCAGTTGCACAATTGATAAAACCACAGTTTGTCCTATAAAGAATTAAGGACATTTATGGCTAAACTAAGAATCCAGCAAAATACATCACTTTTAGTTTTCTGAATGTATTTGTAGTAAACTGATGAAATGTATATACTGTATTTATTTATTTAGTACATTTCTATACTGCCCCTCTCAGCCTTCCGGCGACTTGAGGCGGTTTACAAGGCAAGAATTCAATGCCACCAAGGACACAATTACAATACACAATATAAAAAACATCAGCAACAATAAAATCAAACATTATAATGAAACATACGTCAATCGATAATCATTAAAACAATGTCCAGTTCCGCCATATAGTTATTTCATTATTATATCCGTTACTTCGTATTTTCAAATGCCCGCTCAAATAGCCATGTCTTAAGATTCTTCCGGAATGATAGGAGCGAGGAAGCCGATCTAATCTCCCTAGGAAGGGCGTTCCATAGCCAAGGGGGCACCACTGGGAAGGCCCTGTCTCTCGTTCCTGCCAACTGTACTTGTGATGATGGCGGGACCGAGAGCAGGGCCTCTCCAGATGATCTTAAAGTCCTTGCAGGTTCATAAGGGGAGATTGGGTGAAATAAGGACCACTTTCTTTGTTCCATTAACTATTTAAGTTTTAAACCTGGAAAACTTGCTAGAGGGCAGAACCACTTGGTTGGGAGCTTAGCTGGGGGAGGTGTCTATCTGAGATAAAACCTCCCTGGTTTCCTCTTCAGCAAATACACCTGATTGCAAATACAATCCAAATTATTTTGGTATAGCTCACCCCAGACTTGCATTTTGGAAGGCAGACCTAGGGAACCCGCCTCCCGAAAGACACAGAACTCAAAAAGCATGGTAGAATAGATAGTAATGGAATATAAAGTGATATTTAGTTTTCTTATTTTGATTCTTCTTTTTTTGTTTCTTGTTCGTTAATTTTATTCCATTTTTATTTCTTTTATTTTCTTGAAATGGCCATGGAGCCCCCTGGGAAATGCTAAGGTTGGGAATCACTTGCATAGGCCGAAGGACAGAACTTTCTCCACATAGGATCTGGAAGACTATTTTCCGCTCATCACTAGCATTGAACCAGATTAAATAAAGTTGGTTCTGGCCCAACTTACCTGTCCGAACACATCTCCTCCTATGAACCAACTAGGACGTAGAGATCGTCTGGAGAGGCCCTGCTCTTGGTCCCACCTGCGTCACAAGTATGTTTGGCAGGGACGAGAGACAGGGCCTTCTCAGTGGTGGCCCCTTGGCTATGGAATGCCCTTCCTACAGATATTAGATCAGCCCCCTCCCTGTTAACATTTCGGAGGAAAGTGAAGACCTGGTTGTTCAAGCAGGCATATGAATAGCCAGTGTAACAAACATAGGAATATGGAACAATTGGATGAAGAGACCGGATCTTGATTTTAACTATGAGATGCTAATGAGATGTTTTATTGACTTACAATGATTGTTTTTAACTGTTTTATGATGTTTTGAGCATTGAATTTTGCTATTGTTAACCACTTTGAGTTGCCCGAGGGCTGAGAAAAGTGGTATACAAATATAGCAAATAAAAATAAATAAATAAATAAATAAACTATAGGTTTCCTAACTTCATGCAGACTTCAGCCTAATTTCATGCAGACTTCGGTATTATGGAGCCTCTCCAATGGTTCTTTTCTCTTTTATTTATTTATTTATCTTTATTTTTTATTAATTATTTGACACAATCTCATATATAATCAGAAAATATACATTCAGAAATAATGAAACATGTCTAGATCTGTATGCAGATGGCAACTTGTACAAAATAAGTATAACATACTTATTATTTATTTATTTATTTATTAACTTTATTTGTATCCCGCTACCATCTCCCCAAGGGACTCAATGCGGCTTACATGAGGCCGAGCCCAAACACAACAACAAAAGCAATAAAACATCAATACAAGAAATTAAAAACATAGACAATAAAAAACAACATTATCAAAAAAGCAACACATAGTTAAAACAGTGGGGAGGCCAAATGAAAAGTTAAAATTGGAAAAAATGATGAGCCATGAATGAGAGGTGATACTAGTGTTTGTGGAGGGCATACAAGCAGACTCAGGGAAATGTAAAGTGCTTTGGACGACAAAGTGCTATGGGATTCAATTATTCCGGGAAGGCACACTGGAACAGCCACGTCTTCCTGCTCCTCAAGACTGCCAGGTTGGGGCCTGTCTGTTGTCTTTAGGGAGTGAGTTCCAGAGTCGAGGGGCCACCACCGAAAAGGCCCTCTCCCTCGTCCCCATCAAACGCGCCAAATTACTTTACCATTCACTCGAGTTTAAGACATTTTCAAAGGAAAATCGATGCAAACTATTCCTAACTAGAACTGTTTCCATCTAGATAACAGCAATAATGATATCAGCTACTTCTCCCCCCTCCCCCAAATATCAAATGCAAATAAATAAATAAATCCCAATGTATCTTTGGGGGGGGGGGATTCCTTACAAGGCAAGAAATATGTCTTAAATATATCTTCATAAACAAGAGAGTTTCTGAGTATGTCCAAATGCATCCTGATATCACATCAATAAAAAAAAAACATAAGAATGAGAACAGGCAACAAAGTACTCTCTTATGACTAGAGCATTCTGACTATTTAACATACACAGGCATGGACAACTGCAAAAACCCAATTTGCATAAATTGAAAGATGTCCAAAATCATAATCAAATGTTTCATTAACATTATGCCAACATATTTAACTTTTCCAGGAATCACTCCAACTGTTCTTGAATCAATGAGATGGGGAACCACTTTTGTATGCTGATCCTGTTGAGCGCTCTGTAATTCTTGCAGCGATGTTCTTCACAAAAAGGACATGCTCCCACATGGAGTGGTAGAGTACCACATGAAACAGCTGTGTAGGTTTTTTCCAGGAAGTTCTGCACAAAGGAGATTTCTGCCTCTGATGGGAAATAAATGTAACCTGATGGAATGAGGGGGACCCAGTGACTATAAAAGAATCACAGGATTGGAAAAGGTTTCAAGGGCAATGAAGTCCAAATCCCTGCCATGCAAAAATACACAATCATGGAAATTTCCAAAACACTCAACATGTTAGGGCATATGTCAACTGTCCGGGTTTATGTTTTCAGTCACTTAGTCATTCAGCATAAGCACTCAAGAACAATAGCCATTTAGATTGCAAGTGAAATGCTTTGTGAAATGCTTTGTGATGAAAGAAAAAGGAAATGTCAACATTCTTGCATTTTTGAAGATGTCTCTTCGTAGTCTATGTTGTTGTTTATTCGTTCAGTTGCTTCCGACTCTTCGTGACCTCATGGACCAGCCCACGCCAGAGCTCCCTGTCGGCCACCACCACCCCTGTCTCCTTCAAGGTCAAGCCAGTTACTTCAAGGATACCATCCATCCATCGGCCCCTCTTCCTTTTTCCTTCCATTTTCCCCAGAATCATTATCTTAATTTATTTTCTGATGCATTTTGTTTTTTTTGTTTTGTATTCTGTATTTTACTAAGCTGTATTGTATTTTAAAAGGCCTTGGCCTCATGTTAATTGCCCAGAGTTCCCATTGGGGAGATGGTGGCAGGGTATAAATAAAGATTATTATTATTTGAAACACAACAAGATGAGTCCACAGCAGACACTCTGCTGGCTGTTGAATTGGATCACATGTTGGACACTTCCCAAGTGTCTAGGACTGTGTGATGTATCGGAAAATAATGCATACAGATCCCAGTAAGGTGGCCTTCTGCAGCTGGCAGATGTTAATTTTGTCAGCGCCAATTGTGTTTAAGTGCAGGCCAAAGTCTTTAGGCACTGCACCCAGTGTGTCGATCACCACTGGAACCACCTTGACTGGCTTGTGCCAGAGTCTTTGAAGTTTCATCTTTAAATCCTCATATCAGCTTTTCCAGTTGTTTCTCTGCAATCCTGCTGTCACTTGGGATTGCGACATCAACGATCCATACTTTGTTTTTTAACACAATTGTGAGGTCAGGAGTATTATGCTCCAAAACTTTGTCTGAATCCAGAAGTCCCAGAGGAGTTTGGTATGGTCCTTCTCTGTAACTTTTTCCGGCTTGTGATCCCACCAGTTCTTTGTCGCAGGCAGATGGTATTTGTGGCACAAGTTCCAATGAATCATCTGAGCAACGGTGTTGTGCCTCTGCTTATAGTCTGTCTGCGCGAAGCAGCTGAAGATGTGATCTATTGTTTCATCTGCTTCATTCAGATGATGATGATGATTATTATTATTATTATTATTATTATTATTATTCTCCAAGCTTTCTCTCTCTTCTCATTATGTAGCTAAAGTACTTCATCTTTGCCTCTACTATCCTTACCTCCAGTGAGCAGCCAGGCTTTATTTCCTGGAGTATGGACTGATTGGATCTTCTGGCGATCCAAGGCACTCTCAGAACTTTCCTCCAACACCACAGTTCAAAAACGTCTATCTTCCTTCACTCAGCCTTCCTTATGGTCCAGTTCTCGCATCCATAGATTACTAAGGGGAATACTACTGCTTTAACTATGCGGATCTTTGTTGCCAGTGTGATGTCTCTACTCTTCACTATTTTATCAAGATTGGTCACTGCTCTCCTTTCAAGAAGTAAACGTCTTCTGATTTCCTGGCTGCAATCTGTGTCTGCAGTAATCTATAGAAAGCTCGTAGTCTATAGAGAGCTCAAATGTTTTTCTTACACAACCTGGATGTTTCATTTCACATACGTATACAGCATTTCCTGAAGTAGTAATGTCCAAGATCACATCTACTTTGTTAATTGGAATATACCCATACAATCAATCCAAGATTTTTTTTTAATGAAAAGTGTCAATAAGAAAAAAAAATGTTCATCTGAAGCACATATAGGGTTATTCTGCAATAAGAAAACGATCTAAAAGACAATAACTGTATGGAACAGTGTTTAATTGAACGTACATGAAGTAATATTTAAACAGTTGAAATTAAAGATGACTCACATCAAAATCTGGCACACTGGGCTCTCGGAAGTCATTCCACAACTTTCTTGGAATAATCCCCACAGGTATATCGTGAGTCACAATGCGGCTACTACTTGATAAGGAAGGCTAGAGAAAAAAAAATAAGGTGGTATATGATGAAATGTGAGTGAAATACAAGGTGAAGACTGCTTACTTAAACCAATTTATCTAAATGGCAGCCCAAGAACTTCTGATTACTTACGCACAGGAGGGCTAAAGGTGATAGTAAAGGGTTCCCCTGACATTAAGTCTTGTAGTCTTTTACATTTGTTTTTAGCCAACATGTATTCTAAGCAGTTTTAACTGTTTCCAAATTTGTGTGTTCAATCAACTGAATGTTCTTAATCTCATTACCTGCATAACTTGTATGCTACAGTGTAATAAGGGTCTTTGGACCATAATAAAAATGTTGTTGTTGTTGTAGTCGTGTCCGACTCTATGGGGGTGGTGCTAGTTTACATTTTTAAGCCAAAGAGCCAACGTTGTCCATAGATACCTCCAAGGTCATGTGGTCAGCATGACTGTATGGAATGCCGTTATCTTCCCGCAGAAACTGCTTTCGAACTGCTAGGTTGGCAGAAGCTGGGGTTAACAGCGGGAGCTCACCCTGCTCCCTGAATCTGAACTGCAAACCTTTTGGTCAGCACGTTCGGCAGCTCAGTGGTTAACCCGCTGTGCCACCTGGGGGCCCCAATCTACCAGGGCCCCCCAATCCATTTTACCTAAAACTATCCTTCTCTTTAAATCTATCTTCTTATAGATTAAAGAAATGACTGAAAACTACAGGAAGCTGGAGAACAATGTTGAGATTTATAAAGTATCTGTGGCACAAGTTCCAATGAATCATCTGAGCAATGGTGTTTTGCCTCTGCTTGTAGTCTGTCTGTGCAATTTTCTTGCAGCAGCTGAGGATGTGATCTATTGTTTCATCTGCTTCCTTATGGAGCCCCCGGTGGCGCAGTGGGTTAAACCCCTGTGCCGGCAGGACTGAAGACCGACAGGTCACAGGTTCGAATCCAGGAGGGGCGGATGAGCTCCCTCTATCAGCTCCAACTCCTCATACGGGGACATGAGAGAAGTCTCCCACAAAGATGATAAAAACATCAAAAATTATCCGGGCATCCCCTGGGCAACGTCCTTGCAGACAGCCAATTCTCTCACACCAGAAGCGACTTGCAGTTTCTCAAGTCGCTTCTGACACGACAAAAAAAATCTGCTTCCTTGCAGAGTCTACATTTGGGATCTGTTGTCGACTTTTCAATTCTGGTTTTGATGGCATTGGTTCTAATGGCTTGTTCTTGGGCTGCCAGAATCCGGCCCTCCATCTCCTTTTTCAGAGTTCCATTTGTGAGCCACAGCCATGTTTTTTCTTTGTCAATTTTGCTCTCTATTTTTCCCAGGAACTGTCCATGGAGAGCCTTCTTTCGCCAGTTTTCTCCTCTCCTCCTCCTCCTCTTCTTCTTCTTCTTATTATTATTATTGTGTTTTCTGCAGGCCATATTGCAAAATTTATTTATTTATTTCGCGTATTTCTACCCCGCCCTTCTCAACCCCAGAGGGGGGACTCAGGGCGGCAGTTATTTGGGAGGCCACTGGAGAACCTCACACAAGCCCAAGGTAATTCCAGTTGTGTGAGTTGTTCTACTGGAAATGAAACAAAGTAGGAGCAAGTAGTTTTTGCATACCCCTGTACTATCACTTTGTCACAGATATACTTCACGTGAAGTAGGTTTGTTGATTTCAGCTGTATGCTGTTTGTTTTAGTCATCATTCTGGAAATCTTTAAGATCACCCTCAGAAGCTACAGAAATCAAGCTAGTGGATAGCTACAAGGTAAGTGATGGGATTCTAAAGTAAAACTTCAATTATGGGAACAGCTATTCTGGCCTTAAGCTGTCTGTCATCAGTTTTCATCTATAAGCCCCACCACAGAATTGGGTCAGAAAGGGGTTTGTCTCAGCATAGACTGAAATATGCTATAACGATTCTAAAAAGTCCCATGAACACTGAGATCCATTATCAGATTTATCTTCTGTACTGCCTCAGAAAGGAAGAACGGGCTTTGCTTTATTGATAACTGCTCCTGAAATGGTACTGAGCATTGTTTTTCATTTACTATTGCATTCCACTTTAAAGATGAACAAGTTGCTGTTTTAGAATGTAGTTTTCATATTATGAAGACTGAGAGATACATCTTTACTTACCAGTTCCACGGCTACTGTGAGGCAGGGACACTGCTTATTAGTCAACTTGACTTTCACTGCCTTAGCATTTTGTGCTGTTTTCAAAGCTCGAGAGAAGTTTTCAGATGTCAGCTCTAAATAAATTTCATTGTCTTCTGCAGCCACTCCCTCCATTTGGAACTCATCAAAGAAGTTCTCCTAAAATGACAAAGTAGTTGGAAAAGTATTTGCTGGCTTTGAACTGCCTTCAGGACTCAGTTTCTATGACATAAATTAGTAATGAAAATTATGTCTCTCTTCAGTATTGTTGGCTACTGGCTATGTTGGCTATGGATGCTGAGACTTGTAGTCCAACAATATACTGTATATACTCGATTATAAGCCTAGTTTTTCAGTCCTTTTTTAGGTTGAAAAAGTCTCCCCCGGCTTATACTCGAGTCAAGGTTATTTATTATTTTTCTTTGTTGTTGTTGTTGTTTTACTTTATTATTGTTAATACATTTATTATTTTACTCTATTTATTATTGTTATTGTTACATTTATTATTTTACTCTATTATTATTATATTTATTTTTTACTCTATTATTATTATTATATTTATTATTTTACTCTATTATTTATTTATTTATTTATTCGGTAGTTTTGTATACCGGTCTTCTCACCTCCATTCGCGGGACTCGGACCCGTTTCCAACATCAATATTACAGACCGTCATTAAAACATATTTCTAAATCACACTAAAACATTAAAACATTGAAACAATTAAAATGGCAAAAATACAATCATATGATTACAGTGGTCAGTCGTCATCAAGGTCATTATTCGTCGTCATCCATCCATATCACAGGATCATGACTCATTCGTTGAATGCCAATCCCCAAAGCCAGGTTTTCACCTGTTTCCTGAACGTTAAGATCGAAGGGGCAGTTCTGCTCTCCAGTGGAAAGGAGTTCCAGAGTCGAGGGGCCACCACCGAGAAGGCCCTGTCTCTCGTCCCCACCAGCCGCGCCTGTGAGGCCGGTGGGATCGAAAGCAGGGCCCCTCCAGACAATCTTAGCAATCTTGATGGCTCATAGGGGAGGATACGTTCGGATAGGTAAATTGGGCCGGAGTCGTTTAGGGCTTTATAGGTTAAGACCAGCACTTTGAATTGTGCTCGGAAGCTGACTGGCAGCCAGTGGAGCTGGCGCAACAGAGGAGTAGTATGCTCCCTGTACCCCGTTCCCGTTAGTAACCTGGCTGCCGCACGTTGGACTAATTGAAGCTTCTGGGCAGTCTTCAGAGGCAACTCCACATAGAGAGCGTTGCAGTAATCTAAACGGGATGTAACCAAAGCGTGGACCACCGTGTGTTGTTATATTTATTATTCTACTCTATTATTGTTACTACTACTACTATTATTTTACTCTATTTATTATTATTGGAAGGATACGTAAACATATTTACATTGAAGAAGGTTAGAATAATGGTTGAATCAGGGTTGGACAGTCTTATGTTGAATTACAGTTTTATGTAAATATTCAAAAACATTTAACCAATTGATGCCTCAATTAATGTAATTTTATTGGATATCCATTGTTTTGTCGAGCACTGGGCCTGTAAATAGTTGTCTTTAAAACAGGACGTGCAACCTTTGCCCAACGGGAAGCCAGGGGGCCTGAAGAGAAGTTCTCAGAGGTTTCCACCACAAACAGTCTTTAGATGGTTTGAGAAGTACAACAAAGTCTTTTATTAATGAACAATCAAACAGAAACTTCTCTTGTCTTCAGTAAAGTTAAGCAAATAATTCCAAGCTTTTGGGTAACTGCTGAATTCCTAATCTTGCCCACAAAGGACAGGCAACTATCTTCAATAACTTCTTCTTTAAAGGAAAATCCCCTTTTTAACTTCTCCCAGGCTGACTGAAACTCAAACCTAACTGATGTGGGCAACACTACCAGGTTGAACTGCGCCTCAAAGCACCGAGTGGACCTACCAGCAAGGCCTGTAGTCTCTTCAACTGGAGTTCTTTGATCTTTAGGGCTGTTTCCCTAGAAATTCTTTGGAGACTCTTTTCCTTCTGTTTCTGTTGGAATTTCTGTAACCCTGGAAATTCTTAAAGGTTGAAGCTTTTGTACAGGGGAAGCTTTACACACGTCCTGTACATTGTTTCCAATCTCCCCTACTTGGGCAAGGTCATGGAACGTGTGGTGGCAACACAACTCCAGGGGTTTCTGGTAGACACTGATTATCTAGACCCGGCACAGTCTGGCTTTAGGCCGGGACATGGAACTGAGACAGCCTTGGTCGCCTTGGTAGATGATCTACGCAGGGAGCTAGACAGGGGGAGTGTGTCCCTGTTAGTTCTGCTGGACCTCTCAGCGGCCTTCGATACCGTCGATCACGGTATCCTTCTGGGCCGCCTCATGGATATGGGGCTCGGAGGCACTGCTCTGCGGTGGCTTCGATCCTTCCTTGAGGGACGGACCCAGAAGGTGTTATTCGGTGACACCTGTTCGGCCCCACAACCGTTGTTGTGTGGAGTCCCACAGGGTTCAATCTTGTCCCCGATGTTATTTAACATCTACATGAAGCCGCTGGGAGAGATCATTCGGAGTTTCGGACTAAGATGTTATCTCTATGCAGATGATGTCCAAATCTGTCACTCCTTCTCACCTGTCACCAAGGAGGCTGTCCAGACCTTGAACCGGTGTTTGCCGCTGTATCGGACTGGATGAGAGCTAACAAATTGAAATTGAATCCAGACAAGACAGAGGTCCTACTGGTCAGTCGGAAGGCCGAACAGGGTATAGGGTTACAGCCTGTGTTAGACGGGGTTACACTCCCCCTGAAGACACAGGTTCGCAGCTTGGGAGTGATCCTGGACTCATCGCTGAGCCTGGAGCCCCAGGTCTCAGCGGTGGCCGGGAGAGCTTTCGCACAATTAAAACTTGTGCGCCAGCTGCGCCCGTACCTTGGGAAGTCGGATCTGGCCACGGTGGTCCACGCTCTTGTCACATCCCGGTTGGATTACTGCAACGCACTCTACGTGGGGTTGCCTTTGAAGACTGCTCGGAAACTTCAACTAGTCCAGCGAGAAGCAGCCAGATTGCTCACCGGAGCGGCGTACAGGGAGCACACCACCCCCCTGTTGCGTCAGCTCCACTGGCTGCCGATCCAATTCCGAGCACAATTCAAAGTGCTGGTTTTGACCTACAAAACCCTATACGGTTCCGGCCCAGTGTATCTGTCCGAACGGATCTCCCTCTACATCCCACCTCGAAGTTTAAGATCTTCTGGGGAGGCCCTGCTCTCGACCCCGCCAGTGGCACAAGTGAAACTGGCGGGGACGAGGAGCAGGGCCTTCTCAGTGGTGGCCCCCCACCTGTGGAACTCACTCCCCGGGGAGATCAGATCGACGACTTCCCTTCTAGCGTTTAGGAAAAAACTAAAGACCTGGATGTGGGACCAAGCTTTTGGCCATGCTGACAACTGATTAAAGGACCTATCGATAGACAAGGACAATGGAATGGAATGGATATATGGACTCTGATATATGGACTCTGACATGAGATAGTTTTTATGATTTTAATAGGTATTGATGTTTCATTTTAATTGTTGAACTGTTATATTTTGTATTGTTTGTTGTGTGATTTGGGCATCTAATTGTGCCTCCTTTGTAAGCCGCCCTGAGTCCCCCCCGGGGTGAGAAGGGCGGGGTATAAGTAGATGAAATAAATAATAAATTGGTTAACCTTGCTGAGACTAACTAAAAAATGGCTCCCTTCCCAATTGCCCAATTGCAAGGGGCGGAACCAAAACTTAATGATGATGGACAGGTGGCTTGCCCTATAACTGCAACCAAAAGAAGCCACCTACCTGCAGAGTCCCTGAAACCTAGGACTGCAAACAAACATTTAATGTGAAGCAAACAAAAGTGGAGCTCCTGGTACAGCTGTACCAGAACATCTATTTTTATTTTGAAATTTACCAGTAGCTGCTGCATTTCCCACCCTCAGCTTATATTCGAGTCAATCCATTTCCCCAGTTTTTTGTGGTAAAATTAGGTGCCTCAGCTTATATTCGGGTCGGCTTATACTCGAGTATATACGGTACAATAAATCCAACTGTTTATCCCAACCGGAACCGAACCATTCAACCTTAATTAAATGTTGACTTACCATGTTCACTCTGAATCAATGGGTCTACTCACATTGATATAGTTAGTACTAATCCCTGGATTTAATGCTTAACAGAGAGGGGACTCAACCCAAAAGCAAACCACATGCTTTATATATCTAGTTATAAGATGACAAGTAGCAGATGTGCCTCCGATCTTTAGAGGATCTCAGTTAGAACATATAGCATGGGGTTGGATGGAACAATGATTGACCTGGTAATTTAAACCATATCACATACATTAGTGGTTCTCAACCTGTGGGTCCCCATGTGTTTTGGCCTACAACTCCCAGAAATCCCAGTCAATTTATCAGCTATTGGGATTTCTGGTAGTTGGGAGGCCAAAACATCTTTGGACCCACAGGTTGAGAACCACTGATATACAGGGTTGTTACAAAATAATGCCCCTAAAAATTCATTGTAAATGTTTTAGTGAACGCACATGTATGAAACCTACATCAATGTAAAGGGGAAGTCTTCAAGATGTGTGGCACACATCTAAATGGTAGTCCAGCTCCCGACACACACGTTGCAAAAAGTTGCTGTCGATGGCACCAATTCACCTTACCACTAAGATGACATAGCCCTGTCAATAAAGATGAACATTGCAGCAAAGCCGTCATTATTTATTTGTTTGTTTATTTATTTACTGTACTAGCTGTACCCGCCACGCATTGCTGTGGCCAACCTTCCCTCGCTCTTTGTCACCTTCTTTCTTTGGGGGGAGATGTAGTGCATGCACACACACATACACATATGGGTGTGGATAATACAGTAATGTCTATGTTGAAAGGAAGTTGTGGAGAATACCTACATGGATGTTAATTTTACTATATTTCCTCAACTCTCCCCTCAAATACACACAGTCACGTGGGAAATAAGTGGCTCTGCTGGAGTGCATGTCTTGAGGGGTTATTGTGGGGATGATCTTGCATGTGCATTAATTCCACTATATTTTCACAACTCCACACACCCATATGCACTCACTGTTGCTCTGCCAACATGTGTATGTTGCCAAGTTGTAAAAGATAGATAGAATGATTTTCAATTCATATAGCAGTTCAAAAACATGCAAATGTGAGTAGAGCAATAGGTACCACTCTGGCAGGAAGGTAAGGGCGCTCCATGCAGTCATGCCAGTGGCCACATGACTTTGGAGGTGTCTATGGACAATGCCGGCTCTTCAGCTAAAATGGAGATGAGCACCAGAGTCCCAGAGTTGGACATGACTGGATTTAATGTCAGGGGGAAACCTTTAGCTTTAACCTGATGTCCCCTGTGACATCAGCGCCCCTCCCCCAACACCAACAGCCACTTTGGGGCCAGAATAAAGAAGGGGAGCCAGGAGGACATTGCCATCTTGTCCCCTGTGACATCAGCGCCCCTCCCCCAACACCAACGGCCACTTTGGGGCCAGAATAAAGAAGGGGAGCCAGGAGGACGTTGCCATCTTGTCCCCTGTGACATCAGCGCCCCTCCCCCAACACCAACAGCCACTTTGGGGCCAGAATAAAGAAGGGGAGCCAGGAGGACGTTGCCATCTTGTCCCCTGTGACATCAGCGCCCCTCCCCCAACACCAACAGCCACTTTGGGGCCAGAATAAAGAAGGGGAGCCAGGAGGACGTTGCCATCTTGTCCCCTGTGACATCAGCGCCCCTCCCCCAACACCAACGGCCACTCTGGGGCCAGAATAAAGAAGGGGAGCCAGGAGGACGTTGCCATCTTGTCCCCTGTGACATCAGCGCCCCTCCCCCAACACCAACGGCCACTCTGGGGCCAGAATAAAGAAGGGGAGCCAGGAGGACGTTGCCATCTTGTCCCCTGTGACATCAGCGCCCCTCCCCCAACACCAACAGCCACTCTGGGGCCAGAATAAAGAAGGGGAGCCAGGAGGACGTTGCCATCTTGTCCCCTGTGACATCAGCGCCCCTCCCCCAACACCAACGGCCACTTTGGGGCCAGAATAAAGAAGGGGAGCCAGGAGGACGTTGCCACTCTGGGGCCAGAATTGTTTTTATACCATGTCTTGAATTTTGTTGTTCCTATGTTGTAAACCGCTGTGAGTCGCCCCTGGGCTGAGAACAGCGGTATATAAGCAAAGTAAATAAATAAATAAATAATAAAATAACCTATACACACACACAGTGTGGATATGCTATTGTGTGTTTTGTTTCGTGAACAAATTGTGGGACTATAGATATCCTACGCTACCTTCCCAACTGTCCTCCCTCCCTGACAGGGGCAGACCCCCCTCATTGGTCGGGCTCTCCCCCCCCCCCCAGCTCCCACCTGCTTTGCTTGGCTTCACCATCCCCACCAAGTTGCAATGGAAATGGCTGTGACGGGCTCTGAGCCTGGGGTCCGCTGCTACTGCTGCCTGTGCTTCTGCCTCCTCCTCCTCCTCTTCTTCTTCCTCTATGTGGGTCCCCCTTCAGACTCTCTCCTGCCTCAGAAGCTTGGTGGGGGCTGGAAGCCTTGGAAGTGCCCACCTTTGCAAAGGCAATGGGAAGAGCCAAGAGGAGGGAAGAGAGGAAGTTGCCCCCCCCTCTCTCTCCTTCCCTCCCCCGGGCTGTGCAAGGCGCGCTCTCCCCTCTTTCCCATGCTTCCTTCTTTCTTTCCTCCCTTCTTCCTTTCTCTCTTTCCTCCGTTGCCACAGCAGGCAAGGAGGAAGGTGAAGAGGAAGGGGTCATGCTGCTGTGAGGGAGGAAGCTCCCTGCCGCTCGCTGTGCCACTTCTGTTTGTATGGCCATGCGTGCGCACGCGCTTGGCTCTCAATGCTGTAATGGCCGCTCTTCCCTTGTGTGGATTTTTGGAGTTTCTGGTGTTTCTTTGGGGGTTTTTTTGAGTGGAGGACATAAATTGGGTTGTTAGGTGTATCGTGTCCAAATTTGGTGTCAATTCCCCCAGTGGTTTTTGAGTTCTGTGAATATCACAAACGAACATTACATTTTTATTTATATAGATTTGTATACTGCCTTTTTAAACCTGTAGGTGACTCAAGGCGGTTACAAGAGTCATCTTCCATCCATTCTTGCATGGCAGTGGAGAAGTTGTGTTGCACAACATGGCCATTGCGTATGAGGGCTTGCACCAACTACAAATGATATGGGTGCATGTAGAGACACTTCCAGAGCACCTCCTACACTGTTGGTTGAGGTATCCCCATATCCCGGCTAGCTCTGTTCATGGTGGCTGCTCTTGCAATTACCCCGTCCAGGTAGCACGCCTGAATGTAGAAAAAAAATTGAACACTTCCTCTTCACATTGATATAGGTTTCATACATGTGTGTTCACTAAAATGTTTACCATGAATTTTTGAAATCTGGGCATTATTTTGTAATAATCATGCATGTGCCCTCTACTTTTGCTGAAATTAGAGACATAGTGGAAAAATTGCAAAATTTTTAAAATGCTATTTTTAACATGTGAGAGCAATCTTTGGGCCCTCCAAAGCACTCCATAGTCAACTTCTGGCCATGGTGGACCTAGAGAGAACAGGTTAATCAAATCAGTAAATAATCCACAAAAGTTAAACCTGCAAATGTGGAAGCCTGACTGTATTAATTCCCAATTCAAGTTTTAGTCTAAATCCGTATGTATTCTGCCCCACCCCCAAATCTAGAAAACTTGCCCAATGCAAAATTGGTGTAGCATTTGAGAAATGGGGCAGAAAATTGTAAATCATTTCACCACAGCCTAGACTGCCATTAGGGAACGCAAAACTATGATTTCGTGGTCTACTAGAAATAGGGTGAAGGTTCTACATATGGAATGGTAAACCAAAGAGTATTCCTTTTGTACAAAATTAGCCTGATTCTGTTTGGCAGAAGAGAAGCATTATCTGGATTGCAAGGCGTAAGGTAGACACAAAATATAAAGCTTCTGCCTTAGGCAATCACCTGTTCCTGTTCTCCAAACCTATAAAACAGAGGGATAATAATACTGCTCTTTAAATAAATGAACTGGAAAACATCACAATTTGCTATTACCAACATCAACTTTTTTATCTGCTTCTTACCTGATTGAGTTCACACCACATGCTAACACCTCCATTTGCTACCTTGTCATTGAGAATGAAGTAGATTTTGTCAACTGTGAAGCGTAGAGTACAGGTCTTGGCTAGTTTTGTAATTGTGTTTACCACACCTACAGAGATAGTATATTACAATATAATCTAATGGCTTGGGAAAAAAGCATTTATGCACAGTTTCACAATTAAATAGTATAAATACAAATCTGTTGTCATAATAGCATGGTAATGCAGCAGAAATAGGATGTGTGGATAGCTTGAAAATAGCAACATGAAATTTGACAGACTGTTTCCCAAAAGTATACAACATTTAACAGCTAATAAATAATAATAATAATAATAATAATAATAATAATAATAATAATAATAATAAATCTTTATTTATACCCCGCCACCATCTCCCCAGTAGGGACTTGGAGCGGCTTACATGGGGCCAAGCCCGAACAACATATTACAGCAAAATAAAACCAAAGCATAAACAACAAAACAACATCATCAAAATTACAAAAGAAAAAAAGCCATAAAATAACATTCCAATAAACACAATCATGATAACGATTTGCAGATAAGGAGTTGCAGTCCAGGATTAGGAAATAGGAAACATTTATGGATTGCAGGCATGTAGCTGGGGGGGGGGAGGGGGGGCTTGAAGGGCTTCAGCCCCCCTCCCCCCCAAATTCTCATGGTGGTTCGGGAAAAGGCCTTACTGGTGCATTATTTAAACTGTTATGTTTATTCATATCATGATCTGATCACCATGCTCAATATATCCCATATGAATGGGGGTATTGGGGCAACGATACAAAAGGTTTGCTAGGGTAGACCCTCTTTCACTCAGACTCAGCCCCCCCCCCCCCAATCGAAATCCTGGCTACAGGCCTGATGGATTGGGATGCTCTCAAAGACATCCAAGGAGAAGCAAGTTTGCAGCTTGGAAGCAGTGCATTTGGAGCATCCTCCTCCCCTAAAGGGCGTGGTGGAGGGTATGCTGGGAGCTGTTGTTTTCACGCATGCGCTGTATCATCATTTCGCTTTTGGGGTTTTTTAAGTCCTTTCTGCTGTTTTTTAGGAGGGGTTTATGAGTGATGGTCACTTGTTGGTCTGTTAGGGATGTAATCTCCAAATTTGGTGTCAATTCGTCCAGTGGTTTTTGAGTTCTGTTAATCCCACAAACGAACATTACATTCTATTTATATAGATGGGATGATCTAAAATTTATTCAATTTTAATTTTAAAAATATTTCTTCAAATTTTGCTGGTTGTTTGAAAGTTCTGCTTACTTGCATTCCAGTTGATGAAGAGTCTACTACATCGATATATTTGAATACTTACATACACCTATACACTTCTATATAAATAAAAATGTAATGTTCGTTTGTGGGATTAACAGAACTCAAAAACCACTGGACAAATTGACACCAAATTTGGGTACAAGACACCTAACAACCAAATGTATGTCCTTCACTCAAAAAAAAAAAATTTTGTCATTTGGGAGTTGTAGTTGCTGGGATTTATAGTTCACCTACAATCAAAGAGCATTCTGAACTCCATCAACGATGAAATTGAACCAAAATTGGCACACAGAACTCCCATGACCAACATTTGGGAATTGTAGTCACTGGGATTCACAGTTCACCTACAATCAAAGAGCATTCTGAACCCCACAAATGACAGAATCGGGGCAAACTTCCCACACAGAACCCCCATGACCATCAGAAAATACTTAAGGCCATCCAGTCCAACTCCCTTCATCAGGGTAAGAAAACATAATCAAAGTAGTCCTGACAAAGAGCCATGCAGCCATAGATAGATAGATAGATAGATAGATAGATAGATAGATAGATATAGATAGATATGATTCACACATGCAGAGATATAGTATCATAGATTTAAAAGGGACCCCTAAAGAAGGACAATGATATGTTGCATGTTCCAGGGTGGGCAAACCAGATAATCTCCACATGAACACTGACAAAGAAACAGCAAGAATTATAAGTTGCTTACCTGTAACTGTAGTTTCCTGAGTAGTCACCTGTGAAGAACTGCGCAAAGATATCAAATATACGATTCACAGTGACTACGACAGGAAAATACTGTTTACCCACAAGCATAAAGAAATTACATATATTAGAAACCAACACTCTCTCATTACTTTATTTTCCAGATCAACAGACTGGGCCACAGCAACGCATGGCAGGGGACAGCTAATATCTATATGAATAACTAGCTGTCCCCTGCCACGCGTTGCTGTGGCCCACATGGGGGTTCAGTGTGGGAGGTTTGGCCCAATTCTATCGTTGGTGGGGTTCAGAATGCTCTGTGATTGTAGTGAACTATACATCCCAACTACAACTCCCAAATGTCAAGATTCTATTTTCCCCAAACTCCACCAGTGTTCACATTTGGGCATATTGAGTATTCGTGTAGTGTTTGATCCAGATTCATCATTGTTTGAGTCCACAGTGATCTCGGGATGTAGGTGAACTACAACTCCAAAACCAAAGGATACTGCCCACCAAACCTTTCCAGTATTTTCTGTTGGTCATGGGAGAACTGTGTGCCAAGTTTGGTTCAATTCCATGTTTTTAAGGTACTCATTATGCACAGAACCTTTATATATATATACTAGCTGTGCCCTGCCACGCATTGCTGTGGCCTATAGTAAAACTTATCAAAGTTGAGATAGATATCTGGACTATTATGAAAGAGAGGTACCTACCTATTCCTTCCCCCTTTTCCTCCCCCTTTCTCTCCTTTCTTCCTTCTCTACCTCTTTCTTTCTTTCCTTCTTTCACTACTTGGTTTCATACTTCTCTCTTTCCTTCATTCCCTCCCCCTTTCTTCCTTTGCCTTTCTTCCCTCCCTGTTTGCTTCCTTCTTTCACTTTTTATTTCCTTTTATTTCACCACCATCATAACAATAACAATAATGCAATGCATTGCCTCTGGGACCTGACACCTCTCCCATTCCCCCAGGGTCTCATAGGAATAATAGCATAATAATAATAGAAATAACAACCTTTACCCGCCACGTGCTGTGGCCAACCTTCCCTCTTTCTCTCCTTCTTTCCTTCCTTCCTTCCTTTCCTTTCCTCCTTCCTTCCTTCCTTCTTCCTTCCTTCTTCCTTCCCTTCCCTTTCCTTCCCTTCCTTTCCCTCCCTTCCTTTTCCTTCTCTCTTCCTCTCTATCTCTTTCCTTCCTTCCCCCTTTTTCTCTTTCTTCTGTCTCTTTTTCCTTCCTCTTTCCTTCCTTCCTTCCCTCCCTCTTTCTCTACATCTTCCTCCTCCTTCCCTCTTCCCTTCCTTCATTCCCTTTTTTTCCTTCTCTCCCTTCCTTCTCCCCTTTTTCTTTCTCTTCTGGTCTCTTTTTTCCTTCTCTCTTTCCTTCTTTCCTTCCCTCCCTCTTTCTCTACATCTTCTCCCTTCCTTCACTCCCTCTTTCCTTCCTTCTTCCCTTTTTTCTTTCCTTCTCTCTCCTTCCTTCCTTCCCCCTTTTTCTTTCCCCCTCCTCTTCTCTCCTTTCTTCCTTCTCTACCTCTTTTCTTCCTTCTCCCTTTCTTCTCTTCTGCTTCTCTCTTTTCTTTCCTTCTCTTCTTTTCTTTCCTTTCTTTCTCTAACTTCTTCCTTCCCCTTTTTCTTCCTCCCTTTCTCTTTCTTCCTTTTTTCTTCCTGTTCTTTCCTGGATTTTGACAGGGCGGGAAGGGGCGGGGTGGGGTTTGGAGGTGGCGTGAAGTAAAAGGAGGTAAGATTGGGCGGGGGGAGTGATGGAGCGTGGGGTTGTGTGTGTGTGTGCGGCGGCGGGGGGAGGATGGAGCGTGGGGGTGCGTGTGTGTGTGCGGCGGCAGGGGGAGTGGGGTTGCGTGTGTGTGCGGCAGCGGGGGAGTGATGGAGCGTGGGGTTCTGTGTGTGTGTGCGGCGGTGGGGGGAGTGGGGTTGTGTGTGTGTGTGTGCGGCAGCGGGGGAAGTGATGGAGCGTGGGGTTGTGTGCGGCGCGGTGGGGCTTGGAGTGGGCATGGCTTCCGCAGAGGGAACGTTGGCCGGAAGGCCGTGTGCGCGCGCCAGGGAATTGCGGCTGGGCGCCAATGCGCATGCTCAGTTGTTTTGCCGTTTTGTGAGTGTGTTGTTGTGTTGTTTTTCATTTTGAGTAGATATGTTTGTACCTTGTGGGTTGTGTTATGGGCATGGGAATTTTGGTTAAGTTTTGTTGGGGTTTTTTTGAGTTTTGTGGCTCCGTTGGATGCCCCTAACAAATTTATATATATATATATATATATATATATATATATATATATATATATATATATTAAGGTATAAAAGCAAACTTTTACTGATGATCAGCTTTTGCAAAGTTTGCTAAACAGGCAGATCTGTTTTTCTGCAAACACTGCACCTTGTTGCTAACAGATTAGTGCAAAGGTGTTCAAGAACCTGATGGCAATTTGTTGACACCAACACTGAACCAAGAGGACCCCTCAGTCAAAGAAACAGTGATCTATGTGCCAGCCACTTTCCTGAGATAAGCCCTCCAAGGCTACTCTACACAGGATCATTGAGACTATCACTGAGACAGTGCACCCCACTGATGGAGAATAGAGTGTCGCGAGCGTAGTGACGTCAGAGGAGCCCTGGGCGCGAGCCCTTCCAGCTGAAGAGCCGGAGCCAATCAAACCGGCGCCCAGGCGCCTGCGCAGACTAGCCTTCTCTTTCCGTCTTCATACTCACGAGTGAAGTGGTTGAGGCACGCAACGTCCACCAGCTTCCCTCTGAAGCGCATGGTGAAGAAAGAGCCAAGGAATGCCTCAGGCTTCTATTCGAATCCCCGCCTTGTGCGCCTCCTCCCTCGACATGCTCTTTTTCCCGCTGCCATCAGGTTCCACCGAGAGACAACCCGGAAATGCTGTCTTGAACTCAGCAAGGCATCCTGGGAAACGTAGTCTTTGGCCGACAAATCCCAGCCAATCCGAGCGTTGCGCTCTCTCTCTTTTTCACTTTGAATTGCTTACATGCCTGTGCTAGGTTCCAGATAGGTTTACAGCTTGTTGGCATTGGACCATTGGGTCCAAGTGCATTTTTAATAATAATAATAATAATAATAATAATAATAATAATAATAATAATAATGTATTGTCGAAGGCTTTCATGGCTGGAATCACTCAGTTCTTGTAGGTTTTTTCGGGTTATAGGGCCATGTTCTAGAGGCATTTCTCCTGACGTTTCGCCTGCATCTATGGCAAGCATCCTCAGAGGTAGTGAGGTCTGTTGGAAATGGGAAAAAAGGGGTTTATATATCTGTGGAATGACCAGGGTGAGACAAAGGGCTTTTGTAAGTTGGGCTAGGTGTGAATCTTTCAACTGACCACCTTGATTAGCATACAATGGGCTGACTGTGCCTGGAGCAAACTCTTCTTGAAAGATGATTAGATGTCCCTGCCTGTTTTTCTCTCTGCTGTTTTTGCTGTTGCAATTTTAGAATTTTTTAATACTGGTAACCAGATTTTGTTCATTTTCATGGTTTCTTCCTTTCTGTTGAAATTGTCCACATGCTTGTGTATTTCAATGGCTTCTCTGTGTAGTCTGACATGGTGGTTGTTCGAGTGGTCCAGCATTTCTGTGTTCTCAAATAATATGTTGTGTCCAGGTTGTTTCATCAGGTGCTCTGCTATGGCTGACTTCTCTGGTTGGAGTAGTCTGCAGTGCCTTTCATGTTCCTGGATTCGTGTTTGGGCAATGCTGCGTTTGGTGGTCCCTATGTAGACTTGTCCACAGCTGCCTGGTATACGGTAGACTCCTGCAGAGGTGAGAGGATCCCTCTTGTCCTTTGCTGAACGTAGCATTTGTTGGATTTTCTTGGTGGGTTTGTAGATTGTTTGTATGTTGTGTTTCCTCATCAGCTTCCCTATGCGGTCAGTGGTTCCCTTGATATAGGCAACCTGGACACAGCATTTTATTTGAGAACACAGAAATGCTGGACCACTCTCACAACCACCATGTCAGACTACACAGAGAAGCCATTGAAATACACAAACATGTGGACAATTTCAACAGAAAGGAGGAAACCATGAAAATGAACAAGATCTGGCTACCAGTATTAAAAAATTCTAAAATTGCAACAGCAAAAACAGCAGAGAGGAAACAGGCAGGGACATCTAATTACCTTTCAAGAAGAGTTTGCTCCAGGCACAGTCAGCCCATTGTATGCTAATCAAGGTGGTCAGTTGAAAGATTCACACCTAGCCCAACTGACAAAAGCCCTTTGTCTCACCCTGGTCATTCCACAGATATATAAACCCCTTTTTTCCCAGTTCCAGCAGACCTCACCTCTGAGGATGCTTGCCATAGATGCAGGCGAAACGTCAGGAGAAATGCCTCTAGAACATGGCCATATAGCCCGAAAAAACCCACAAGAACTGAATAATAATAATAATAAATAATAATTATGATATAAATAAATAATAAAATATTCCAAGTTGGAGATTTTTCTTTATTGTATGTTTAATCATAAGGCAGTGGTTCCCAACGTTTGTGCCTCCGGGTGTTTTGGACTTCAACTCCCAGAAATCCCAGCCAGCTTTCCAGCTGTTAGGAACTGTGGGAGTTGAAGTCCAAAACACCCGGAGACCCAAGGGTTGGGGAACCACTGCTGTAGAATCATAATAATAGGATCATAAAGGAGTGATAGGTTTGGGGGTGGCTTTGAGCAGCAGAATTCCAGTCAGCACTCTTAATACTATTGCCCCAACTTTATTCTCCATCTTCATCGCTATATTTCACCTTGTTGATGGGAAGCTTCCCAGCAGAGTGGAAATCATCTATCGAACAGATAGCAAGCTGTTTAATCTCAGCAGACTGAAAGCCAAAACCATGGTTACAACATCTGTTATTGTAACTCCAGTATGCTGATGACAACGTCATCTGTAGGCATTCAGAAGATCTACAAGCCACTCTAAACGCCTTCACAGAAGCTTACAAGAAGCTCGGCCTGTCATTGAACATCGAGAAAACCAAAGTGCTGTTCCAGCAGACACCAGCCAACCCCTCTCCAGTGCCAGTGATACAGATTAATGGTGTAACATTAGAAAATGTTGATTATTTCCACTACCTTGGCAGCTACCTCTCCACAAAAGTCAACATCGACACCAAAATACAACACTGCCTGAGCTCTGCGAGTGCAGCATTTTTCCGAATGAAGCAGTTGCATCTGTCAAGTAGGAAAATAAGGTACCACCTTAAAGTGTGGGGAGGCTAAATTAACTGATTTATGAGGCCATATAGAAGACTCCAGCAAAGCATTCCAGCGGGGAAGCATGTGGGAAATGCGGAAGTGCTTCATCTGCATCGCAGATGGACGATGAAAGCGACAGCTCCCCTGGCGGCCAGAAAAAGTTAAATAGCCTCTGTGTATGTCTGTATATGTTTGTATGTCAAAAATTGGCATTGAATGTTTGCCAGATATGTGTATACTGTAATCCACCCTGCAAGGTGAGAAAGGCGGAATATAAAAGCTATAAATAAATAAATAAATAAATAAAGTATTGTAACTATCTAAAAACAAACGTTTCTTTCTGAGAGTGCCCGTCCTTTACTGAATTGGAGGAAAACAGTGGACTTCTGGACCAGAAATGTAATAAGGGTGGTTTAGGAAAATGTGAGCCAGCACTAATTGTAAAGTTGTTTCCTTCCATGGAATCATAAAATTGGAAGAGACTGCAAGAGCCACCCAGTCCAACCCCCTGCTGTGCAGGTACACAACCAAAGCACTCCAAATGCAAAGATACAGAATGAGGGAAGCGTGGTTCAAGAGAAGGACGTGTGAAAAAGATCTTGTGGTCTTTGTGGACAACAAGTTAAACAAGCCAACAATGTGATGCTGCGGCAAAAAAACCCAATGGGATTTTGGCCTGCATCAATAGGAGTCTAGTGTCTAGATCCAGGGAAGTCATGCTACCCCTCTATTCTGCCTTGGTTAGACCACACCTGGAATATTGTGTCCAATTCTGGGCACCACAATTGAAGAGAGATATTGACAAGCTGGAATGTGTCCAGAGGAGGGCGACTAAAATGATCAAGGGTCTGGAGAACAAGCCCTATGAGGAGAGGCTTAAGGAGCTGGGCATGTTTAGCCTGAAGAAGAGAAGGATGAGAGGAGATATGATAGCCATGTATAAATATGTGAGGGGAAGCCACAGGGAGGAGGGAGCAAGCTTGTTTACTGCTTCCATGGAGATTAGGACACGGAATAATGGCTTCAAACTACAAGAAAGGAGATTCCATCTGAACATTAGGAAGAACCGTTTTTTGTTTTTTTTGGCGGGTTCTACTATATCCTTTCCATTGGAAACCTAAATGGTATCTCTTTAACCTCAGCAGCCCGAAAGCCAAAAGCAAGGTAAGAACAACTTATTTTATAGAACTCCAATATGCTGAGAGCCGTTCAGCAGTGGAACTCTCTGCTCCAGAGTGTGGTGGAGGTTCCTTCTTTGGAAGCTTTTAAACAGAGGCTGGATGGCCATCTGTCAGGGGTGTTTTAATGCAATTTTCCTGCTTCTTGGCAGGAGGTTGGACTGGATGGCCCTCTTCCAACTCTGATTATATCCTGACAGGTGGCCATCTAGCCTCTGATTTAAAAACCTGCAAAGGAGAGACTCCACAACATTCTGATGCAGCATGTTCCACTGTCAAATAGTTCTAACCATCAGGAAGTTATTTTCCTGAACTTTGAATTCATTCTCTGTGTCCTAGCCTCTAGAGCAATGGTTCTCAACCTTTGGTCCTCCAGATGTTTTGGACTTCAAATCCCAGAAATCTCAGCCAGGTATCACCTGTTAGGAATTGTGGGAGTTAAAGTCCAAAACATCTAGAAGACCACTGCTCTAGAGCAACAGAAAACAAGCTTGCCCCCTTCTCAATGTGACATCCTTTCAACTATTTAAACATGGCCATCATATCCCCTAAAACAAGCTTGCCCCCTTCTCAATGTGACATCCTTTCAAATATTTAAACATGGCCATCATATCACCTCTCAACTTCTTCTGCAGGGTAAACATCCCCAACTCTTTAAACTGTTCGTCATAGAGCAGTGGTTCTCAACCTGTGGCTTCCCAGGTGTTTTGGCCTACAACTCCCAGAAATCCCAGCCAGTTTACCAACTGTTAAGATTTCTGGGAGTTGAAGCCCAACGTATCTGGGGACTCAAAGGTTGAGAACCACTGAGTTTGGCTTCCAGCTTCTCAGTATCCATAATTCAAAAATGACAAACATGGTTTGTGGTTTATGGCTCTGTGGATAGTAATGCTAGATACTACATAGTATTAAAAGTTAAAAAAAAGAAAAGAAAAAAGATTTCTCCCTGAGTTTTTCATTTATTTTTTCTGATTTTTTTATTGACACAGAAGCACAGCAAGTTTCCACCACTTTCGCATCATGCTATTATGGCTTTATTCTCATACCTGCAGGTTCACAGTACAGAAGACCTAGGTGTCTTCCACATTTCCATGGACCCTGAAGCGATATATGCATGTGTAGTTTGGATGTCCCCAGTTGTTTAGTACATTCAATTTTATATATCCCATAAAGTTAGGCAATTCATTCTGAAAGAGAGAAAGCTCTTTTAATTCTTGCAACTGTAATTTAGTTCAGCTAAATTGAATTAATAAATTAGCTTTTCCCTGTCATACACTCATCACATATCTGGAATTCTAGTTATGTCTCAAGGAAATTACAGTGATAACAAAAACATGTTGATCACCTACATCAAGTTAGCACTAGATAAGCTTGGTCAGGAAAAGCACTTTATAATGTCCCCTTGTGGTTCACGTACCTTTAATTGGAATGTTTGAATTATATCTCCTTCAATGTCATAAACAAAATGACCTAAGAAAGTTCCCTCTGTCTCCTCCTCCTCTTTTAGTCCCTAAAGGAATGGCATATCATTAGTAGTCAAGAAAACAGCAGAGTATTATAGAGCTTCCCAGATAAAACTAATAGCTAGTAAAATAAAGACAAAGGCTGTATCTACACGGTAGAATACAGTGCAATTTGACACCACTTTAATTGTCAAATCTCAGTGCTATGGAATCCTGGGATTTGTAGATTGATGAGGTACTAGCACTTTTTGGCAGAGAAGACTAAAGACCTTGAAAAAGTACCATTCTCATGATTTCATAACATTGAGTGATGGAGTCAAAGTACATTAATTCTACATTATAGATGCAACCAAAGATAGTATTTGTGTAGCTATACTATGAACAAAGGATGATAATTACTTGCAATTGTTGTTTATTAGGATGAGAATTATTCAGAATTTATGCTTACTACATCAATAATATCCTATGTCTTTGATTCTAAGATGTATTCCTCCAAGATAAACATTTTAGGAAATGGTAGATTTGCATGAAGCCCAAAGGAGTGGATTGATGACAAATCTGATAGGATACTGTAAGGATACTGTAAGGATGGAGATGGTCAAAGTATGGAAAAAATACAAATATAGAATATGAGCTATACTTTTATCTGAAAAATTAACATGCAAAGTAAGATTAGCGGAGAATAAAAGATAATTTGTTCGTGGTTAAATGGAAACTGTTTATCTGCTGTTTGGATAATAGGTTTAAATCACCTTTTGATTGAATAAGATTTTGGATCAAAGATTAGGGAAAGATACAGTTAATACTGAATAAATTAGACAACTGCATAAAATATAATCAGTAAGAGGATTGATAGGGAAGTAGATGTAAATGTCTATGACTTGGGAAGGAAGGATGGATGAGATATAAGCAAGATTTTACAATATAATATAATGTAATATAATATATTGTATATATACATATGATATTTATAATACTACTAGCTGTACCCGCACGTGTTACTATGGCCAACCTTCCCTCCTTTTCTCTCTCCTTCTTTCTTTCACTCCTTCCCTCCCTTCCTCTTTCCTTCCTTCCTTCCCTGTTTTTCTTTCGTTCTCTCCTTCCTTCTATACCTCTTTCCTTCCTTCTCCTCCCATTTTCTTTCTCTCCTTTCTTCTCTACCTATTCTTGGACTGCAACTCCCAGCAGTCCTCCTGACTGATCTATCTACCTACTATCTGTCTCTAATCTATCTATCTTATCTATCTGGAGGGTTGCTGGGAGTTGCAGTCCAGGAATAGGAAATATGTACGGATTAGGATGCTCTTAAATAAATCCAAGGAGAAGCAAGCCTGCAGTTTGGAAGTAGTGCATTTTGAGCATCCTCCTCCCCTAAAGGGCCTGGTCTAGGGGATGCTGGGAGCTGTCGTTTTTGCACATGTTGCTGTATCATCATTTAGCTTTTTGGGTTTTTTTTTATCCTTTCCGCTATATTTTGGGAGGAGTTTATGAGTGATGGTCACTCGTTGGTCTGTTAGGAGTGTAGTGTCCAAATTGCGTGTCAATTCATCCAGTGGTTTTTGAGTTATGTTAATCCCACAAACGAACATTACATTTTTATTTATATAATGTAATGCAATATAATACTACTAATAATATATTATAATTATATATTTATATTACATGTAATATTACTAATAATATTAATAATAATATTACAATATAATGGCATAGTACAAAATAGTAATATTTAATACTGATATTGTACTATGCTAATAATATAATAAGCCTCTGAGTCCCCTTCAGGGTGAGAAGGGTGGCATATAAATGTCGTAAATAAATAAAAATAAAATTTTAAATTATGATGTATTCCTGTAATGTAATATCAAATATATTGTGAAAAATTAATAAAATTATTTTAAAACATAAATTTTAAAAAATTACAGACGAAACCCTTCAAACTGATAAGAACAGAAGAGAAGAAAAGTAAAAGGTGAGACAAATAGAGGCAGAGCACTAAATGTAATTGTTCAATGATTATACACAGGGACAAGGAGAACTACTATAATAATCAATATGGAGAAGTAGAATATGCCAACAAGAAAAGAAAATCAAGAGATTTCTTCCAGATGATCCAAGAAATCAAAGTTAAGATTAAATACAAATGCAAATACTCTCTATAGCCAGCAGGGGGACACATTACATCAACAAGTAGAAATGAAAAGCTGATGGAAACAATACACAGAAGAGTTATATAAAAGATGAAAGGGTGACTTTCGTTTGAGGAAGAATCATTTGAAGACAGTTTTAGAAAGTGAAGTGAAAACTGCACTCAGAGTCCTTGGGTGAAATAAATAACCAGCAACAGATGACATACCAATAGAGCTGCTTCAGTCTACAGAGACAAAATCTGTGCAAGTTCTAACTAAAACCTGCCCCAAAAAATGAGAACAAGCTATAAGGACCAAGTAGCAACAGTAAGAATCGACCATGGAACAACAGACTGGTTCAAGATTGGGAAAGGCGTATGGCAGGGTTGTATACTCTCACCCAACCTATTTAACTTGTATGCAGAACACATCATGCGATGTGCTTTCTTCTCACGATGTGGCCAAAGTACTTCATATTTGCTTCTAATATCCTTCCCTCCAATGAACAGTCGGCTTTATTTCCTGAAGTATGGACTGGTAAGATTTTCTTGTGGTCCAAGGCACTCTCAGAACTTTTCTCCAACACCACAGTTCAAAAACATCTATCTTCCTTCGCTCAGCCTTCCCTAAGGTCCAGCTCTCACATCCGTAGGTGACTACAGGGAATACCATTGCTTTAACTATGTGGATCTTTGTTGCCAGTGTGATGTCTCTGCTCTTTACTATTTTATCGAGATTGGACATTGCTCTCCTCCCAAGAAGTAAAGGTCTTCCGATTTCCTGGCTACAGTCTGCATCTGCAGTAATCTTTGCACCTAGAAATACAAAGTCTGTCACGGCCTCCACATTTTCTCCCTCTATTTTCCAGTTGTCAATCATTCTTGTTGCCATAATCTTGTTTTTTTTTTTTTATGTTTAGCTGCAACCCAGCTTTTGCGCTTTCTTCTTTCACCTTGATTAGAAGGCTCCTCAGCTCCTCCTCGCTTTCGGCCATCAAGTGGTGTCATCTGCATATCTAAGGTTGTTAATGTTTCTTCCAGCAATTTTCACCCCAGCCTTGCATTCCTCAAGCCCTGCACATCACATGATGTGTTCTGCATACAAGTTGAATAGGTTGGGGGAGAGTATACAACCCTGCCGTACGCCTTTCCCAATCTTGAACCAGTCTGTTGTTCTGTGGTCAGTTCTTACTGTTGCTACTTGGTCCTTGTACAGATTCCTCAGGAGAGAGACAAGGTGGCTTGGGATGCCCATCCCACCAAGAACTTGCCACAATTTATTATGATCCACACAGTCAAAGGCTTTAGAATAGTCAATGAAGCAGAAGGAGATGTTTTTCTGAAACTCCCTGCCTTTCTCCATTATCCAGCGGATATTGGCAATCTGGTCTCTCGTTCCTCTGCCTTTTCTAAACCCAGCCTGAACATCTGGCAACTCTCGCTCCATGTATTGCTGGAGTCTTCCTTACAGGATCTTGAACATTACCTTACTGGCATGAGAAATAAGGGCCACTGTACGGAAGTTTGTATATACCATATATTATATTACATTATATTAAATTAAATTAGTAACATAGCACAGGAGACAAGGTGGAACTGTCCCCTGGCCCCCCTCTCTTCACTCTGGCCCAGAGCGGCAGTTGGTGCTGGGGGAGGGCCCCCCAACTGATGGCATATGCAAGAGAAAGATGGAACTGTCTCCTGGCCACTATGGCCCAGAGCGGCAGTTGGTGCTGGGGGGAGGGGTCCCCAACTGATGACATATGCAGGAGACAAGGTGGAACTGTCCCCTGGCCCCCCTCTCTTCACTCTGGCACACAGCGGCAGTTAGTGCTGGGGGAGGGGCCCCCAACTGATGACATATGCAGGAGACAAGGTGGAACTGTCCCCTGGCCCCCTCTCTCTTCACTCTGGCCCAGAGCGGTGGTTCGTGCTGGGGGGAGGGGTCCCCAGCTGATGACATATGCAGGAGACAAGGTGGAACTGTCCCCTGGCCCTGTGTCTCTTCACTCTGGCTCAGAGCAGCAGTTGGTGCTGGGGGGAGGGGTCCCCAACTGAGGTGGCCTCTCTAGTATGGGACTTGGAAGCACTACTTTATAGTGGTTCCCATTCTTCTTGGAGGAGCAGATTCAAAAGAGTGATGCTGGGAAGTGCCCATTTGACATCTTGGCTGTAGTGTCTCTCAAGATTTAACCCTGTCCTCCATGTTGTTCAATATTTGCAAGAAATAACTAGAAATTTGGATAATCAGTGCCATCAGTATACAGATGCCACCCAATTCTATCTTTCTACCTGATTCCTAGGAATCTGTTTCTGTACTAAAGTAGTGTCTGCAATTATTTCATAATTTGCTTCACTCACAACTCCTTACTAAATTATGAATGAAGTTTGAAACACAATACTCACATATATCACAAAATCTTTGGGAGCACTGCTGATCTCTCCTGTAGGGGATACTTTCTTGGAGATATGTTCTATTGTAACAGCTTTCGGAATAATTTCCCTGGCAAGTCTGACAACAATTTCTCCTTGATTTCCAGGGAATGGCCAGCAGTTTCCAGGGTAGCAATTAGGCTGGAAGAGAATGCAAATACTGTAATAATAGTCATTATCATTATCATCATTATCTTAGTGTTATATATAATTCAGAGAAAACGTGTGTATTTAAAGTAAAGGATTTTTTCCCCATATAGGCAGTTCGAAATTCTAATGCTGTTGAATAGAAAGTTTATTTTATTATTAGCTGGAGTTTTATTAAAATTATTAATAAAAGAAAAGGGAAAAACACTTCATGTTTTTAGTTTAAAAAAAACATACATCCTGCCACAAGCCCTCCAACAAACGTACAGAATCATGAATCTAAGAATTTTCACAATAGCCTTATAACAATAAATATTCAGAGGCAATTTTGTACTCACTTCTATCTTCTAGCTGGGTTTCTGCTCTGACTTCATCTTATATCACCTATTATCCCACCAAGTATAATTTATGTCTACAGAATGGCTGTAATAGTGGATACTTAACCTGGAGGTTTCCTTACTCTAACAGAGCAGTCAATGAGAGATCAACTCTTATAGCCCAAGAATGGCTACACCTTACACTTTGTCTCTAGATCCTGCGCTCCCAGAATCCCTCCAGTTCTACCAAATTGTTGTGGTAAAGACAATTTTAATCTGATCACTGCATAAGATAAGTTTCCTCCTCCCACTAGGTCTAGAGAACCTGAGAGAAGAGATCCCAACATCAAACTCAACCAGAAAGCAAGTGTCAACTATTCCATTCTTACTTTGTTGTGAGGAAGCATTTGGTAGTGGGATGTCTACGAACTAACCTAAAGGAGGATGACAGAAGTTGAAATTGAGAATGAAAAATGTGTTATAGCACTTTTCTTCCAAAAGCTGCTTCTACAATGATAGAAGCAACCAAATGCCAAGTTTATTGAAGAACCTAGCAATTATATGTGTAGTAGCTTTATATGTTTATGTAGGGGTGCATTTAGGTTCAAACTACACATTATATGGCGTGCATATTCCATATGAGCAACCTATTTTACCTCCAAAAATGGGATATCCTCAGAGATATGTCTCATAAACTGGACTCACAAATTAAGCTTAGGTTTCTCCAATGACGAATCTGTTGGAATTCAACTATGCTCTACATAAGAAAGCAGCGTTCCTGAAGGGAAATGGCCAGAGCAGTAGATAGGGTTCAGAAAGTTGGTAGGGAAGCCCATCCCTAACTCGCCATCTCTCTCCATCTGCCTTGCCCCCGCCTGTCATGTGTAAATTGATATTCTCAGGGCACCCCCCCCCCCCCCCACTTACTCAAGTCTCCAGCTCCCTTCCTGGAATATTCCTTTCCTTTGTTCTCAGAAATGTGAGCCAGTGGTCGACTGGGTGTAAAATATTGGATTGCCAGCAGATAAAGAAGGGCTGCCCACAACTATAAAGCTATCATTTAATTTTTATAAGAAATAAACGAAATCCTAAACATATACATAAGTGGGAAAAGCTACAATTAAATTATTGGGAAATAAATGTATATTTTAGTAATTACACTGTACATAAGTTGTACATATTACTGGCAGCATACAGTAGATAGTGAATGTAAATACAGATTGTTATAATTTAATTTTAATTATTTTTTAAATTTGAAACAAATGGTGGATATTTTTAAATAGTTTGCAGGTAGTTTAAATAGTTAACAGGTAGTTCAAAAGCATATTTCATGCAGCCCACTATATTAAGAGCAAAAGAGCAATAGTTTCCGTTCATTAGATTATTGTGAATTGTTTCTGCATCCTATTCTTCTATCAGTTTCTTTTAAATAGATAGCAACATGTGTGAGTCGGCAGTACTGAGGCCAGTACTACAATGCAGGCGAAACGTCAGGAGAGAATGCCTCTAGAACATGGCCTTATAGCCCGAAAAAACCTACAACAACCCAGTGATTCCGGCCATTTAAGCCTTCGACAATACAATGAAAAATATTTGCTATCTTTGCAACATATGCAGTAGCTCACCACAAAGTTGACTTTGTGTTGAGCTACTGCACATCATGATCCCAGGCTGGGATGCCCAGCTAAGCTTGATGGTGCAGGCACAATAGCAAAGATCGGGGTCTATATAATGTATGTGTTGGCCGATCATAATTTTTTTTCCTTAAATATACTGTATCCTCAATGATGATGTTATCTTTTTATTAAAATAGTAAGACAACATACATTGTAGTTTCATACAGTAATGATGTTGGAATTTCGATTATATTTTCAAGCTTCTAGAAAGTCATTTAACATTTTATACATGTTGTCTAATATTTAAGGGGGCCACTTGTCAATGGCTTCACTGCCCATTATACTGGGAGCTCATATCCTGCTAATACACTAAAAAAAACAATATAGAAAGGAAGAAAATATCTTCTTTAGGTTCATTTCTACCTCCAGGATTACATCTGGTGACTTCACAAAAGGAAGAATAACGAATGACTTCCAGAAGTATTTTGCTCTATCATGGCGGTAGCTTCTGGTGGTTCTGGACCGAACAATGCTTGCACCTAAAATTGAAATAGATATGTAATAATGCTTCTCATAACTGGTGGATTTAAAATGTGGTACAGTGTCAAACTGACTCCTAGCTGTACTGTTTGTCATACTATCCAGAGAAAACAGCCTTTTTACCAAAGTGTATGTATGACTAATTTCCTCTAATTTGGTTTTTAAAAAGTGGGGAATGGGAAATTCTGACTTTTCTTCATTACACAAATGAGTTACAGTTGTCATTACTATCAAGAACAGTATAAGAGATGTGTTCTGACTTTAAGGTTGACCAACCTATAAGCAAGAGTCATGTTCTATTCAAGTTGCTGAAAGGCCATAGCAAGGCAGACAGGAGCTAAAGGAATTTCTCATTATATACCTTCAGAGCAGGGTTAACACATTTCTGCAAGTCCAGTGGCTATTCATGACTCCATACGAACCTGAAGAGCTCTATATGTTCCCAAAGGGCTATCCCATTCTGCACTTTTTAAAAAGTGTTCCCCCTCCCTTAATCCCACACACCCTATATCCCCAGGAGGCATTTGATGGCATTTTACTTGCTCTTCAGGGCCACAAAAACTACTTTGAGGACTATATGTAAAAAGGTAATTTTGTCAGTCTAAGTCTAGCTAGACTAGACGCTGGAGAGTCTTTTTCCCACCCACCCCCACCCCCCCAAAAGTGACCACAAATTGATGAGGAGATAGTGAAAGCAGAGGACAGCCTTTGTAAAAATATTTTTATTATTTTATCATAGTTCAATACATTTGTTATACATTGTTTATTTTACAGCAGATTCATATTATTCAATATAACCTACCATACTTTAACTTTTGGCATCTACTGTTATTTTTCTGCTTATACATATTATCTATCTGTCACCACTGAGCTACAACTCTCAACAGACATCACCATTAGTACTGACCAGGCATGTAGCCGGGGGGGGGGGGGGGGGGCTTGAGGGGCTTCAGCCCCCCCCCTGAAATTCTCATGGTGGTCCGTGAGAAGGCCTTACTGGTACATTATTTAAACTGTTATGTTTATTCATATCATGATCTGATCACCATGCTCAATATATCCCATATGCATGGGGGTATTGGGGTAACGATACAAAAGGTTTGCTAGGGTAGACCCTCTTTCACTCAGACTCAGCCCCCCCCCCCCCCCGAATCAAACTCAGTTCCCCCCGAATCAAAATCCTGGCTACGGGCCTGGTACTGGCTAAATTTGAGAGAATATCTGGGATGTCACGCTGTGAGCCCAGAATTTGGAAAAAGGTTGTTTGTATTCCCAGAATTCCCACCCAGTATGACCACTGTTTGGGAATGGCAGTTCAAAAATTAACTTCTCTAACCTATGTTTGCTGGGAGGCTTGCCTTGGCTACCCGATGAACCGAGATGCCTGTTGTGACTTCTAAAGCATGAACATAACATATCTTAGTAGTAAAGCTGATTGTGCTAGGTTGCAAAATACCAAATGAACTTCCCAACTTCCAAAAGTATGATTAACAATCATTGCCATTAATACCTGCTGATTTGAGGGCATAATCAGGCATTTGAACATAATCTTCATCCATCTTTTCCATTATTTTTTTAAGCATCTTTTCAACACTCTGTCAGTGGATGAGAATAAGTTGAAATTCACTCAACAGTACATATTGAAATTAAATGAAGAGAAAAATATCTAAATCACATAATATGCAAACACACACAGGCACAAAACCAAAATACGTAACAACACTGACTTACAGTTAAGTTTTACAGAGTTCTTTCACTTTATTCCTTCATTTGGGTCAAAGTGACCAACCTATACTTTGTGTGCCACAGGTACTCCAAATAATCAAAGATGATGTTGTATCTAGATAGAAATATTCCATGTCTGGCTATAGCATCGAAACATTCTTACCTAGAGATGTGAAGGGCTAGAAAAAAAGCAGAACTTCCCTCACTCAAGTGTTTTGTTCATAATCAGTATATGTATTGGTGGGTTCCTTCTTGTTTTTGCTCTTTCCAAACCTTCACGTCTACATAGAATTCTAGCATATAGGTTGGACTAGATGGCTTTTGTGTTTTCTTCCAGCTGTAAGAGTTGGGATAATGTCAAGCATCACCTGCTTCCCTGTTTTGTTGCCTTTTCTCAATCTAAAGCCTAGGCAAAGCCATCATAAGGCAGGAGGGATGTGTGTGTGTGTGTGTGTGTGTGTGTGTGTGCAGTATAGTAAAAGTGTGACACGATTTTATTTTCTGAATAATTGCTAAGTAGATTGGTCACCACTGATTTAATTAACTAGATAATATAGAAGTTAAAGTAGGTATGTATGTATATATGTCTGTTTGTACCACAAAGGCTGTTGCTATGTGGCCCTCTGTGATGTCACTAGATTGGCTGTTGCTAGGTGAAGTGGCCCTCAGTGATGTCACTAAGAAAGATGACTCATGTATGGGAGGGAGGGATGGAAGGAAGGAAAGAAAGAAAAGGAGAAGGGAGGGAGGGAGGCTTTCATAGTCACTCAGGTCAACTATGACATAAAGATCAGTTGCTCTTATGTGTGGGAAAGGGCAGGCATCAGAGGTTTTCTGTGATTTATGACAATGTAGGTATAGCCCTAAATATATATTGGCTGTAGAGCATGACTCAGGTATTCTGAACAATAAAGATATTTGGTATATTCAGCTCCTGTGGATCTTGGAGTATTCTTTCAAGAGAAGGCTAACTCTATAGCAACATCCGATGTAAAGGACCATTACAGAGGTGGAAGAAAGAAAAAGGAGGGAAGGAGGTAGAGGAGAGGAAAGGGAAGGGGGAAAGGTATGAGCCGAGGGGAAGAATGAAAGAGGAAGAAGGGATGAAAGCAGGGGGGCAGCAGCCCCTCTGACACTTGGATGCTGGGTATATACACTATAAAGGTAAAGGTTTTCCCCTAACATTAAGTCCAGTCGTGTCCGACTCTGGGGGTTGGTGCTCATAATAATAATAATAATAATAATAATAATAATACTTTATATACCGCTTCATCTCCCCGAGGGGACCCAGAGCGGTTCCCAGGTAACATCACAAAACACACAAGTAAAAACAACATAGCCATAAGATTAACAAAACAAATTATAAGCATAAAAATTGTCGCCATAACACACATATATTAAAAGTAATCCTGCCTGTTCAAGGCAATTAAAAAATTTAAAAGGCCGGGCCAAGTTTTGTGCAAGCCCAAAAATTCTAGGGGCCCCGGGAATTAAGTGCATGCTATGGCGGGCAAGAGTAATATTAGGTACGGGTATGTGGCGGTTCATTCCAGGGCCAATTAGAGGAAAGAATCTGGGTAATTGGTAGGAAGAATAAGGCCATATTCGACAATGTGTAAGGCTGAGTTAGAACTGGCCATTTGCAAAGGCTTGTTGAAATGTCCAATGTGTCCAATGTGTCCAAACTAATCCAATGTGGGCTAGGCAAAACTACGGTGAGGTGGATCTGTAATTGGTTAAGTGGACGAACACAGAGAGTGCTCACTAATGCTTCCTCTTCATCTTGGAAAGAAGTGACAAGTGGAGTTGCCTCAGGGTTCCGTCCTGGGCCCGGTCCTGTTCAACATCTTTATTAATGACTTAGATGAAGGGCTAGAAGGCATGATCATCAAGTTTGCAGACGACACCAAATTGGGAGGGATAGCCAATAGTCCAGAGGACAGGAGCAGAATTCAAAAATATCTTGACAGATTAGAGAGATGGGCCAAAACTAACAAAATGAAGTTCAACAGTGACAAATGCAAGATACTCCACTTTGGCAGAAAAAAATGAAATGCAAAGATACAGAATGGGTGACGCCTGGCTCGAGAGCAGTACGTGTGAAAAAGATCTTGGAGTCCTCGTGGACAACAAGTTAAACATGAGCCAACAATGTGATGTGGCGGCAAAAAAAGCCAATGGGATTTTGGCCTGCATCAATAGGAGCATAGTGTCTAGATCCAGGGAAGTAATGCTACCCCTCTATTCTGCTTTGGTTAGACCACACCTGGAATATTGTGTCCAATTCTGGGCACCACAATTCAAGAGAGATATTGACAAGCTGGAATGTGTCCAGAGGAGGGCGACTAAAATGATCAAGGGTCTGGAGAACAAGCCCTATGAGGAGCGGCTTAAGAAGCTGGGCATGTTTAGCCTGAAGAAGAGAATGCTGAGAGGAGATATGATAGCCATGTATAAATATGTGAGAGGAAGCCACAGGGAGGAGGGAGCAAGCTTGTTTTCTGCTTCCTTGGAGACTAGGACGCGGAACAATGGCTTCAAACTACAAGAGAGGAGATTCCATCTGAACATTAGGAAGAACTTCCTGACTGTGAGAGCCGTTCAGCAGTGGAACTCTCTGCCCCGGAGCGTGGTGGAGGCTCCTTCTTTGGAAGCTTTTAAGCAGAGGCTGGATGGCCATCTGTCAGGGTGATTTGAATGCAATATTCCTGCTTCTTGGCAGGGGGTTGGACTGGATGGCCCATGAGGTCTCTTCCAACTCTTTGATTCTATGATTCTATGATTCTATGATTTTATGAAACCACCAGGTCTTCAAGCTCTTACAAAAGGAGGGGAGGAATTGGGCCTATCTTATTTCCCTTGGAAGGGCGTTCCAGGGGCAGGGGGCCACCACTGAGAAGGCCCTCTCATCTCCATCAACCGCACTTGAGACGGTAGTGGGCCAAGAGGAGGGCCTCCCCAGAAGATCTTAGAGCTCATGCCGGTTCATAGAAGGAGATGTGATCGCAGAGATAGGCGGGGCCCGAACCATTTAGGGCTTTATACGTCATGATTTGCACTTTGAATTTTGCTTGGCAACTTAGCAGCCAATGAAGCTGTTTTAATAGGGGTGTTGTATACTCCCCATAGTTTGCTCCAGTAAGGAGCCTGGCTGCCGCCCGTTGTACCAGTTCAAACTTCCGGGCCATCTTCAAGGGCAGCCCCACATAGAGCACATTGCAATAGTCCAGTTTGGATGTAACCAACGCGTGGACCAACTTGGCAAAGTCGGACTTCACGAGGTATGGTCGCAGCTGGTGCACAAGTGTGAGTTGTGCAAAGGCCTTACCGGCCACCGCTGACACCTGAGCATCAAGCAACAGCATTGAGTCCAGGAGGACCCACAAGCTACGGACCTGCGCCTTCAGGGGGAGTATAACCTCGTCAAGCACAGGTTGCCACCCAATACCCCAGTCGGCCCCACTACTGACCAGGAGGACCTCTGTCTTGTCTGGATTAAGCTTCAACCTGTTAGCCCTCATCCAGTCCATCACAGCAATCAGACACTGGTTCAAGGTCTGAGAGGCTTCCTTGGAATTCGATGGAAATTTGTAGTAGAGTTGGGTGTCATCTGCGTACAGATGGCACCCAACTCCAAAACTCCGGATAACCTCACCCAGCGGTTTCATGTAGATATTGAAAAGCATGGGGGATCATTTCCATTTCTAAGCTGAAGAGCCGGCGTTGTCCGTAGACACCACCAAGGTCATGTGACCAGCATGACTGCATGGAGCACTGTTACCTTCCTGCCAGAGCGATACCTATTGATCTACTCACATTTGCATGTTTTCAAACTGCTAGGTTGGCAGAAGCTGGGGCTGACAGCAGAAGCTCACACCGCTCCCCGGATTCAAACCTGCAACCTTTTGGTCAACAAGTTTAGCACCTCAGCAGTTTAACTCACTTGCGCCACCATGGGCTCCGTATATACACTAGTAGGTGATATATATGTTCACCTGCAAAATCTCATTTCTCCTTACCCATTTTGTAATGCCCTTGCTCGTATATCCTTTTAGCACGTCCCTGACAGCATGATGGCTTATATCCTTCATATCCAATCTCAGACTTTGAAGCTGTGATTGTAGGTTATCCACATTCTCTTTCAGAGTTGGAAGCTCAAGAGCCTTTTTACCCAAAAGGTAATTAGCCTTCCTAGAGATAAATAATACAACACAAGGCTCTGTTTCTTCTACCTATTACTGTGCAATAATTTCAAAGAGGTCACTTTAACTGTAAAAGTCATATTTATTCCAGAGAGACTAGAGAGCAGACACTTAATCAGAAAAAGAACAAGCTGCATATTCAGATCCAGCAATATTGTGGTCAGTATGATAATTATGGCCAAGTTTGAACATAATAACAATACTGCTTTATTTATACAACGTTTTTCTCCCTCACGGGACCCAAAGTGGCTTACAGCATCTTAAAATCATACAAACAAAAACCTAAATACATCAATAATACACATCATAAAATAAGGAATTAAAAAAACCAAACTAGTGTATACAGTCACATTTGTTTTAATCATTGATTAAATTGTTTAATCAGTCAGTTTGTTTTAATCATTGTTTAAGAAGCTAGGATCAAGCTTGAAGATAAGAAATGAAGCTGTTAATTATCTTACTAAAGTTGACTAAACGTGGTTTGCTGTTGTTCCAAGCCTGTACATACCCAGTGCCTTTGCAGAAGCTAAAGAATGGCATAGTTTCACATTGTTAGTTCTCTGATCAATATGTTCCAGTTTGTCAATATCCTTCTTGATTTGTGGTGCCCAGAACAAGATACAGTGTTCTAGATGAGGTTTGACCAAAGTAGAGTGGAGTAGGACCTTCACTTCACTCGATCAAGACTCTACACCAGGGGTCCACTAACTTTTTAAACAGAGGGCCAGGTCATAGTCCCTCAAGCTGTTGGAGGGCCAGATTATAATGTGAAAAAAAAATGAATGAATTCCGATGCACACTGCACATAACTTATTTGTAGTGCAAAAACACTTAAAAACGATAAAATAATTAAAATGAAGATCAAATTTAATAAATATAAACGTATTAGTATTTTGGTGGGAAGTGTGGACCTGCTTTTGGCTAATGAGATAATGTTGTTGTTGTGTACTTTCAAGTCGTTTCAGATTTAGGTTGACCCTGAGCGAGGACCAGGTAAATGACCTGGGAGGGCCATATCCGGCCCCCGGGCCATAGTTTCCGGACCCCTGTTCTACACTCTTACTGAAGGAGCCTAGAACCACATTGTTTTTATTAACTGCCGCATCACACTATGTGTTGATTCATGTTCAGCTTGTGGTCTACTAAGGCCCCTTCCACACAGCTGAATAGAATCCCACATTATCTGCTTTGATCTGGGGTTTATGGCAGTGTGGACTCAGATAACACCATTCAAAGCAGATATTGTGGGTTATTCTGTCTTGATGTTCTAGGTCAGGGGTCCTCAAACTTTTTAAACAGAGGGCCAGGTCACAGTCCCTCAACTGTTGGAGGGCCGGATTATAATTTGAAAAAAAAAATGAACAAATTCCTATGCACACTGCACATATCTTATTTGTAGTACAAAAAAACACTTAAAAACAATACAATAATTAAAATGAAGAACAATTTTAACAAATATAAACTTATTAGTATTTCAGTGGGAAGTGTGGACCTGCTTTTGGCTGATGAGATAGGATTGTTGTTGTTGTGTGATTTCAAGTCATTTCAGACTTAGGTTGACCCTGGGTGAGGGCCGGGCAAATGACCTTGGAGGGCCGTATCCGGCCCCCGGGCCTTAGTTTGAGGACCCCTGTTCTAGGTTATATGACATTGTGGAAGGGCCCTATGACTCCTAACCCTGTTCATGCATACTGTTGTCAAACCAGGTGTCACTCAATCTATATCTGTGCATTTCATTTTTTTTCTGCCTAAGTTTAGTACCATACACTTCTCCCTGTTGGAATTCATTTTGTTAGTTTTAGGCCCAGCTCTCTAAATTGTTATGATCATTTTGGATGCTGATCCTGTCTTTTGGGTATTACTTATCCCTCTAAATCTGGTGCCATATGCAAATTTGATAAGCATGCCCTCTATTCCATCATCCAAGTCATTAATAAAGATGTTGAAGAGTTCTGGGCCCAGGACAGAATCCTGCGGCATCCTACTAATCACTTTTTTCCAGGATGAGGAGAAGCCATTGGTTAGTTTCCTGTACACCTAACATTGAAACATTGTCAAGCACACATTTTACTAGCTTTTTAATAAGAATATCATGAAGGACCTTTTCCCAAACCTTCATCTGGCATGACTTGTTTTTGAGAAACACGACCTTTTGTGAACATGGCAGTCTTTCTATATGCCTACATACTGTCTCTTTAATTATCTTCTCCAGAATCTAGTTAAGATAAACAAGCCATGCATTTATTCCAAAAATGATCAATGGGACCAACTTTGGTTTCATAAGGGGAAGTAGGATAGAAGCATTTTCTAAGTATTACATAAAATACATTCTTACATTAGGGACCTGAGATCTTCCGTTTTTCCCTATATAGGAGAAGAAAAATAATTACTAATTCATGTACAAATCATATAGATTTTTAATAAAGATAAATAAGTAGCACAGTAAGTAAATCTCATATCTTGCAATACTTCAAAGTGTATGTATACTTAATATTCCAGTTAATGGTCTAGTAGTAAATTATGCATTTGCGTGTATGTGAGTTGGTTCTCAACTAGTTTGATTCATAAGGATAATTATTATTACAGTCAGTCCTTCTACCAAGGCAGTCTTAAATCTGATAAAAATACAAGGTGAGGAAGCTCATGCAGTCACTTGTAGCAGCTGTGGATTTTTTGTGCACTTGCCTGAGAGTGTGAGTGAGTACCTATACTTCCAGCAATAGCAAGTTAGTGGCCCTCTTGGAATGGAAGGTTCATATATCCACACTCCAACATACGAGGGTTGAATGAAAAGTAATGTCTCCACCTTTGTAACTCCTAAACAGATGGCAGTACTGGTATGCAGCAGGTACTGGCTTGTTCAGTAGACTCTCCTCTACAGTTCCATTTTGACGGGAAGTCTTAGCATTGAACAGTTCGGTTGTTAAAATGCGAAGTATGGTACCCTGTTGGTCAAGACAACTTAAGCATCGTGCAGTCATTGAATTCTTGACAGCAGTAGGTGTCACCCCAAAGGAGATTCATCAGAGAATGCAAGCTGTTTATAGTGATTTTGTTGATGTGAGTACTGTGGATCACTGAATGAGTAAGTTTAAAGATATTGAGGTGGGAACATCTGACTTGCGTGACAGCAACCATTGAGTTTCACAAGCAAAAGGTTGACAGATTGATTTAGGACGATTGGCATTTCACAAGAACTTGTGGATCACATTATTGCTTTGCTTGGCTATCGGAAGATCTGTGCACAAAGGGTACCCAGGATGAGAGAACTGTGAGATGCTGGTTGAGGAAACAGAGTGTTGACTTCTTCCACGACGGCTTCAGAAAACTTGTTCATCGTTAGCAGAAATGTATCCAATTGTCTGGTGATTATGTGGAAAAGTGAATAGTGGTAGTTAAAGAGCACATTTTAAGGAGTATTTCTGCATTTGATTTATTAAAATATTCTCATCCAAACTCAAGTAACGAAGGTGGAGGCATTACTTTTCATTCAACCCTCGTATTAGGGAGGAAGTGGCTGCCTTGGACATGGCAGAGCAGACTATCTTGCAGGAGAATCACAGGATCTCTCTGAGGAGGAGGAGGTCAAACCCCAAAGAGAGAAGGAAGACACTTTCATGGGAAAGTAATACATAGAAGTAGAAGGACCAAGAATCATTCTGTAAGTTTGGAGCAACAAAATCAATATGAAGTTCTTTCCAGGATAAATGATGATGCAGAACAAGAAGAAGAGCAAAAGAGCTTGTCCTCAGGAAATGTGCAGGTGCCCCTGGAAGAGTCAGCACATAGAAAAGCCCCTGCTAGACCTCCAAAATGATGTGTGGTGGTGGTAGGGGGCTCCCTGCTGAAGGGAACAGAAACAGTGGTTTGCGGACCTGACGAGTTGAGAGGCATGCTGTCGTCTTGGAGTAAAATTCCAAATTCCAAGATGTAACCAAGAGGCTGACAAGGCTTGTGAGGCACAGACTGTCACTCCTTCCTTTTGGTTCATGTGGAAACAAATGACACTGCAAGGCATGGTGTTCAGGAGATCATATGGAATTATGAAGCTATGAGCAGGAAGTTGAAGAGTCTTGATGCCCAAGCTGTCGTGTTGTCTCTCTTCCCAGTCCAAGGATGCAGTCCAGGAAAGGAGAGAAGGATAACAGAAGTGAAACACTGGCTTCACAGATGGTGCTGCTAGGGATTATTTGGCTTCCCGGATTACAGTTTGAGGTTTAATATAGTTGAACTTCTGTCAAGGGATGGCACACACATTTTTGCTAAGAGCCTCACAAACCTGGCTAGGAGTGCTTTAAAACTGAGTTATCTGAGTGAGGGAGGCGGTAGTCCTGTAGGCAGCAATTTAACAGGAGAGAATTTCCCAGCTAGAGGGGGGAAAACTATAAGAACTCAACAAATTGAATGGAAAAAAACCCAAATAAGCAGCTGGGGGTGGTGTGCATAGTTTTTGGTATCTCTGCACTAATGCATAAAACATATGAAACAAACAAGATGAACTTAAACTCTTAATACAACAAAGTAAAGCAAAAGTGATCTAACATGGGTGAATCTTCCAATTCCATCTGTGCTAGCAATTTTTCACTTTACAACATACACAAATGTGTTTATTGGTCCTGTGCAATAGACAGGAATAATGTCTGTGCAGGAGACAGTTGAATCTACATCCTGATATCCTTAAATATTTAAAGCATTGTAAGTACCGTATATTCACTGAAAAATAAGACATGTGGAATTTCTTGTAATCTGATATCTCTGTCCCTTCCCTGCCCCTTTCTGATTTTAAGCTGATTCAAATAAAGAGAGGGGGAAATAGAGAACGCTGCTATTTTTATCTTAGCTAGACTGGACTTTACCATAGCGTGTAAGAGTCAAAACACTGGCAACATGAAAGAAACCACTTGAAAGCTGAGTTTCTCAGACTAAGAAAAACAAAAGGTCTCAAGAGGAGGATTTCCTCATATGAACCCTTAGGGATGGTGGCATCAGAGCTCCAGCAACAGACTTGGGACAGGGAATTAATTAGTTTAATGAATCTAAAGAGAAACGGCTCCACAAAGCCACAAGACTGTTTACTGTGCCCATATTTAGCCATTGCTGAAGACGGCAATTAGGGAAGGCTGTCAGTTGAGATTGTGACAGATGTCAGAATACAGAAAGTAACAGACATCAGTCTTTTCCAGCTGTGAAGATGGGGTATATAATATTTTACTGAGTAAAGGAAACATTAAATCAGATGCATTTTTATTCAAATGGTGTAGTGGTTTAATCACTGAACTAGAAATCTGGAGACCAAAGTTCAAAATCTCACATGGGTCGTTGAAATCAACTGGGTGATCTTGGGTACGCCACACTCTCTAAAGCAGAGGTGTCAAACTGGTGGCCCTCCAGCTTCCAGAAGTCCTGGCTAGCTTGTCCAATGACCAAGAATTCTGGGAGCTGAAGTCCAAAATACCTGGAGGGCCACAAGTTGGACACCACTGCTCTAGAGTCTCGGGGCCCTTCCAGACAGCTTCTTAATCCAGGACAAAGAAGTGGGGCAAAAAGCACTGGAAATTAAGGAAAGTCTAGATACAGAGCTCTCAGTCCTGGTACGTGGTCTCCTGGTTAAAGCCAATTTTTCAAAATGGATGCAGAACATCCGTCTGAACTTTTCTTTTCTGCTTTTTTAAAATTGAGACTCCGAGATGCTCTGGGCCTAATAAGCACTGATGCAAATATAAGAATGTGCCACATGAGCAGATTTCTTGTCATTATCTTTCACCACTTTCCTGCTGCCTTTGCATTTGCCCTTTTCAACCCCATTTCCCTTTGGAGTCACTTGCCTGCCATGTTCATACCCACTGTGTAATTTAAAGCCCTGTTTAACTTTATAAATATGAGAACAAAGGAATGGTTAGAGAGAATTCTTATGGGAATTGCTGTCTTCTCATACTGCCATTTAGCCACCTGTGTGTCCGTGGCTCCATTTGTTTACTTTTCTCATCAGATGTTCTGGGATTACAAAATCAGGATTGGAGCAGTCTACACCAGCCTATCACAACCAAGTCTCGTGGGTTTTTTTGACTGCAGGGATATAGAGTGCTCCATAGCAGTACATTTTTCGGCTGATCGCAGATTTAAACCAGACCTTTTTAACGTGTTTTTCATTCAATCCGATGACCCAGCATGCATTTTCCATGCGTGTAATCTAGCTCCCCCCCTCCCCACTTATCCCAGTTTCTTCCAGATTTTAAGGCCTTTGTAGAAGGGACCTCAGAGAGTGAAAGGATTAACCCCCCCCCCCCCAGAACAAATCTTGCCAAGAAAATTTTGTGGAACTACCACATTGAGAACATAACAAGTAATAAGTGACTTGAAAGTACAAAATGAGTGGCTTGCAAAGAATTCCAATCTTTATGGCAGTTCCTAGTCAATACAAACCTAATCATGAAGACTCCAATATTAGCCAAGCTGAAAATAACTGCTTTTGCATATGAATAAAATTTGCTTCCAATGAAAAAAACTAGTTATAATTCTATGCCTTTAAAAGGGTGGCTGACAGAATTTAAATTGGCAAAGTTTTTCAGGGCTTGGATATAAAAGAAGAGTAGGAAACTGGTGTAAGAGTAGGATTCCAGCTCCCACCAGACCCCACTCGCACAATGAAAAAGAACAAGAGCTGTTGGCCATCAATATCTGCAAAACCATAAGACCACACTTTTGATTAAAACCTTCACATTATCTTAATTTTTGCTAGTTAGACAGATTCAGGATCAAATAACAACAACAGCTTAAGACACTACTACACGATTCTTGCTATTTCCAAGTATTATACTTGATACAGTGCTGCACTGACTTTGGATACAGGAATACATAAATATATACACATATTACATGCCTTATAATATACTGGGAAGGGTGAGTAATTAAATTGTTGAAAAGATATTACCTGAATAAGATCGCAAATGGAGAAGTCATTCCATTTTTCACCGAACAGTTGCAGTGTATGTTTTCCAAACAGTTCCATGTAGGAGGCACCTATTAATGTTAACACCTTCGTATTTAAAAAGGTTGATGATTATTTTTATTCTTAGGAAACTATCACCTGGAAAAGTGCATACCACAATGTTCCTGCATCATCCTAAATTGATCTGGGTTAACCCTTCCCACTGTTCTGTTTCTTTTCTTTCATATATAAGTCACCATGAAATTTATCTAATGTTGACTGGGCTGATATTCCTGATTTCTCTCATAATCCTGAATGAAACAAAAGACTGACTGGAAAATAGCTTTATCCTATAATATAAAACATACTTTAGTAGAGGCCTGGAAACAGGATATAAACTTTAATGAAAACTTAGTAAACTTCTGGATTGATAAAGCTCAAAAAATTAAACATCTAAGAATCAAAGAAACACAAAAGAAAATAATTTCAAAATGGTATGGGACCCTGTAATGATTCTTACCTTGTAGGTCGAAGTAGGAGCCTGAGATATCTGTAGGCAGGCCTCCATTTTGGGAGTGTAAGCAAATGAAGCAGACATCTTGGGAGTGTAAGAGGTAAAGAGGGGAGGAGGTAGAGCTCTCTCTGGATTGGTTAGGACAGATGGGAGGAGTTAAGCACTGAGAGGGAAGAGTGTAAACCTGACAGAAAGGAGGAGGTTTGGTTTTGGGAACAGAGAAGAGAGGTAGATTTTTGGTGAGCTGAGATTTTTCTGTCAGAGAGCATTTGTGACAGGCGAGTCTGCATTATTTGGCCAGGAGGGTCAAAGTATACAACTGGGTGCTTGTGTGAGTTTTTACACAAGTGGGTTTGCTCTCTGGGTTAAGGTATATTAGCTTACAGAGGACTCTGCTTAGAGTGTAGCTAATTGCTCTAGGGACAACCTGGTTAGGTTAGTCTGGGGAACTCACTGCTACTGGGTTTATTGTAGAGTGAGGAGTTTTACTCATATCTCAGCCAAGTACTCGGTTTGAAGTAACTATTAAGATTATTGTACCTCAGTAACCAATTAAGCTTGTGTGCCTCATTGAAGAAGATAGTTGTGTGTTCTTATCAATAAATCTGTTATCTATTTCAACTTTCAAAGAAGCCTCAGTAGTGATTCCTTCCTGTAATAATCATTCTAGCAGTTTTAACATCTTTATGTCACAGTCATCTCAGGGAGCTAAAGGAGAGCTGGTGGGCAAGAAGAAGATTACCTCAGGGAACCATTCTTTAATATTCCCAAATAATTTTGGGTGGTGGCAGCAACTCTACCAGAGTATACATGTTACCTAAACATACATCTAAACGCTCCGTGCCAAGAAGCATATTCCATCAGATTGGTAGTTGTGGGATTTGTATTCTGGAGTTATAATAATACACCCTGACTTCGTTATAGACCCCCTCTCAATTGGCTCACATTATGAAAAACACTTCTAACAAATGCTGGCATAAATGTGGAGAGACTGGTACTTTTTCACACATGTGGTGGGACTGCTCTGAAATCCAAAAATATTGTAATACTGAATATTTAATTAATGATTTCATCTATGAAAAGAAAAATAAATATCTGAATATTTAGTCAACACAAGATTGGTTTAGGAAATGGTCTTGTTTAATTGACAAAACGGAAGGAAAAGATAGGTACCGAACTTTAAATCAGGCCTTCCAGACAATTAAATCAATTAACTGATTTAAGTAAACCCAGATGGGGTGGGAAGGAGGTGGGAAGAGGGTGGTAAGGGTTGGTTTAAAGGGATAATTAATCAAGATATACGGTAAAGGGAAGCACAATTGGAACCTGTATCCTAGCCATAAAAATTGTGATCAGTTTTTGATATTATCTTTTAGATGGCTAAGGTTCGGATTGTATTGTTTTGTTATCTATGGAGAAATTAATAAAATTTTCAAAAAAACAAAAAAACAAGCATAGTTGTTAAAAAATTCTTTCAAACTAAGGGTGTGTACGTACTGTAGAATGAATGTAGTTTGACACCACTATAGCTGACATGGATCAATGCTATGTAATCCTGAGATTTGTAGTTTGGTGAGGCACCAGCACTCTTTGGCAGAGAAGGCTAAAGACCTTGTAGAACTACAACTCCCATGATTCATGGCAGTTAAGGTGGTATCAAACGGTATTAATTCTACAGTGTAGATCAGGGGTCCTCAAACTTTTTAAACCGGGGGCCAGTTTACTGTCCCTCAGACCGATGGAGGGCCGGACTATAGTTTTTAAAAAAATCAATTAAAAAATTCCTCTGCACATTGCACATATCTTATTTTGCTGTGTGGAAGGGCCCTTCGAGGGGGTTCTTTCTCGCCCTCTTTAGGCAGTAATTTAGGCAGAGAATGGGAAATCTTCCTATTTCTAGTCTGACCAAAATCTGGCTACCAGTTAAAAAACTCTAAAATTATAACTGTAAATAAAGAACAACACTCAAACACAGGGGAACTCCAGACAAGAAACAATCAGGGCCAGCTAATCACCTCTCAACAAAGGATTCTCCCTAAAAACTGTCAGGCTATGAAATGGCAATCAAGGTGGCCAATTGAAACATTCATACCTACCTCCAACAGACAAGAGTTCTTTCTCCCACCCTGGATCTCCCACAATTTTCCTGGTTAAAGGTTTTCCTCTGACATGAAGTCCAGTCGTGTCTGACTCTGTGGTGCTCATCTACATTTCTAAGTCGAAGAGCCGGCGTTGTCCATAGACACCTCCAAGGTCATGTGGCCAGCATGACTGCATGTAGCGCCGGGGCAGCCTCCCTTGGCTGGCTCACGCTGTCCATCAGGCCTGATGGATAGCATGAGCCTGCCAAGGGGGGAGCAGGCCCGCGCGGCCTACTTGCGAGTAGACCACGTGGCGCAGCCTCCCTTGGCTGGCTTGTGCGGCCTACTTGTGAGTAAGGCACCTCGCGAGGTGCTTTACTCGTGAGTAGACCACGCGGGCCTGCTCCTCCCTTGGCTGGCTCACGCTGTCCATTGCCTGATGGATAGCGTGAGCCTGCCAAGGGGGGAGCAGGCCCGCGCGGCCTACTTGTGAGTAAAGCACTTCACGAGGTGCTTTACTCGCAAGTAGACCATGCGGAGCAGCCTCCCTTGGCTGGCTCACGCTGTCCATCGGGCCCCATAGACAGCGTGAGCCAGCCAACCGAGGGGCACTGTGGGGGGGGAGGGGCACTGTGTGGGGGGGCGCTCCTCCTCCGCAGGCCGGATCGGGGCCCTTGGCGGGCCGGAAGTGGCCCGCGGGCCGTAGTTTGGGGACCCCTGGTGTAGATGCACACTTTGATCTATGCAAACTAATCTCAAATAATCAAGCAAAAGGTTTCCTATTGGACTTGAACTTGCTGAGAAATGTTTGGGATGTCAGCCTCAGTATAAATATCCAATAATGTCAAAATTAATAAATGACTGTTTTATATTACATCACAAAATAAAAGAAACTTCAAGGGTTTCTTTGGGAGCTACTCAAATATTCCCAAAACCTAAATGTGACCATTATTGTGGTCCTAATGCATACCACAGCTTTTGATCAAACATAGGGATTCTTACAACAAAACAGATGAATAAATATTTTAAAATATAGATTGAAGTGAGATCTCTTAATGAAGTCCCAAGCAAAATGGAGTGGATACAGTTGCATAATGACAGTTCACGCATCAATGACAAACAAATCACATGGCAAATAAAAAATATTTTCCTTTATCATTGATCTGAAACTCATGTCAAACCATGAAAAGGAAGAAAACGAAGGAATCTAACAATACTTGTAGCATTTGTAAGCATTTGTAAGGCTGAAATTGAAGTTTTCTAGATTTCAGTCTATCGATAAATGCAAATCAACAGACTCCAAATAAATGCACAATAAAGCAGAGGTGGAAGAGGCAGATCTAAGTGGATCCAAAGGACTCCTGAGGGAACTTATGAGAAGTAAAAGAACAAAGGAAATGACCATTCAAAGGCTAAGATGAAAGGTTTCTCTTTTAAAGAAGTTGAAGAAAAAGGATAAAATTGTCTCGATATTAAGAGTATAGCAGAATAAAATAGATAAAGGAAAGGAAAGAGAACAAGCAAGAAAGGATTTTAGGCACACAAAAGCAAAAAGAATCCAAGAGAAAGAAGTGGGGGAACAGTATGCTATAACTACATAAGTTTTCTATTATGTGATTCTTATCTGATTGGGTGTTAAAATTATTCACCCATTCGTGGATATCTTTGCTACGCGTAGAGTATAAACATGCATTCATAAACTCTGTTATAAAAGAGAAATTCCCCATGAGCACCGCAGTGTTTTTTTCTGCAAAGTCATGCAAAAGCTCGTGTTTTAAGCTCTGCTTAATTTACTAAGACTGTAAACATGTTTTTAAGGACTCTGAGAGACGAGGATTCAAATACCTTGCAGGCTATGGTGACCTTAGGCATGTCACACTATGTCAGCCCCAGAGGAAGGCAATAGCAACCCTCCTCTTGCCATGAAAACCCTGCAATAGGATTGCCTTACGGTTGTCATACATTGGTAATGACTCAAAGACACACAATAACAAGCATAGATATAATTAGGCAAGGTGTTAAACACAAAAGAATGCAAATTATTTCTGAAATACCTATTCTTAGTCTTATAAGAAGAAGCTCACCTAAAACCAAGAGGGACAAGGTTACCCAAAACACAATTTTCTGAGAACAGCTGCCTCTGAGAAATAGCAAAGAGATAAAAGTTAATGTTAACATTATTCATATTGAAACCTGTATGATATTTGTTTAAAAGACTGACTCCTTATCTCCATGCAGAATGGGTGGTCACAATATTACACATACCCTATCGCCAAGAACCAAAGAAGTGGTAAGGAAACCCAGGGGCAAAATGAATTGTGTGTCTGTCTAGAACTATCTAATGTATCTAGAATTAACTAACACATCCATCTGTTCTGGGAAAGGTTATAGATTATTTATTTCTCGTGTCAGGGCAACCAGTCAATTGTATTACATTTCTAACAGAACAAAACAAACAAACAGACAAAATACAAAATTTGCGAGTTTGGTAGTTGATTAAATGTCCTTTGACCAGTAGCTGGCCACTTGGAGTGCCTCTGGTGTGGTTGCAAGAAGGTCCTCCATTGTGCATGTGGCAGGGCTCAGGGTGCATTGCAGCAGGTGGTCAGTGGTTTGCTCTTCTCCACACTCGCATGTCATGGATTCCACTTTGTAGCCCCATTTCTTAAGGTTGCCTCTGCATCTCGTGGTGCCAGAGCTCAGTCTGTTCAGCGCCTTCCAAGTTGCCCAGTCTTCTGTGTGCCCAGGGAGCAGTCTCTCATTTGGTATCAGCCATTGGTTGAGGTTGTGGATTTGAGCCTGCCACCTTTGGACTCTTGCTTGCTGAGGTGTTCCAGCGAGTGTCTCTGTAGATTTTAGAAAACTATTTCTAGATTTAAGTCGTTGACGTGCTGGCTGATACCCAAACAAGGGATGAGCTGGAGATGTCTCTGCCTTGACTCTTTCACTATTGGCTGCTACTTCCTGGCGGATGTCAGGTGGTGCAATACCGGCTAAGCAGTGTAATTTCTCCAGTGGTGTAGGGCGCAGACACCCCGTGATAATGCGGCATGTCTCATTGAGAGCGACATCCACTGTTTTAGCTTGGTGAGATGTGTTCCACACTAGGCATGCATACTCAGCAGCAGAGTACCATAGCGCAAGGGCAGATGTCTTCACTGTATCTGGTTGTGATCCCCTGGTTGTGCCAGTCAGCTTTCGTATGATATTGTTTCTAGCGACCACTTTTTGGATGATGTTCAGGCAGTGCTTCTTGTAGGTCCGAGCACGGTCCAGAGTGACTCCCAGGTATTTGGGTGCGTTGCAATGCTCCAGTGGGATTCCTTCCCAGGTGAGCCTCAGAGCTCGGGATGCTTGTCTGTTCTTGAGATGAAAAGCACATGTCTGTGTTTTAGATGGATTTGGGATCAGCTGGTTTTCCCTGTAATAGGCAGTAAGAGCACCTAGAGCTTCGGAAAGCTTCTGTTCTACCATCTCAAAGCTCCCTGCTTGAGCAGTAATGGCACTATCATCGGCATAGATGAAACTCTCTGTCCCTTCTGGCAGTGGCTGGTCATTTGTGTAGATGTTGAACATGGATGGTGCAAGCACGCTCCCCTGAGGCAGGCCGTTCTTCTGTTTCCGCCACCTACTTCTCTGGCCCTGGCACTCAACAAAAAAGCTCCTGTTTTGTAGTAAGTTTCCTATGAGGTGGGTGCGGTGGTAGTCCTTTGTGATATTATACATTTTTCTCAGGAGGAGGAGGTGGTTCACAGTATCATAGGCTGCTGACAGGTCTATGAAAACAGCTCCTGTGGTCTGCTGCCTTTCAAAGCCATCTTCTATGTGATGAGTCAAGTTCAACACTTGCGATGTGCAGCTTTTGACTTTCCTGAAGCCAGCTTGTTGTGGGATCAGACATGGGTCTATTTTTTCCGTAATTATATGCAAAATAAGTCTCTCCAGAACCCCAGAAGCGACCAGGCTATAGATACAGATGCTGCTTCCACACAGACTTAAAATGTGAGTATAACCAGCATTTTAAATGCCAGTTTCACTCGCTATAGAGGCCAGGTGGCAGCCCCAAACCCCATCTTTTTGGTAGGGTGATGGCCAGATTACCTTGTAAAGATGTTGTAGACTAGGCAAAATGGAGCTACCGCACTTAGCACTGTCAAGTTACAGATCAGTCTGATGATGCCTTCTGGAAATGCACACAAAGGTACAAATAAATATTTCTAATAGTTATATTGCTTTACAAAACACATGCTACAGTATTATGACATTTGTCAAAATTTGGTTAACCCCCCCCCCCCCCCCCCCCCCCCCCAATAGTGGCTAAATAGTAAATTCCAACATTCTCCAGAAACTTACAGTAGGGTAAGTAGAGCAAAACAATGAGGAAAATTTGTGTTGTTGTGGGCTGGCTTAAAAAGTACATTTTTGTCCACTTCAAAAATATACTAATGAAAATGTTGAAATGTATTTTAAATTCTAGACAAATCTATTCATATAGTTTCAGCCAAACACCACTAAAGTCTATTGAATTGATTTCTAAGCAAACATATATGCAGCTGAAGCCTGATGCTTTGAATGTTCACACAAACATTATGATGAGTTAGAGAGTGGTGGTGGGAACTGTCACCTTCCTCAACCACGGAATCCAGCTTGGTTTATGGCACTGAAACAAATAGAACTTCAATGCAATGAGTTAACTCTAAATATCGATCCAACCCATTCTAATTAATAACTACATACTGAACTTACTCTTGGGCAGGCATGGAACCTGTGCATTTTCCCGATTATGACTGAGAAAAGTACGGTTGTTTATACACCTGCGGGGTGATATTTTTCCTTCAGACAAACTGGAAAATGAAAGAGAAAAAACACAAAACACTGAATTGTATGCATAAGCCTAAGAGTAATACTACAAGCAAAAAATGCAGACAATGAATATTAGCAAATCTAGGATGGCAGTAATGCAGAACTCCTTGGCTAAAAACTAAAAACATGGATATGGGACCAGGCCTTTGGGTAATCTGGCAGACAGACAAAGGACAATGATGACTAGAACTGGATAGGATTATGACAATGCGGAATGAACTTACGGATTTTAAACTTGGCAAACACTGATCACTAGATTGGCTTTTATTAGTTGTTATTGGATAATTGGATTGTTTTAACTATTTATAATTGTTGCTGCTATGTATTTTATCTTACTATGTGTATTGCTGGCATCGAATTGTGCCTTTTGTAAGCTGCCCTGAGTCCCCCTTCGGGGGTTGAGAAGGGTGGGGTAGAAATGGTCGAAATAAATAAATAATAAATAAATAATATCAAAAACAAATTAAACATTTAAAACAATGCAAAACCACAACAGAAACAATAAAAACTTAATATCATGAACACCTTTGTAAAAGGTGTTGGGTATCAGAATCCAAACTCTCACTCTGAGATCCATTTGCTTCATTAGAGTCTTCTTTTGGATACGCATTACCCGAGCTCCTTGGGCCTCTGTACATAATTGTATGCACTTACTAGATGCTGAAACAAAAGAAAAAATAATGGAAAATTAATAGCTACATTCACTCACTAAGAATCCCTAGCAATGTAGAATATTACTGCATATATTCATGTATAAGTCTAGAAATTTTAGTCAAAAAGTAGACCCCAAAAAATTTGGGCTGACTTATCCCTCAGTCAACTAAATACTGTATCTTAATTATTATAAGAAAAGAGAAGGGGATTGTTCCTTTTATGATGAAAGTTAGGGTACAGTTATTTAAAAAAGAAGCATCCACTTTTCCGAGTAGAGTGACAAAAGGTGAGAGTTTAGTTGTTTTGGATAGAACCTAAAAGAAGGACCAATGCTTTCTCCGCTATGGTGCTGCTTCTGGGCAGGAAAATGGTGATGGTGACTGATCTTTGGCAATTTCATCAATGGAGTACTGAGAGTAGCAGCGGTGGTGGTACTTCTTTCAGGTTCTCCTGGAATGGAGTATGCTCTTGCCTTCTCCGCTCTTCTCAGAGAAGAGGATGGCAACACTGAGGCTGTCTCCTCTCCATTGAATGACCCTTGTCTAACCCACAACCTTCAACTTACCCAAATCCATAATTTTGTTTTCAAAACTCATGGTCAATTTAAACTCATGGTCAATTCTCATGGTCAATTTAAACACAAGTATATATGGTATATATACTTGTGTTTAAGTTGAAAAATATCAAACCAATCGAATATTTAGAACCAATCGAATATTTAGAGGTCTGAGTCTACACTGCCATATAATCCAGTCCAAAGCAGATAATCGGAATTTTGTATGGTAGTGTAGAAGAGGCCTGAGTCTACACTGCCTCATAATCCAGTCCAAAGCAGATAATCTGGATTTTGTATGGTAGTATAGAAGAGGCCTGAGTCTACACTGCCTCATAATCCAGTCCAAAGCAGATAATCTGGATTTTGTATGGTGGTATAGAAGAGGCCTGAGTCTACACTGCCTCATAATCCAGTCCAAAGCATATAATCTGTATTTTGTATGGTAGTGTAGAAGAGGACTGAGTCTACACTGACATATAATCCAGTTCAAAGAAGATAATCTGTATTTTGTATGGTAGTGTAGAAGAGGCCTGAGTCTACACTGCCATATAATCCAGTCCAAAGCAGATAATCAGGATTTTGTATGGTAGCATAGAAGAGGTCTGAGTCTACACTGCCGCATAATCCAGTTCAAAGCAGATAATCAGGATTTTGCATTGTAGTGTAGAAGAGGCCTGAGTCTACACTGCCGCATAATGCAGTCCAAAGCAGATCATCTGGATTTTGTATGATAGTGTCGAAGAGGCCTGAGTCTACACTGCTATATAATCTAATCCAAAGCAGATAATCTGGATTTTGCATGGTAGTGTAGAAGAGGCCTTAGTCTACACTGCCGCATAATCCAGTTCAAAGCAGATAATCAGGATTTTGTATGGTAGTGTAGAAGTGGCCTGAGTTACTGCTATACAGACCAGTGTAAAGCGGATAATCAGGTTTTTGTATGGTAGTGTAGAAGAGGCCTGAGTCTACACTGCTATATAATCCAGTCCAAAGCAGATAATCTGGATTTTGTATGGTAGTGTAGAAGAGGTCTGAGTCTACACTGCCTCATAATCCAGTCCAAAGCAGATAATCAGGATTTTGTATGGTAGTGTAGAAGTGGCCTGAGTCTACAATGCCACATAATCCAGTTCAAAATTGATGATCTGGATTTTACATGGCAATGTACAGGAGCCCCTGAGTGTCCTGTTTCTGCTGGTGTGGAGGGAACAATGGAGTCAAATTGCCGGGGGGGGGGGGGGGGGGGGTTTTCACCAAACATTTGGAAGGCAGGATCATCAACTTTGCAGACGACACCAAATTGGGAGGGATAGCCAATACTCCAGAGGACAGGAGCAGGATTCAAAACGATCTTGACAGATTAGAGAGATGGGCCAAAACTAACAAAATGAAGTTCAACAGTGACAAATGCAAAATACTCCACTTTGGCAGGAAAAACGAAATGCAAAGATACAGAATGGGGGATGCCTGGCTCGAGAGCAGTACGTGTGAAAAAGATCTTGGAGTCCTCGTGGACAACAAGTTAAACATGAGCCAACAATGTGATGTGGCGGCAAAAAAAAGCCAATGGGATTTTGGCCTGCATCAATAGGAGATAGTGTCTAGATCAGGGGTCCACAAACTTTTTAAGCAGAGGGCCAGGTCACTGTCCCTCAAACTGTTGGAGGGCCGGATTATAATCTAAAGAAACATGAATGAACTCCTATGCACAGAGCACATATCTTATTTGTAGTGCAAAAAACACTTTAAACAAATTACAATAATTAATAATTAAAATGAAGATTGATTTTAACAAATAGACTTATTAGTATTTCAATGGGAAGTGTGGGCCTGCTTTTGGCTGATGAGATAATGTTGTTGTCATTTCAGTCATTTCAGACTTAGGTTGACCCTGAGCGAGGGCCGGGTAAATTACCTTGGAGGGTTGCATCCGGCCCCTGGGCCTTAGTTTGAGGACCCCTGATCTAGATCTAGGAAAGTAATGCTACCCCTCTATTCCGCTTTGGTTAGACCACACCTGGAATATTGTGTCCAATTCTGGGCACCACAATTCAAGAGAGATATTGACAAGCTGGAATGTGTCCAGAGGAGGGTGACTAAAATGATCAAGGGTCTGGAGAACAAGCCCTATGAGGAGTAGCTTAAACAGCTGGGCATGTTTAGCTTGAAGAAGAGAAGGCTGAGAGGAGATATGATTGTTGTTGTTCATTCGTTCAGTTATCTCCGACTCTTCGTGACCTCATGGACCAGCCCACGCCAGAGCTCCCTGTCGGCCGTCACCACCCCCAGCTCCTTCAAGGTCAGTTCAGTCACTTCAAGGATGCCATCCATCCATCTTGCCCTTGGTCGGCCCCTCTTCCTTTTACCTTCCACTTTCCCCAGCATAATTGTCTTCTCTAGGCTTGGCTGTCTCCTCATGATGTGGCCAAAGGACTTCAACTTTGTCTCTAGTCTCCTTCCCTCCAATGAGCAGTCGGGCTTTATTTCCTGAAGTATGGACTGGTTGGATCTTCTCGCAGTCCAAGGCACTCTCAGAACTTTCCTCTAGCACCACAGTTCAAAAGCATACATCTTCCTTCACTCAGCCTTCCCTATGGTCTAACTCTCACATCCGTAGGTGACTATGGGGAATACCATTGCTTTAACTATGCGGATCTTCATTGTCAGTGTGATGTGTCTACTCTTCACTATTTTATTGAGATTGGACATTGCTCTCCTCCCAAGAAGTAAGCGTCTTCTGATTTCCTGGCCACAGTCTGCATCTGCAGTAATCTTTGCACCTAGAAATACAAAGTCTGTCACGGCCTCCCACCATTCCTAATAGCTGGTAAATCATTCTTGTTGCCATAATCTTGGTTTTTTTGATGTTTAGCTGCAATCCGGCTTTTGCGCTTTCTTCTTTCACCTTGATTAGAAGGCTCCTCAGCTCCTCCTCATCAGAGTGGTGTCATCTGCATATCTGAGGTTGTTAATGTTTCTTCCAGCAATTAAATGGAGATATGATAACCATGTATAAATATGTGAGAGGAAGCCACAGGGAGGAGGGATCAAGCTTATTTTCTGCTTCCCTGGAGACTAGGACGTGAAACAATGACTTCAAACTACAAGAAAGGAGATTCCATCTGAACATGAGTGTTCTGGAACGGGTGTTCCAGGGGCTCCAAATTTGTGTTTTGCACTGAGTGTTTGTTCATAGTCTTAAGTTGCAGGGACTTTACAGATAGGTGGCTTCCTTTGGCTGCATTCATAGGGCAAGCCACCTGTCGATAATAGTTAGGATCCCTGGTCCCGCCCCTCTCTGGGTTTTTGGGAGGGAAGGAGCCATTTTTCAGGCAGTCTCACAAGGAAGCCAGCCTATAGGACACATATGTTTGTCCCGTAGGAAAGGCTTCATTCCTCAAAACCTTCCGGGGAAATAGAAACAGCAATCCGAGGGCCATCCAGTGACCATCTGGGGTCCAAACTGACTATCCAGTTCCTGGGAAATGGAAGGAAAAGGTCCCGAAGGCTCTGGCTGAGAGCTCACAGCCTCTCAGCCTCACAGCACCAGAGGGGGAAAACAGCCCTGAAGTTTCCACAGGACAGCATTACAGAACAACGGAACTCCAGCTGCTATATCTTCAAGCCTCAGCCGGCAAGGTATGCTCGATACCCAGACGCACGTGGATTTCGGTAGCAGCACCCACGCCGACTAGGCATAGATAGAAAGCGGCCTGGGAGGGATTATAAAGAGTTCTTCCTTATGCTGAGATAGTACAGTCAAACCAAGTTATTGCCAGTGTCTTAAAGACTTGAATAGTAAAGCCTTGAAGTATTGTTGAAGATTTGTTCCTTAATAAAGACTTTGTTGTACTTTTAAAGACTCTAAAGCCCATTACTTCTGGAAGTCTCTAACAATCTCTCTTCGGGCACCCCGGCTTCCCACTGGGTTTAAAGTGTGCGTCCTGTAGAATAAAGACATTTTCTTCGGACCCAGTGGCGACAGAACAATGAGGAAGAACTTCCTGACTATGAGAGCCGTTCAGCAGTGGAACTCTCTGCCCTGGAGCGTGGTGGAGGCTCCTTCTTTGGAAGCTTTTAAACAGAGGCTGGATGGCCATCTGTCAGGGGTGATTTGCATGCAATATTCCTGCTTCTTGGCAGGGGGTTGGACTGGATGGCCCATGAGGTCTCTTCCAACTCTTTGATTCTAAGCTTCCTGGTGGTGAGAGCTGTTCTACAGTGGAATGTGCTGCTTTAGGAGTGTGGGAGGGGGGCATCCTTCTCTGGAGTTGTTAAAGCAGTTTTGGTTGTTTCCTTGCATGCCCTTGTGCTCTCTTCTTCCAACTCTCTCGTTTCATAACACACCATTTCCAATATTCCCGCCAAAACACCTTGTGCAAGTAAGCGAGGGCATTGTCTACCTGCTCTCTCCTGGCCTGAGGCAGCCCTAAGCCCCGCCCCTCAGAGCTGCCAGTGGAGGCTGCAGTCCCTCAGGGAAGAGGAGGCGCGCGCTGCCCTCCGCTTTGGCCTCCCTCCTTCCCTGCTTCCGCCTCGTGCCTCTCCTCTGCTCCTCCTCCTCCGAGGTCACGCGCGCCGCCAGCGAGCGCTCTCCAACGGCCTTCCCTAGAACGCCCTCCCCGTTGCCAGGCAACCAAGATTGTTTGCCGTTGTCGCTCAGGCGCTGAAGGCCGCGTCGCCCGGTCTTCGAACTAACGGAGGATTCCTTGGCCTCTTTCCTGGTGCAAGCATCCCGATAGCGAGCCGTGCCGGTGGGTATCTCTGTGCGTAGTTATGAGATTACTAGCCGTCCCTTGCCACGCGTTCCTGTGGCCCACATGGAGGGAGGGGGTTCTGTGTGCCAAATTTGGTTCAATTCCATCGTTGGTGGGGTTCAGAATGCTCTTTGATTGTAGGTGAACTATAAATCCCAGCAACTACAACTCCCAAATGTCAATTTTCTATTTCCCCCAAACTCCACCACATTTGGGCATATTGAGTATTCTTGTAGAGTTTGGTCCAGATCCATGATTGTTTGAGTCCACAGTGATTTCTGGATATAGGTGAACTACAACTCCAAAACCAAAGGGCACTGCCTACCAAAGCCTTCCAGTATTTTCTGTTGGTCATGGGGAACTGTGTGCCAAGTTTGGTTCAATTCCGTCGTTGGTGGAGCCCAGAAGGCTCTTTGATTGTAGGTGAACTATATATCCCAGCAAATACAACACCCAAATGTCAAGGTATATTTCCCCCAAACTCCATCTGTGTTCATATTTGAACATATGGAATATTCGTGCCGAGTTTGGTCCAGATCCATCATTGTTTGAGTCCACAGAGATCTCTCGATGTAGGTGAACTACAACTCCAAAACCAAAGGACACTGCCCACCAAACCCTTCCAGTATTTTCTGTTGGTCATGGGAGAACTGTGTGCCAAGTTTGGTTCAATTCCATCGTTGGTAGGGTTCAGAATGCTCCTTGATTGTAGGTGAACTATACATCCCAGCAAATACAACTCCCAAATGACAAAATCACATTTTTTGAGTGAAGGATATACATTGGGTTGTTAGGTGTCTTGTGTCCAAATTTGGTGTCAATTCCCCCAGTGGTTTTTGAGTTCTGTTCATCCCACAAACAAACATTACATTTTTATTTATATAGATTTTGGGTTGTTGTAGTTTTTTTCGGCCTATATGGCCATGTTCTAGAGGCATTCTCTCCTGACGTTTCGCCTGCATCTATGGCAAGCATTCTCAGAGGTAGTGAGGTCTGTTGGAAGTAGGAAAATGCCAGCTAGCTTGTATAGTTTATCAACAGGTGTAGGTTTAAGACATCCTGTGATTATTCTGCATATTTCATTCAATGCTATGTTCTCCTGCTTTGCATGGGCAGACCTATGCCAAACAGGGCAGGCATACTCAGCAGTTGAGTAAGACAAGGCTAGGGCTGATGTTCTTACTAATTTTGGGTCTGCACCCCATGTGATGCCAGTAAGTTTCCGCAGGATGTTATTGCGTGCAACTACTTTGTGCTTGGTGTTCAAGCAGTGTTTCCTATATGCTAGCGTTCGATCTAAGGTGACACTGAGATATTTAGAATGGAAACAATGTTCAAGCTAGGTTCTTGTGGGTTTTTTCGGGCTATATGGCTATGTTCTAGAGGCATTTTTCTCCTGACGTTTCGCCTGCATGTATGGCAAGCATCCTCAGAGGTAGTGAGGTCTGTTGGAATTAGAAAATGGGTTTATATATCTGTGGAATGGCTGGGGTGGGGCAAAGAGCTCTTCTCTGCTGGAGCTAGGTGTGAATGTTTCAACTGACCACCTTCATTAGCATTTGAAGGCCTGGCTGAGCCTGGGAAAATCTTTTGTTGAGAGGTGTTAAGATGTGCCTGGTTGTTTCCTCTCTGCTTTTTTTGCTGTTGTAATTTTAGAGTTTTTTAATACTGGTAGCCAGATTTTGTTCATTTTCATGGTCTCCTCTTTTCTGTTGAAATTGTCCACATGCTTGTGGATTTCAATGGCTTCTCTGTGTAGTCTGACATGGTGGTTGTTGGAGTGGTCCAGCATTTCTGTGTTCTCAAATAATATGCTGTGTCCAGGCTGGTTCATCAGGTGCTCTGCTATGGCTGACTTCTCTGGTTGAAGTAGTCTGCAGTGCCTTTCATGTTCCTTGATTCGTGTTTGGGCACTGCGTTTGGTGGTCCCTATGTAGACTTGTCCACAGCTGCATGGTATACGGTAGACTCCTGCAGAAGTGAGAGGATCCCTCTGTTCAAGCTCTTGACCTTTCCAGGTGACTTTCAATTTCCTATTGGCTTCATGGTTGCATAGGTGGAAAGCACACACTTGTGTATACTGGAATATATTAGGCTCCAGGTTAAACCGCTGAGCTGCTGAACTTGCTGATGGTTCAAATCTGGGGATTGGAGTGAGCTCCCGCTGTTAGGCCCAGCTTCTGTCAACCTAGCAGTTCAAAAACATGCAAGTGTGAGTAGATCAATAGGTACCACTTCTGCGGGAAGGTAATGGCACTCCATGCAGTCATGCCAGCCACAGGATCTTGGAGGTCTCTACAGACAACGCCAGCTCTTGGGCTTAGAAATGGAGATGAGCACCAACCCACAAAGTTGGACAGGACTAGACTTAATGTCAAGGAACACCTTTATCTTTACCGTAGTCTGCGATATAAAATCCAGATTATCTTCTTTGAATACCAATGTATGTTTGATATGTTTGATTGTTTTGGATTGATTACTTTCTTTGAATAATCAAGTATATACGTAATCATTTCTCTCTGGTTTCTCCAATTGTTTTATAGTTTAAACACAATACAAATAAATTGACTGTAACTAAAAGTCTTATTAATTTTATACATAACCTTCTGCTTAAGGGCCCTTCCATACAGCCCTATATCCCAGAATATCAAGGCAGAAAATCCCACATTATCTGAGTGTGGACTCAGATAACCCAGTTCAAAACAGATATTGTGGGATTTTCTGCCTTAATATTCTGGGATAGGGCTGTGTGGAAGGGCTCAAAGGTTCTCAAAAGTAAGTGAAACTAAAGGGTATGCTTTTCCACGGGCCCTTCCACACAGCCATATAACCCAAAATATCAAGTCAGGAAATCCCACAATATCTGCCTTGAACTGGGTTCAACACTGCCATATATTCCCGTTCAAAGCAGATAATGTGGGATTTTATTCAGATGTGTGGAAGGGCCTTGAGTCCACACTGCCATATCCAGTACAAAGCAAGTCAATAGTTTTGTATGATAATAATGATGATGATGATGATGATGATGATGATGATGATGATGATTATCACCTCCAAGAAAATTGATGTCATGTGTTTGGGGGTGGGGTGGGGGTGGGGGTCAGGATTGTAGAGATCCTTAAGTGGGGCATGGCCTTAAAAAGACTGGGAATCACTGGTCTAATCCATCTCATATGGCAGTGTGAACTCAGATAACCCAGTTGGAAGCAGATATTGTGGGATTTTCCTCCTTGATATCCTGGGTTATATAGCTGTGTAGAAGGACCCATAGAGACCCATCCAGAATATCAAGGCAGAGAATCCCACAATATCTGCTTTGTACTGGTTTGTACAGAAGCAACAAACCATTTTAATGACTTGGCCATCTGAAGATAGAATATTTTACCAAGAAATGAAATTGTACAATTGCTTCCAACTGGGTTATCTGAGCCATACGAGATGGATTAGACCAGTGATTCCCAGTCTTTCTAAGGCCATGCCCCACTTAAGGATCTCTAAAATCCTGACCCCCATCCCACCCTCAAACACCTGACATCAATTTTCTTGGAGGTGATAATCTTTATTATTATTACTAGCCATCCACGTGTTGCTGTGGCCCACTCTGGTGGTCATGAGGGTTCTGTGTGGGAGGTTTGGCCCAATTCTGTTGTTGGTGGGGTTCAGAATGCTCTTTGATTGTAGGTGAACTACAGATCCCAGCAACTACAACTCCCAAAGGTCAAGATTCTATTTCCCCCAAACTCCACCAGTGTTCACATTTGGGTATATTGAGTATTCGTGTAGAGTTTGGTTCAGATCCAACATTGTTTGAGTCCACAGTGCTCTCTGGATGTAGGAGAACTACAACTCCAAAACCAAAGGACACTGCCCACCAAACCCTTCCAGTATTTTCTGTTGGTCATGGGAGAACTGTGTGCCAAGTTTGGTTCAATTCCATCGTTGGTGGGGTTCAGAATGCTCTGTGATTGTAGGTGAACTATAAATCCCAGCAACTACAACTCCCAAATGACAAAATCAATTTTTTGAGTGAAGGACATACATTGGGTTGTTAGGTGTCTTGTGTCCACATTTGGCATCAATTCATCCAGTGGTTTTTGAGTTCTGTTAATGCCACAAACGAACATTACATTTTCATTTATATAGATTATTATTATTATCATTATCATACAAAACTATTGATTTGCCTGTGAAAGTCATCATTGTGCTTTGGATTCAGATTTCTTTCTCCTTTCATATGCAGAACAAAAAGTCATTGTAATAGATTTTGTATAGCTTGCAGTGTTAAAAGAACACCGAGTTCCAACAGTTTGGAATGAAAGGGCATCCCTTTTCTGTGTTCATGCCCTCTAGTTAACTCCATGCTCTCCCCACTCCTCTCTGTTAGAGGGCTTTCTTCCTCTCCATTGTCACCAGCTGACTGCCATGGACATTCTGAATTTAGTATTTAAAATGTGTATGTCACAGTATATAGATAGATATACTGTATGTGAGGCCCCATAAACATAAGAAATGCAAAACATTCACTGTTAATAACTCATTCTCAAATTGATGTCTTTAAAAATCAAGTGTGCCCCATAGCTGAGTACCAGGGAAATATTGATTTTGCAGTGCAGATTAGTTTTCTTAATATCCAGCCAAAGAGAGCTTTGCAATGGCAGCAGAATTCTATACCAACCCATTATGCCATAGCGGCTCATTTGAGATGAAATTATCTGCTCAATTTGGGGGAAGTGGGAAGTTTATTTTTGGTGGAATGGAACCAGGGGAGGACGTGAAGGAGGTTGAAGTCTGAAAAGATAAATGAGTTTTCCTTGTATTGTCGAAGGCTTTCATGGCCGGAATCACTGGGTTGTTGTAGGTTTTTTCGGGCTATATGGCCATGGTCTAGAGCAGTGTTTCTCAACCTGGGGGTCGGGACCCCTGGAGGGGTCACGAAGGGGTGTCAGAGGGGTCACCAAAGACTATCAGAAAACACAGTATTTTCTGTTGCTCATGAGTGTTCTGTGTTGAAAAAGTTTGGCATAAATCTGTCGTTGCTGGGGTTCAGAATGCTCTCTGATTGTAGGTGAACTACAAATCCCAGCAACTACAACTTCCAGATTTCAAGGTCTAGTTTCCCCAAACTTCACCAGTGTTAACATTTCAGCACATTGAGTATTCCTGCCAAGTTTGGTCTAGATCTATCATTGTTTGCATCCACAGTGCTCTCTGGATATAGATGAACTACAACTCCCAAACTCAAGGTTAATGGCCACCAACATTTTCCAGTATTTTCTGTTGGTCCTGGGAGTTCTGTGTGCCAAGTTTGGTTCAATTCCATTGTTAGTGGAGTTCAGAGTGCTCTTCGATTGTAGGTGAACTATAAATCCCAGCAAATAATACTCCCAAATGATAAAAATCAACTCCCCCATCAACCCCAACAGCATTCAAATTTGGGCATATTGGGTATTTGTGCCAAATTTGGTCCAATGAATGAAAACACATCCTGCATGTCAGCAAAATTACAGTTGTGAAGTAGCAACGAAAATAATTTTATGGTTGGGGGTCACCACAACATGAGGAAATATATTAAGGGGTCACAGCATTAGGGGGGGGTTGAGAACCACTGGTCTAGAGGCATTCTCTCCTGACATTTCGCCTGCATCTATGGCAGGCATCCTCAGAGGTAGTGAGGATGCTTGCCATAGATGCAGGCGAAACGTCAGGAGAGAACGCCTCTAGACCATGGCCATATAGCCCGAAAAAACCTACAACAACCCAATTTTCCTTCTTGATCCTGTCCGTATCCTTTTAGTACAGATAGTCCCAAGTTGCGAAGATAGGTTCTGTAAGTTTGTTCTTAAGTTGAATTTGTATGTAAGACAGAACAGGTGCATTTTAACTGTAATTCCAGCCGTGTGTGTGTGTGTGTGTGTGTGTGTGTGTGTGTGTGTGTGTGTGGACTCAGATAACCCAATTCAAATGAGATATTGTGGGATTTTCTGCCTTGATATTCTGGGATATAGGGTTGTGTGGAAGGACCCATAGATGTTTGCAACTCGGAGACTGCCTGTATAGCCTTTACTTGGGAACTTGTATACCAGAGCTTTCCAAACTGTGTGTAGTGTCATACCAACGTGTCAGCTTTAGTGTGTAGGTGTGTTGTGTCGACATAAGGAGAACCCCCTGAGTCTATGTGAAACAACCATTACCACCTAGTTGTTTATTTCACATAGAAACTTTAAAATGTTTTATGACAAAATGTGAATGTCTTTATCCAAATTTTCCAAAGCTGTATTCATCCCATCAACCTCATACATCTCATTAAAATAGTAAGTAATTGTTTTATTAGTGTTGTGTATTTTTTAATCAATGTACATGTTTAAAACTTGTTATTCATAAATGACAAAAATATTGCAAATATATGTTATCTTACAAAACATATGTTGATCCCTCATACATTTTGTTATTACAATTTATGTATGTGTCTATATTTTATGTATTTATTTATTTACGATATATATATATATATATATATCAGGCCATATGAAGAGTAGGGAAACAAAGCTTCTCAATTTACCTCCTAAAGATGTACAACAGAGCTTTCCAGAAATTTCATGTTGACGGCACACTTTTTAGATATGCATCATTTCATGACACAGTAATTCAGTTTTACTGGTAAACTGGAGGTTAAGGCAACCCCTGATAAGATCTATCTATCTATCTATCTATCTATCTATCTATCTATCTATCTATCTATCTATCTTATCGGGGGTTGTCTTAACCTCCAGTTTACCAGTAAAATTGAATTACTGTGTCATGAAATGATGCATATCTAAAAAGTGTGCCGTCAACATGAAATTTCTGGAAAGCTCTGTTGTATATCTTTCAGAGGTAAATTGAGAAGCTTTGTTTCCCTACTCTTCATATGGCCTGATACAAATAAGATCAGCCAGGATAATTAAAAGATACATTTTGACCCAGCGGATACTAGCTGCTTAGTTTTTGTGGACTACTTGGATATATATCAGTTGTTGGACTTCCTCCAAAGAATGTTGGACATATGATCCAAGTAGACATTTATTATGTAGGAATTACTTAATGAAGGCTTCTGCTGATAAAAGGTTACCAGAATGCCCTCTTTCTTTGCATATTTAAAAGGCCATGAAATAAATGGTACAATTAACTCATAATCAGCTGAAGTCTGAAACGACATTATACTGCTTAAAATTGTTCATTTGTGCAAGAGGTAACTCCAGCATCTTTTTACTGGTGAACCTGCATAGGGGGAAAATGAGATGTATCTATTTCTCAAGGGTTTTTTTTTGTTACCTATTATGTATGGTCTCAAGAAGTATTTTCCAAAAGACACTTCGTCTCTACTGTACAGGTATGAGGAATACAAATAAAGAATCCCGTGGACCCTCAAATCGATATGCTCCATGTGGCAAGTATACTCTTTGTATTTATTTATTTATTTATCATGTCAGGAGCAAGCCAAACGGTTGTATTGCATTTTTTAACAAACAAACAAACAAACATAGAATCATAGAATCAAAGAGTTGGAAGAGACCTCATGGGCCATCCAGTCCAGCCCCCTGCCAAGAAGCAGGAATATTGCATTCAAATCACCCCTGACAGATGGCCATCCAGCCTCTGTTTAAAAGCTTCCAAAGAAGGAGCCTCCACCACACCCCGGGGCAGAGAGTTCCACTGCTGAACGGCTCTCACAGTCAGGAAGTTCTTCCTCATGTTCAGATGGAATCTCCTCTCTTGTAGTTTGAAGCCATTGTTTGTTAAAACTCTTTGTATTTATGTGGTACTTTCAAGTATAGACTATCAAAACTGAGAGCAATGTATACATGAAACAGATTAGCAGTGTAGTGAAATGTGTAATCTGAAACATAGCATAACATACAGATCAGCAATTGAAAGCCACTACTCCTTCATTTGCTTGCTGAGTAGCAAGAGGAATGTCCCAATGATGGACAGCAAGACATGTTATGGCAGTCCATTTGAGGGAAGGGCATGTATAATTTCCAAAAATGCTAAAACCATAGGGAATTTTTTTTGTTTGTTTTATAATTCTCATGGAAATATATATGTATCTAATTGTATGTACAGTATATGAAATATGTACGTATATGTGTTTTTATTTTCATTACCCTCATTATGCCTTAAAACATAATTTGTATCATTTAAAACATATATATTTGTTTCAACAGGCTTTTGACCTTTGATCTGTTGTTTTAATTTGTGTTAGATTCCAGTTTGTTTTGTAAGCCGCTCCAAGCCCTAGGGGAGTGGCGGCATATACGTTTGAATAATAAATAAATAAATAAAAAGAATTGTACTATGGTACAGATATACGAGATGCTTCTCTTTTTTTATTTTCTGTTGAAAATCTCTACGCTGTTTCAGTTTTAGGCCGTTACAGCATTGTACTCTGTAATTATACAGGGCCCTTTGCCCAGAAAAGGGTCATGGCTTGGGAGGTGGGGCCTACATTCTGGGTTTTGAAATTGTTTTGTTGTTGTTGTTCATTCGTTCAGTCGTTTCCGACTCTTTGTGACCTCATGAAATTGTTTGAAATTGTTAGAGGGCTGTAATTTTGGGAGGTTTAATTTTTAAAATATTGATTAAAATTTACTATTTCTAAAATTCAATTTATTGCAAATACATGATTATATTATTTGTTACATATAGAAATCTCTGTTTACTGAAAATGGCTACTGAATTTTAGTTTCAATGTAACCAATATTTCTGTTTTAATTGCTAAATTTAATTTAATATAAAAAGATCAGGCACACTAAGGTTCTTTGTTTCTTGGTGGACTAATAATCCACTAACCATAGAGTACAGGAAATTCTTGTCTAGGAAATGTGATTGATTCACTGAAGGTACCAGCACGGCATATAGACTCCCAGTTTGAGGTGGAAGAAAAAATATATTTCTGGTCGGATCTAGACAACCCCTTTATTGCGATAACTCCCGCAATAAAGAAGGGGCTGTCCAGATGATGGCCTGGACATTCCTGAATTAATTCACTACAAACCAGGAAAACCCTGGTTTGTAGCAAATTAATTAGATAGTGGGTTTATTCCGTGTCTTCTTGGAGGGTGCAGGATAAACCCACTATTTCCGGTTCTGGACTGCAGAATACTGCTAAATTAGCCCAGAAAACTGTGGGAATCCCAATCCCAAGCCCCCAATTTCACTGATCACTCAATGCAGTTCGAAGCTAGTTTCAAACTATGACAGCCAGACAACAAAATCATACAAAAGTGTGTGAAAGAAAGCACATTACGTGCATCAGTGCTCTGTGGTTTGTGTAGTTATCATCCCAACCTCAAAGTGGTTCCAGCCCTTTCTAAGTAAACATCTGCACAGTGAAACTACTTTCTTTAGTACCGGTTTCAAACTGCATTTAATGGTCAGTGTGGATGGCCCCTTAGTTTATGCACTCAGTCTATAGCAGTCTGGACCATACTTTCAAGGCAGTTGAGCTGTGATGTTGGCCACTATGGGGGAAGGGAGACTTCAGTCTAAGGCCCTATATCCTGGGATCTGATAATAGATTATCTGCTTATTCTAGATTTTCTGGCAGTGGAGATTCATATAATCCAGTTCAAAGCAGATAATCTGGGATCAGATCCTGGGATATAGAGCAGTATAAAGGGGGGCTCAAATGAATGAAAGGAAATGGAGAATCACCTGAGAAGAGAAAGCCACATAAAGAGGCTCCTTCCACACTGTATAAAATCCCACATTATCTGCTTTGAACTGGGTTATATGGCAATGTGGACTCTGATAACCCAGTTCAAAATAGATATTGTGAATTATCTTCCTTGTCATTCTAGGTTATATTGCTGTGTGGAAGGGCTCAGAGACTACGATTGAGGTGGGTAGAGAAAATGGGATGCAGGGAGAAACCAAGAGCCCTTCCACACAGCCCTGTATCCCAGAAAATCAAGGCAGAAAATCCCACATTATCTAGTTTGAACTGGGTTATCTGAGTCCATACTCAGATAATGTGACAAATGTCACGGTGTGTGTGTAAATATCTCCTGAACTTGTGTTTCTGTGGCCATTGAAAAACGCATATTGCATTCAGCAATTGGCAAGAAGGGTTGCTGATGCATCTTTGGCTCTGAAACTTTGTGGAGAGTCTCCAGAAGTTCTCACACAAATTGATTTTCCATTTATATCAGGAATTTAATGGGTGTGTTAATGGGTGTCTGATGCTGTAGTGCATGGGATTGGGGAAATTCAAAATAAACATTTACTTGGAGATCAGCTGTCCAAGATCTCCCTTCTGCAATCACTTTAGTTGGAAAAAGCATGACACGGCTTTCTCCCCAAAGATGTAAAGATTATTAATTTATTAATTTATTTACTGTATTTGTATACCGCCTTTCTCAGCCTTTCAGCGACTCAAGGCAGTTTACAGGCAACAAGTAATATACATAATATCAAAATGCACCTAAAAACATTAAATATAATATAAAACCACAACAGAAATAATAAGCAACAGCCAGGAGACAGATGTTTTTAAAGTCTCTTCCTCAGTCCTCTTCTTCCTATTAGCTGGCTGGGGGGGGGGGGAGGGGGGAGCAGCAGGATTTCCTCCTTCTCCTACTGAGGCTCATAGTAAGAAGTCTACCAAGAATTTACTTGTACAAAACTTTTATTCCCACATTTTGAATTATATTAAATTCTGGAGGCAGGGGAAAGTGGCAATATAGACCAGTCCCAAATGATATCTGACCCCATGCATGCAGCTAGGCACACCCTTGACCTTGTTTTTTGTGTTGGATAAGATGATCTTGGTGTGAGGAAACTTTTTGTAGTACTGTTGTCAATGACAAATCACTATCTTGTTGGTTTAGATTCAGTTGGAACTGGGATCTCTGGTGTTGGGAACTGATTATGATTGTTGGAGGAGAGCAATGTCCAGTCTCGATAAAATAGTAAAGAGTAGAGACATCAGACTGGCAACAAAGATCTGCCTAGTCAAAGCCATGGTATTCCCTGTAGTAACCTACGGATGTGAGAGCTGGAACTTAGGGAAGGCTGAGCAAAGGAAGATAGATGTTTTTGAGCTGTGGTGTTGGAGGAAAGTGCTGAGAGTGCCTTGGACTGCGAGAAGATCCAACCAGTCCATCCTCCAGGAAAGAAAGCCCGATTGCTCATTGGAGGGAAGGATATTAGAGACAAAGTTGAAGTACTTTGGCCACATCATGAGGAGACAGGAAAGCCTAGAGAAGACAATTATGCTGGGGAAAGTGGAAGGCAAAAGGAAGAGGGGCCGACCAAGGGCAAGATGGATGGATGGCGTCCTTGAAGCGACTGGACTGACCTTGAAGGAGCTGGGGGTGGTGACGGCCGACAGGGAGCTCTGGCGTGGACTGGTCCATGAGGTCACGAAGAGTCGGAGACGACTGAACGAATGAACAACAACAACACCCAAAGCTCCATGGGACTGGATGGTTTCCTGATGAATCCTGGTGAATCCTGGGGATTTTCCTGTCACTTTGTTATGTGATATTGTTAAATTGTGGGTGACCTTTGAAATGGGAAATCCGACTATTCGCTTTTACAGAATGGAGCCAAAGCAGCTACCTAGCAATGATTAAACAAGGTAGACAGATTAGAGTGGCATTGTCAGAAAGATTGGAGCAAGTCTGACCAAATGGAAGTTTGAGCTATTGGAAGATTTGCAAGGATCTTCTTTTAGAATCACATGTCCAGTAGACCCTTGCCCTTCTCGACCTATTAAAAGAGACAGAAGGGGGCAGTCCAAGTGTGTGATGGACTTGGTCAATGCCTCCTTAGAAGGCAAGGTTGCAACATGCCTAAACAAGGGAGTTGTGAGAACTCTTGTTGAAAAGCCGTCTCTAAATCTCTCTATAATGTAATATTCCATTTTAGGCAAGGTATTAGAGCATGTGGTGGCCTCCCTGTGCCACGTGTTCCTGATTGAAATGGATAGCTTGAATCCATTTCCATCTGTTTTCAAGCCTGGTTATGGACAGAGACAGTTTAAGTCATCTCACTAAAAATTCTTTTCAAAGTGTATCTTTGTTGGTTCTGCTGACATCTCATCAATTTTAATGCCATCAATCATGGTATTCTTCTAGACCACTGCTTCTTAAACTGTGGAATATGCTGCTTTGGAGTGTAGTAGAGTCTTCTCTGAAGGTTTTTAAACAGAGGATAGATGGCCATCTGCTGGGAGTGTTTTGATAGTGTATTCCTATATGACAGAAGATTGGGCTGGATGGCCTTGTGGTCTCTTCCAGTTCTGTGATTCGATGATTTAGTTCTAAACTGGTTTCTAGCATTGATGATGGATTGGAGGAAGGTGAACATATTTATTATTATTTATTTACTATATTTATATACCGCTTTTCTCCCCCTGAGGGAACATATTGAAGATTAATCCAAACAAGGCAGAGGTGCTCCTTGTCAGTTGTAAAATGGATTAGTAAATAAGTACTCACCTTCTGCTGTGTTATATTCACACTGAAAATACAGGTTTGTAATCTTGGTATGCTTCTGGAGTTGGAACGCTCAGCTTTCAGCAGTGACAAAGAGTGCTTTTCCACACTTCATGTTAGTTCACCAATTATGTCCATTTTTGGAAATGACACTTGGCTATGGTGACAAACATCTTAGTTCCATCCCATTTGAGTTACTGTAATGTTCTCTGTGTGAACTGCGTCTGAAGAGAGTGTAGAAACTTCAGTTGGTGCAAATAACTGCAAATCTTTTGTTACAGCAGTTTGATTATAAGTGATGATTATGATATTCTACACAGCTTAGATCTAGCTCTCTGACACTGTATCGCCCCATATGAACGTGCTGGACCCCAAGATCTTCAAGAAAGTTGGTGTTTTGGTTCCACTAATTTCATGCATATGATTAGTGAAGAGGATGCTAGAATAGCCCTTGCCTTGTGACCCTTCCATAGGCAGGCAAACTTTTAAAATATATTTCAACTGGCTTTTGATAACCGAAGGCTTTTAAAGAAGGGGTTCTGAGGGAGTTCTGTACTGTTCCTACTCTTTTAAACTGTACTTTAAAAATTATTTTTATCATTTTTATTAACTACTAGCTTGGGGACCAGGCGGTGCCCGGGTTATTTGAGAAAGGCATTGTTTGCCAAGGTTGGTCTTTATCAGTTATTTATGTGGCTCGCAATGGCTTTGGGAAGTTAGTGAAGGTACTGCGAGCCCCTCGTCCATGGTCCATCCACCTCCAAACAGCACCAGGATGTAGAGTGGGTCATGGGGGTTCTGTGTGCCAAGTGTGGTCTTGATCAGTTATTGGAGAAGGGTCTCGGTGATGTCGGGAAGTGAGTGAAGGTACTTCAAGTCTCATCATCCATGGTCCATCCTTCTCCAAACTGCACCAGGATGTAGAGAAGGTCATGAGGGCTCTGTGTGCCAAGTTTTATCTTGATCAGTCATTGGATGAGGGCCGCAGTGGTCTCTGAAAGTGAGTCGAAGTACTGCAAGTCCCATCATTCGTGGTCCCTCCTCCAAACTGCAATAGGATATAGAGTGGGTCATGGGGGCTCTGTGTGCCAAGTTTGGTCTTGATCTGTCATTGGTGGGGGGCACAATGGTCTATGGGAACCAAAGCATTTGAAAGTACTACAAATCCCATAATCCGTGGTCCACTACACCCACACCGCACCAGGACGTAAAGGGGGTCATGGAGGTTATGTGTGCCAAGTTTGATCCAGGTCCGTCATCTGTGCAGGTCACAGTGGCCTGCGAAAGTGGCAGCCAATCAGAAAGCTGCCACATACACTGCCCTCCCTCCCTCCGCATATGAACTGACTTTTATTATATACATAGATATATTTCAAATTGTTTTTATGTGTTGTGGGTAGCTTGCTTACATTTTAGTTTTAATTTTTACATGTTTTAACATGTATTTGAATGTGTAAGTCACCCTGAGTCTCAGTTTTAATAAAAAGACAGGGTTTAAATAAAGCCGATTAGTATTACTGCTGCTTCTTCTATTGGGCTTACCTTCAGTTATATACTCATTTAATGATTTAAAAGTAAAAACCAATACTTTAAAGTGAGCTCTGAAATGGGCAGATAGCTAGTTTGAAGAATCATGTGCCTTATGTATAGTAACATATAAGGAATATATATTTCATATGCTTTCTTTTCATTGATACAATGAACAATTCAGGTTAGTAATCTGGATTGTATTGCTTTAAATTTACAGCTAGCCATTATGTGACTGGAAAATAAAAATTTTCCCTTTATAGAGTTTTGTATCTATAGTAGTAGAATACAGAGGAACAGATTTCTCTGAAAGGTTTTCCTCAAGCATGGCATGAGTATATGGCCCTTGATTTCATTGTACTTGGCAATTTAGTAACCATTATTTTTGCACAATCTTTTTAACATAATATATGTATTTTCATTGTACAATAAGTAGTCCTGAAAATGTTGATGGGCTATGTAGAACCAAGGGTATATGTATTTTAGGAAAAAACAAACAAACCATGGAATGCATAAGAAGTTCTTCAAGTAATATACACTTTGACTGTATATGTAATGCATGAAATCACAAATGTAATTGCATGGCATTTACTATTTCTTATCAATACAGATTGGTACTATCATGTACCTATGAAACGATCAGAGGAAATTGTTAATTCTGAAGTTCCGCAACAACCAACTTCCCAGATCCCAGGTCTTGGTGAATTTGGAGATCCTCACAACGAGAATACCTTTGTGGGGCGAAAGAAGTGGATCAAAGACACCGACTCAGAATATGTGAAGCTGGCAAAACAAGGCGGCCGACCTGGTGATTAAATTCAGATTTTAGGAGGCTAGTGTAAAGTAGATAGATAGATAGATAGATAGATAGATAGATAGATAGATAGATAGATAGATAGATACACACAAAATTATTACAGAGAACTTGGTGAAATAATAGAATATACCAGTGTTTCTCAACCTTCCTAATGCTGTGACCCCTTAATAGAGGTCCTCATGTTGTGGTGACCCTCAATCATAACATTATTTTTGTTGCTACTTCATAACTGTAATTTTGCTACTTTTTTGAATTGTAATGTAAATATCTGATATGCAGGATGTATTTTCAAATCCCAAATACCCGATATGCCCAAATTTGAATACTGGTGGGGTTGGCGGTGATTGATTTTGTCATTTGGGAATGTTGGAATTGCTGGGATTTATAGTTCACCTAAAATCAAAGAGCCTTCTGAACTCCACCAATGATGGAATTGAATCAAACTTGGCACAAAGAATTCCCATGACCAAGAGAAAATACTGGGAGGGTTTCGTGGACATTGACCTTGAGTTTTTGGAGTTGTAGTTCACCTACACCCAGAAAACACTGTGGACTCAAACAATGGTGGATATGGACCAAACTTGGCACAGATACTCAATATGCCTTTACAGTAGTGGCACCATCGCTTTGGAACACTCTGCCACCAGAATGCCAGATATTTGTGCCAGATATTTGATACAGGGAGATTTTCTTCCTTCTCTCCTATTATGCTGTTGTATATTTGTGTTAATATGTATTGTGAAGTAGTGACTATGAAAATGATTGACTTTCTCAGGGCTGCTAATAGCAGAGAGTATTTTTCAAGATCTTTTTCAGTCCTGCTTATGTGGTCAAAAAGGGACATCTCACATGATGGTGTTCAACTTTTATTGCTGAAAATAAATATGGACACATCTACACAGACACTACAATGTAACTGGTTTGAGAGGAAGTGGTTTTGCTGTGTGGGTAATTAGATTGACAGGTCTGGAACTGGTTTGAGGTCAGGCGAGTGATTAAATTAACCAGAGAACCTGGCCTCAAACAGCTCTGCAGGATCCCATCCTGGTCTGCCCCTCCCCATTTCTGGAAGAGATGCACATCACTACTATGAAGGCCAATGTGTTGTTTTTTCAAAGGGAGGATGTGACAGGTAGGAGTGGAATGAATTAATCTCCCCTCCCAGGAATTCAAGTAGCTTCATGCTGCTCAACCATCTCTTTGGGGTGCTTTTCTGTTCTGAAGTCTATGATGTACTTCAGTAGAGGTGGGTATATACAATATCTATTTGTTGTGTCAGGGCAATCAGTCAATTGTATTACATTTCTAACAGAACAAAACAAACAAACAGACAAAACACAAAAGTTTAGTAGTTGATTAAATGTCCTTTGACCAGTATCTGGCCACTTGGAGTGCCTCTGGTGTAGCTGCAAGAAGGTTCTCCATTGTGCATGTGGCGGGGCTCAGGTTGCATTGCAGCAGGTGGTCGGTGGTTTGCTCTTCTCCACACTCACATGTCGTGGATTCCACTTTGTGGCCCCATTTCTTGAGGTTGGTTCTGTATCTCGTGGTACCAGAGCGCAGTCTGTTCAGCGCCTTCCAAGACGCCCAGTCTTCTGTGTGCCCAGGGGGGCCAGTCTCTCATTTGGTATCAGCCATTGGTTGAGGTTCTGGGTTTGAGCCTGTCACTTTTGGACTCTCGCTTGCTGACGTGTTCCAGCGAGTGTCTCTGTAGATCTTAGAAAACTATTTCTAGATTGAAGTCGTTGACGTGCTTGCTGATACCCAAACAGGGGATGAGCTGGAGATGTCTCTGCCTTGGTCCTTTCACTATTGGCTGCTACTTCCCGGTGGATGTCAGGTGGTGCAATACCAGCTAAGCAGTGTAATTTCTCCAGTGGTGTAGGGCGCAGACACCCTGTGATAATGCGGCATGTCTCATTAAAAGCAACATCCACTGTTTTAGCGTGGTGAGATGTGTTCCACACTGGGCATGCATACTCAGCAGCAGGGTAGCATAGCGCAAGGGCAGATGTCTTCACTGTGTCTGGTTGTGATGCCCAGGTTGTGCCAGTTAGCTTTTATATAATATTGTTTCTAGCACCCACTTTTGGCTTGATGTTCAGTCAGTGCTTCTTGTAGGTAAGAGCACAGTCCAGAGTGACTCCCAGGTATTTGGATGCGCTGCAATGCTCCAGTGGGATTCCTTCCCAGGTGATCCTCAGAGCTCGGGATGCTTGTCTGTTCTTGAGATGAAAAGCACATGTCTGTGTTTTAGATGGATTAGGGATCAGCTGGTTTCCCCTGTAATAGGCAGTAAGAGCACCTAGGACTTTGGAGAGCTTCTTTTCAACCATCTCAAAGCTCCCTGCTTGAGGTACATACAATGCACTCCACATTTTGTGGAGCCAATTTTGTCCTGGATCTGGGATACACTGACCTCTGTTGCAGTGCATTACTTGATTGAAGTCAAACTTCCTTGAATGCACTATATACCCTTAAATGTGCAGTAGAGTGCACATTAGCGACATGCATTTTATGGCCGCTGTGGTTTGAAGTTGTGTCAAAGCTGCATTATAATTTTAGTGTAGATCGGGCCAAAATTATATGTAAGAACCAAGTTTCCCTTTCTATATTGTCATGGTCTTAGATTGTATTTTCAGTCTGCGGAAGAGACAGCTCTTTGTTTTGTAGTCAAAACAATAAACAATCATATGTGAGAAATAATGGCAATATTGGGACTGTCTGAACAACGTACTACAAATGTGTGATGGAGGGAGAAGGACTCAGGAAGGAACTCCCTCCAACAAAGTCACAATGAGCACACTAAAGCATAAAATGTTGACTGTTGGGGAATTGGGAGTGGAAGAGAATGAAATGGAATGTCCTTGACCATACTCCATGCCGCTACAATGTCTCTCTTGTCCTTCTTGTTTCACATTTCTCTGTGTGTGAAACATAGTCTTGAAAATTAGATGCACAATTTAAAGTTATACAAGCCATTCAAAAGCCTGTGGTTGGTTTTTTGGTCTCTATATTTTAAGAAAATGCTCTCTCTTTCCCTAAAGATGTAAAATGCACATATTTCCTAATACAGTGAAATTGTTATGATGTAATTAATTGACTGGGAAAGTAAGTGAAATGAACCACTCCTGCATGTACGAGGGGTATTTTTTAAGTAAGGTCCATTTGAACATAAGTACACAATGAAAGTTTATTTCAAAAAAGTAAATTTATTTTCAGAAAGTACATACTTCACTCTATTTTTCGACATAGTTGCCAAGTTTGTTCAAACACTTATCATACACTTATCAATTTTAAAATATCCTCTTCATAAAAACTTGCCGCCACCAAAAGTCACCAAATCGTCTGTAATCAAAGTAGGGCGACTGGAGCGGTCCTCATCATGGACGTTGTCATGGCCATCTTTGAATTGTCGTACCCACTTACGCACTTTGCTTTCACTCATAATAGTATCACCGTACACTTCACAAATCTGTCGATGAATTTTTGCAGCAGGCAGGTTCCTTGCTGACAAAAACCGTATCACTGAGCGAACCTCACATGCGGATTTGATAGTCTTAAACATTTTTAAAGCACAGGACAGAACCGTACAGGTTAGCTACAGAGCGGAAACTGAGCACAGTTGTTCCCGAGGCATGCCGGTACATGACGCACGTGCTCGTTGCGGTATGCGCGCGAACTACTAGTGTCTACAACAAAACGGACCTTACTTAAATAATACCCCTCGTAAGACACAAATTGAATTTCCCTATTAGGGGTTGGTTTTTATGTTTTGTTAACAAAATTTAAAAAAAAAACAGATTCAGTCACAGGTCTCCCATCTTGAATAATTTAGCTTTATAGAGGACATTAAAATGAAAACATGTTGTTTTAACAACAAAAATGTTTTTAAATGAGTGGTTTTTTAATTAAATGTCTTTTCCTTTTCTCTTTATTCTTTTAATTTTTGAATTAAGATTTATTGAGGCATTTTACATCTACTCCAAGAAAAATGTCCTTGGGATCTTACGGTGCACCTGAGTGGTACTCCCATCATGGCAAGACAACAGCACCTGATGAGTCTAAGTAAGTATTCTGTGTTTTCATGGATCCTGCTAATTAGGAGAGGGAGTTGAAAAAAGCTGAAACAAAAGGAATTTTTCATCGGTTGCATAAACTTCTTAAGTTCTTTCATGAAAATCCTTAATGGATTATGGTAAAACATCTGCTTGCAGGTCTCGAATTTCAACCATGCCAGACTACATGATTCATGAAGAATTTAAAGCTGATCAGCCAGCCAGCTATGAGCCTAAAAGGGGGCCTTTTGATTTTGATATGAAGAGCGTTTGGCAAAGGGATGCCGAAGACAAAGAAAACAAAGAGAAAAAAGAGGTATGGTATAGATATTATTATGATCTCAATAGAATCAGTTCAAGTATGTGAGTTGGATTTTGAAAATTTAAATAATATTCTGCCAGGATTACAGAACTGGAGTAAAGCTCTCCAGTTCCAGAAAGTCATTTGGTCAGTTTATTGGGAGAGTTTGTTGAGATGTTGTCGTATTTTTTAGGGAAAGGCTGATTGTTTGAAGGATTGCTTGCTTGTTAGGATTCTATTGTTTTGATGTGAATAACCTCAAGTCAGCCTCAGATCATCTGCCTGAGTAACTGGTCTCAGGAAGGTGAGGCATCTGCATAGAAAGGTAGGTCACAGAAAGTAGGCTGAAGACTGCTTGAGGGAGGAGTTAACTGCCAATAGCTCTCCATATAGTTAAAGCACCAGTTCATGGAGCTGCCACTAGCTCTCTTTGTTTACATGGAAAAAAAACAGCTCCTGTCTCCTGGGGCAACCTCTCCTGTCCCTACAAAGTCATTTGGATCAGTCAGGGCAACCAGTCAATTATATTACATTTCTAACAGAACAAAGCAAACAAACAGACAAAATACAAAATTTGTGAGTTTGGTATTTGATTAAATGTCCTTTGACCAGTATCTGGCCACTTGGAGTGCTTCTGGTGTTGCTGCAAGAAGGTCCTCCATTGTGCATGTGGCAGGGCTCAGGTTGCATTGCAGCAGGTGGTCAGTGGTTTGCTCCTCTCCACACTCGCATGTCGAGGATTCCACTTTGTAGCCCCATTTCTGAAGGTTGGCTCTGCATCTTGTGGTGCCAGAGCGCAGTCTGTTCAGCGCCTTCCAAGTCGCCCAGTCCTCTGTGTGCCCAGGAGGGAGTCTCTTATTTGGTATCAGCCATTGGTTGAGGTTCTGGGTTTGAGCCTGCCACTTTTGGACTCTCGCTTGCTGAGGTGTTCCAGCGAGTGTCTCTGTAGATCTTAGAAAACTATTTCTAGATTTAAGTCGTTGACGTGCTGGCTGATACCCAAACAGGGGATGAGCTGGAGATGTTACTGCCTTGGTCCTTTCACTATTGGCTGCTATTTCCCGGCGGAAGTAGCATAGTGCAAAGGGCAGATGTCTTCACTGTGTCTGGTTGTGATCCCCAGGTTGTGCCAGTCAGCTTTTGTATGATATTGTTTCTTGCACCCACTTTTTGCTTGATGTTCAGGCAGTGCTTCTTGTAGGTCAGAGCACGGTCCAGAGTGACTTCCAGGTATTTGGGTGCGCCGCAATGCTCCAGTGGGATTCCTTCCCAGGTAATCTTCAGAGCTCGGGATGCTTCTCTATTCTTGAGATGAAAGGCACATGTCTGTGTTTTAGATGGGTCGGGGATCAGCTGGTTTTCCCTGTAATAGGCAGTAAGAGCACCTAGAACAGAAATACAGAACAGAAGCTTTCCGAAGCTCTAGGTGCTCTTATTGCCTACTAGTCATTTGGATGAGTTTGTTGAACTGTTGGTTTGTTCAGCTAAGGTTGTGTTGTGTTGAGCTATGCTTTTTTGGTATAGTTCGTTTGTTATTGAAAGGAAGGCAGTTTTTATGCATAGGGTGGAAGTTTGCTTGCTCCTTAGGGTTCTGTTATTTTGGTGTTCATAGCTTCAGGTCAGCCTCATGACATTTGCCTGATCAACTGGTCTCAGGAGGGAAGAATATCTTCATACAGAAAGTAAGTCAAATGTTTCTTGGGAGAGGAGCTAACTGCCACTAGCTCTCTATATAGCTACAGCACCAGTTCAAGGAGCGCAGAGTACAAGATGGCAAGACAAATTGATATTTGGCAGGGGAGTCTGCAAGGGAAGCCTAAATTTCTGTTCATTCTCTGCTTAATTCCTTACTTAATTACTGCTAAAGATGGATGGCAAGAGACCTGATAAGTCACTTGCAACAGCTATGGAGTGTTTGTGTTCTTGTCAGATCATGTGAAGTGTAAGTCAATAGCACTCTTGAGCACTTAGGATCCACCCTACAAGATATTAGGGGAAAAGACATTGCCTTGAATCCAACAAGACTGTCTTGGAAGATAATCACACGGGGATCTTTCTGAGGAGGAGGAAGTCATGCCCCAAATACAGGAGGTGGACACTTGGATGGATGTTACACATAGAAGTATTTATTTATTTGCGGCATTTATATGTCGCCCTTCTCACCCCGAAGGGGACTCAGAGCGGCTTACAATATATATTTTCATACAATATATTATAGTATTAACATAGTACAATATCAGTATATATTACTATATTGCACTATACCATTATATTGTAATATTATTAGTAATATTACATGTAATGTAAATATATAATTATAATATTGAATTATTATTACTAGTATTATATTGTATTACATTATAATATTATAAATATTATATGTATATACAATATACTATATTATATTATTAGTAAAGACAAGATGGCAGTGTCTTCTGCTCCCTTCTGTCTTCGCTCTGGCCAGAGCAGCCGTTAGTGCCAGAAGGGGGAGGGGCCTCTCAAGTGATGATATAGGCAGAAGACAAGATGGCAGTGTCTTCTGCTCCCTTCTGCCTTCGCTCTGGCCAGAGCAGCCAGAATGACCAGTAGAATGACCAGGAATCATTCTGGAAGTTTGAAGCAACAGAATCAAATTGAAGTTTTTTCCAGTATCAGAGATTATGCAGAACAACAAGAATTGCAACAAAGCTTGTCCTCTGGAAATGTGCAGGTGCCCCTAGAACAGTGTTTCTCAACCTGAAGGGGTCACGAGGGGGTGTCAGAGCGGTCGCTGAAGACCATCAGAAAATGCAGTATTTTCTGTTGGTCATGGGGTTTCTGTATGAGAAGTTTGGCCCAATTCTATTGTTGGTGGGGTTCAGAATGCTCTTTAATTGTAGGTGAACTATAAATCCCAGCAATTACAACTCCCAAATGTCAAGATCTATTTTCCCCAAACTCCACCAGTATTCACATTTGGGCATATTGAGTATTTGTGCCAAGTTTGGTCCTGATCCATCATTGTTTGAGTCCACAGTGCTCTCTGGATGTAGGCAAACTACAACTCCAAAACTCAAGGTCAATGCCCACCAAACCCTTACAGTTTTTGCTGTTGGTCACTGAAGTTCTGAGTGCTAGGTTTGGTTCAATTCTATTGTTGGTGGAGTTCAAAATGTTCTTTGATTGTAGGTGAACTATAAATCCCAGCAATTACAACTCCCAAATGACAAAATCACCCCTCCCCCCCCCCCAACTCTACTAGTATTCAAACTCAGGTGTATTGGGTATTTGTGCCAAATTTGGTTCAGTCAAGTGAAAATACACCATATATTTACATTACAATTGATAACAGTAGCAAAACATACTGTTATGAAGTAGCAACAAAAAATATTTTATGTTTGGGGGGGTCACCACAACATAAGGAACAGTATTAAGGGGTCGTGGCAATAGAAAGGTTGAGAAACACTGCCCTAGAAGAGTAAACATAGGGAATGGCCCCTGCCAATCCTCCAAGAGGATGTGTGGTGAAGGTAGCGTATTCTCTACTTATCTACTTTAAAATATTTCATTATAAAGATGCATTAAGATTGCAAAGTAGACTGATACATATTCATTAACCTTGATACATATTAGCAATATAAGACACTTGTTCCCTCTGTACTCCACAGATCAATTGTATTCTCTTTCACTCATTACAATTTGAATATATGGTAGAAGTAAAAAAAATCATGCTTCATTGAATCTTATAGATAGAAACTCTCTTAATCTATAGTTATATATTTTAATTAAATATCTAGAAATATTCTGGAATGACACATTAATTTATAATATACTATTTTTGATATTAGTTTCTACATATTGCAAAGTATATAGTTATCCTCACCACTAATTAGAGTCTTCAACAGCTTTTCTATTCTCTATTTTTCAGGGGTTTTTTTAACATTGTTTAATATGTTGTGGAGGCTCCTTCTTGGAGGCTTTTAAACAGAGGCCATATGTCGGGGATGTTTTGAATGCAATTTTCCTGCTTCTTGGCAGGGGGTTGGACTGGATGGCCCATGAGGTCTCTTCCAACTCTTATGATTCTATAACTACCGTATATACTTGAGTATAAGCTGACCCGACTATATGCCGAGGCACCTAATTTTACCACAAAAACTGGGAAAACGTATTGACTTGAGTATAAGCCGAGGGTGGGGAATGCAGGAGTTACTGATTAATTTTAAAATAAAAATAGATATCAATAAAATTACATTAATTGAGGCATCAGTAGGTTAAATGTTTTGAATATTTACATAAAACTATAATTTAAGATAAGACTGTCCAGCTCTGATTAAATCATTATTCTAATCTTCAGTGTAAATGTGCTTATGTATCCTTCCAATAATAATAAAAATAGTAAAATAATAATAATAATAATAATAATAATAATAATAATAATAATAATAATGAAATCCAGCATATATACCTTGTTTGCTGTGTCATACTGTGTTTCTGTGTCAGGATAATAATAATAATAATAATAATAATAATAATAATAATAATAGAGTAAAATAATGGAAATGTAATAACAGTGATAACAGAGTAAAATTATAAATGCAGTAACAATAAAAATAAAGTAAAATAACAAATGTAATAATAATAAAGAGTAAATAAATAATACTAATTATAAATAGAGTAACATAATAAATGTAATAAAATAATAATAAAGTAATCAAGTGGAAGGCAAAAGGAAGAGGGGCCGACCAAGGGCAAGATGGATGGATGGCATCCTTGAAGCGACTGGACTGACCTTGAAGGAGCTGGGGGTGGTGACGGCCGACAGGGAGCTCTGGCGTGGACTGGTCCATGAGGTCACGAAGAGTCGGAGACGACTGAACGAATGAACAACAACAAATATAAATATAATAATAATTAATATATTAAAATAATTCATGTAATAAAATGATACTAATAACAAAGTAAATAGTAAATAACCTTGACTAAAGTATAAGCCGAGGGGAACTTTTTCAGCCTAAAAAGGGGGCTGAAAAACTAGGCTTATACTGGAGTATATACAGTAATTTGGAGGAGACATACATTTGCCTATATATTTTAGATTCAGTGTGCTATAGTTATTATTACTATTGTTCTTTGTTTTTTGTTTTTGTTTCCCAATATTTCTCCTTTTTTCCTTCCCCCCTTCTTTTCATATATACTAACTTATGTACCTGCCATTGCCCAGCAGTACATTTTTAATGCTATTTTATAGCTTTACATTTAGAAAATTTATGCCTAGGCAAGGAGCCCCCGGTGGTGCAGTGGGTTAAAGCACTGAGCTGCTGAGCTTGTTGATCGAAAGGTCGCAGGTTCGATTCCGGGGAGCGGCGTGAGCTTCCGCTGTCAGCCCTAGCTTCTGCCAACCTAGCAGTTCAAAAACATGCAAATGTGAGTAGATCAATAGGTACCGCTTCGGCAGGAAGGTAACGGCGCTCCATGCAGTCATGCCAGCCACATGACCTTGGAGGTGTCTACGGACAACGCTGGCTCTTTGGCTTAGAAATGGAGATGAGCACCACACCCCAGAGTCAGACATGACTGGACTTAATGTCAGGGGACTACCTTTACCTTACCTTTATGCCTAGGCAAGGGCAGGTACATACATTAGTGTTTTATAAAAGTTTCAGTATTTGGCTTCTCAGCACAGATCAACTCAGTTTAATACTTTTCTCCATGCATAAAAAATATACTGCTTTGAATACAGGATTATGTAGAGAACCAAATTATTATCCAAGTTTTGCCATCTTAAGGACTGTTTTCTGCAGCTTGTTTCCAATTTTGACTGTCCCTCTGAGGCCTCCCTTAGAACATCTCCATGGCAACACTTTGGCCCTCTGAGGGGGACTATTTCCCTGCTGAGGTTCTAGCTCTCTTCCATTTGTCATCTCTCATTCTGAGGTAACATTTCTATCTATATACTGCCATCTTGTGGTTGCATCAGAGCAATACATTCATACATATTTGTCAATTAACTCTTGGATCTCGTTGTCATTTTCATCAAACCAATCTTGATGTTTCTTGGTTTGGTATCCAATAGTTTCTTCACAGGCTGTGATGATGGAGGTCTTCAGTTTGTTCCAATGCTCCTCAACATTTTTGGGGTGTTCTATGGGTAGATGGTCCTTGAGTGTTGTTTGGAGAAGGGCTCATTTGGAAGGCTCCTGAAGGGCTTGGGTGTTCATTTTGCACCTTGGCTTTCTTCCTTGGAGTCTACATTTCGGGGTGATCTTGATAGCCATTGTGGATCGGATTAGTCTGTGGTCTGTCCAGCAGTTGTCAGCACCTGTCATGGCTCTTGTGAGAAGCACGTCACAGTGGTCTCTGGCATGTGTGATTATGTAGTCTAAGAGGTACCAGTGCTTTGACTGCGGGTGCTTCCATAATGTCTTGAGCTGTCGTGTGTTGGTGATGACAAGGTTGTGTTCCGCACATTTGGTGAGAAGCAGGATGCCATTCAAGTTGCTGTTTCCAACCCCGTCTTCCTATGGTCAAAGTCTTGTCTGATTTTTGCATTAAAGTCCCCTAAGGATGATTTTGTCCTCCTTAGGTATCTCCAATAGGACAGTGTCCAGCTGACAGTAAAATCTAGTGTTGGTACATAGGCACTTATGATAGTTGCCTGTTGGTTTTTGGCAAGGTTAATTCGGAGGGTTGAGAGTCGTTCGCTGATGCCAGTGAGTGCTTTGGTCAGATGCTTCACCAGAGATAGCAAAACCAACTCTGTCCATTCTTCGTTCTTCTCCATCGTGTGCACTGCTTCTTCACCAAGGAAGGCTGGATTTTGTTCATCCCTATAGCTCTAAAATGAGGGAGAAAGGAGCCCCGGAAGCCTCATCACTTGTGCAATTTCTTAACAAAAAGTTTGTTATGTCATTAGAGTTACGATACAGACCCTTAACAATATTTTAAAGGCATTTTAGAAACAATTCACAGCCCCCTTAATTTAATAATGAGTACTGAAACATTTTTTATGTTGATCGCACAGGCCTATTTTTATATATAGACACATAAACATCTACAGTCCTTTCATGTGAGGACAGAGACAATATTTTGGACTGCAAGGTATTTACACTTGGGAATTTAACTAAATGTGTTTAACACTGTGCTAATGATCACATACAACACTTTTGCATATAGTATAACAATGCTCTTAGTCTTTATGAAGGCAGAACAGTCTGGTTGAGTTTTAAGTAATTAATAAGAACTTGTTTCACTACTATTTTATTCTTGCGTTTTGAGAGTTTAATATTTTAGAACATTTCAAGTGTTTCTTACTAAAGAATAATGTTTCAGAACTGGTTTATCCTAGACTTCATTTTACAGCTAATTTTATAATCAGTATTGGTATATTTTTTATCACAAATCTCATAGCACAACTGCCTTAATTGTTTCTTTATATAAATACTTTCTCATCAGGAAAATGAAGTACAAATGGAGAGCTCTCCAGGCAACACAAAGGAAGAGGTGAGTTTCTCCAAAATTGAGATTTCATTTGAGTAACGATGGAGAGAAAATATACAATTGAGTATGTTTACAAATAAGTAAGAAAAAGATGTTTGCTTTAAGAGTAAGTGGACAGATCCATTAATACATCAATGTGAAGTGTGAAGTGGAGTTATTCTTCTAGGTGCACCAGGAAAAATTAGTAGGTTATGCTGGTGAAGAATTAAGCATTCAGCTTCATTTAGGAAAAGAAATATATCTTTGTTCCCTACCCTGACAGGCCAGAATCTGAATAGAGTGGGAACCCTGAGCCAAAGCTTGTACATCCTAATATAGGTTGCTAAGGCTGCCAAGTCTTTACTGCAAAATTCATGTGATGGAATTATGGTTTTTAAAATCAAACTTACAATTCAATAGAAGTTTTGACTACAGGGAGTCCCCGGAGTACAAACAAGGCAAGTTATGTTGGTTTATTCTTAAATTGAATTTGTATGTAAGTTGGAATAGATATACTTTTAAAATGTAACTCTAGGCAATTTCCCCCATTTTGGATAGCACAGGGAAGGATTAACACCCTGTAACATTTGTTTTGCTGTCAGTGCCCCTATTCAGAAGATTTCACTTCATTTTCTGTCCCCGTGACAGTTGGAGTTTGAAAAATTTGGGTTGTTGTTGAAAAAATGGGTGATAAAGCTTCAGCGGAGACACCTTTTCCCCGTGATAATCCTTTTAGGAGTGAATTTCACTTCCTAGAAGTAGATTTCCTCCCATTTCCTGTTATCTCACCCCTGTTTGTAACTAGGAATTCTCTGTAAGTCAGATATTTGTAACTCGGGGACTGCCTCTACAGGCTAAGTGTCAGTTGATCCCATACAACCTCCTTTCAGGTAAAGAACCATTTCCCAGTCTTTACTATGGAACCCATCACCCAGTCCCTTGGTGTCTTAAGGGAAAGGATATAACCTATTTTTGGAAGAAATTTCCTTAGGATGCACAATTAAAAAAGAATGTGGGCAATTCTCAGAGTTAGCTCATGGGAAGCAATGTTAATTTCCCCTTCATATTTCGCCCCCTCCCTTTTCAGTTTGAAGAACTGAAACCCAGTCCACCTCTTTTTTAGCTGATTCCACTTATCATCAAAGGCATTTTGCCTTAAGGTTTCATGGTTCTGAAAAAGTACTTGCATTTGGTTTCACTTTGACCAAAGTTAACTGTTCAGCAGACTTTAATACAGTTTTCTATATCCAAAAGTATTTATTAATGTTCACATATGGCACTACTACTACAACTAAACATAAAATAAACCATTTTATCAGTTTTTAAATAATTTATTTATTATTTATTTATTTACTTTGCTTATATGCCGCTGTATCTCAAGCCCGAAGGCGACTCACAGCGGTTCACAAACAGTAGAAACAGTAGAAACAGCAGTGGTTCCATACAACATATAACAATTGACTTAACACATTATCCATAAATTACCAATAAGCAATTACAATGCACAATTATTACAAAAAACAACCGTACCCAATCTTCTCATCATCCAAGCGTAGTCCAGATTCGTCGTCCATTGTTCCATTCCTATGTTCCATTACCAGATAATACCACTAATCACCCCGCCAGCAAAGCCAGATTTCTCTAGGATGACTTCTAATAGCCTCTTTGTCTCCTGTATTATATTGACATTGATCTGTGCTGTGTATTCAGTCTCATTTCACAGTCTCTCTCACTTGTGTTTTATATATTGTATTGTATGTTGTAATTGTTAGGCATCGAATTGTGCCTTTTGTAAGCCACCCTGAGTCCCCCCTAGGGGGTTGAGAAGTGCGAGGTAGAAGCACCCCAAATAAATAAAATAATAAAAATTTACATAAATGCAATATTATTTATTTTATTATTATTATTTATTTCACAGTTTTGTATACCGAGCTTCTCAACCTCGTTGAGGGACTCAGCCCGGTTTACAGCCATAAAAACATATACATTCATTAAAATATCATATATCACAAATTACACATCAACTTTAAAATACACTAAATATAAAACTACAGTGGTCAGTCGTCCTATTAAGATGGATCTATATCCACTTCCATCCAGAGTCCTATGGTGTTGTCTCATTCCTCGAAGGCCTGACTCCACAGCCACGTCTTCACCCGTTTCCTAAATGTTAGGATGGATGGGGCGGTTCTGGCCTCCAGAGGGAGAGAGTTCCAAAGTCGCGGGGCCACCACCGAGAAGGCCCTGTCCCTCGTCCCCACCAGGCGCGCTTGCGAGGCTGGTGGGACCGAGAGCAGGGCCTCTCCAGATGATCTTAGTAATCTTGATGGTTCGTAGGGGAGAATACGTTCAGATCCTGTCAGTATATAGGTGACCTATGAAGAACAATCTGGACTTTTGGGCCCCTATTTTAGCATTACTTTTCACCTGCATTGACAACCTGGCGGCAGCCAGGTTGTTAACTGGGGCTCCTTATAGGGAGCGGTCATCCCTCCTGTTCAAGGAGCTCCACTGGCTGCCATTCATCTACCGGACCCAATTCAAGGTACAGGTTCTTACAGGTCCTTTTTAGCATGAAGAAAAATTATCCAGTTGTGGGGGGAATAGGTTTTCCATACATGTGGCTCAAAAAAATACATGGCATCTTTTTGAGCTACATGTCCATATACTCTATAGTAATGGTTCTCAGCAACATGTACCAGAACACGTATGTTTTTGAAATGTCCTTAGTTTTGAGAAAATTTTTGAGCAATGGTATTCCCCGTAGTCACCTACGGATGTGAGAGCTGGACCATAGGGAAGGCTGAGTGAAGGAAGATAGATGCTTTTGAACTGTGGTGTTGGAGGAAAGTTCTAAGAGTGCCATGGACAGCGAGAAGATCCAACCAGTCCATACTTCAGGAAATAAAGCCCAACTGCTCATTGGAGGGAAGGATATTAGAGGCAAAGATGAAGCATTTTAGCCACATAATGAGAAGACAGGAAAGCTTAGAAAAGACAATTATGCTGAGGAAATGGAAGAAAAAGGGAAGAGGGGCCGATCAAGGGCAAGATGGATAGATGGTATTCTTGAAGTGACTGGTTTGACTTGAAGGAGATGGGGGTGTTGACGACCGACAGGGAGCTCTGGCGTGGGCTAGTCCATGAGGTCACAAAGAGTTGGAAGCGACTGAACGAATGAACAACAAAAGTTTTGAGAATGTCAAACAAAAGCTTTAGATACTAGTAGATGTCTAGGGAATGTCCACATTATTAGATCACTTTCTTGCACTTGGGTGGGTATGTGCAAGTGGACATTTGTATGATCAGTTTCAGACTTTGGTGGAATGGCCCTAGTGACTAAAATTAAAGTTGTCAAGCAAAGTTCCTGACTGCAAATTAGAACAAGTTTGGGACTGGGCATCTTGAGGGAGGAACTGAAAATAAATCCCACCCACTGCTCTGTTGTTTTTGGGCATTAGCTGCTCTCAGAAAGTGGCACTCAATTTGTGATATTAAAATATACTTCATACTCTGCTTCTAGACTGATCAGCAGTAAACAGTAGATTATTATTATTATGTTTATATCATTTTAATTATATTATTATTATTATTATTATTATTATGTTTATTATTATGCTTATTTATTGTCTGCTTGTTGCCCTGTTACCATACAAATCTTCTTTGTTATAGCTTTCCTCTGATGTTAAAAATCCTTATAGATTAATTCAAAACCATATGACCAGTGTGTAGGATCAGTGCGTAGGGCGTAAGGTAGCCTTTTAGAATAAGATCTTTTGAGTTTTTAAGGTGTATGCTCTTACCACATTTCTATATTCAGAATAGGCTATGAGGCATTATGCCTTCCTACTTTCTGAGGATCTGTAAAGCTTGAGAGACCTCTAAGGAAGATTTTAAAGAGATAGAGGCACTCCTATTTAGATTGCAAACGACTTGCAGAGTTTTACATCTCAAAGTAACCTGTTTAGCAGACCAAGAAGCAATTGGATTTAGGGCATATGTTACTTTACACATGTTCCTGCTTGCATTGTGATCTCTCACACACACATATCTCAGCAAAACTGGTAGTATTTCATCTAGATTGCATCAAACTGAACTGCGTATATAAAAATCAAAAGATATATGAGTTCTTACCTACAAAGCCCTGAACGGTTTGGGACCCGCCTACCTTCGTGACCGCATCTCTGTATACGAACCCACACGATCTCTTCGTTCATCTGGAGAGGCCCTGCTCTCGATCCCACCTGCATCACAGGCGCGATTGGTGGGGATGAGAGAGAGGGCCTTTTCGGTGGTGGCCCCGCGACTCTGGAACTCACTCCCTAAGGACATCAGGCAGGCCCCAACCCTGGCAGTCTTCAGGAGGAGCTTGAAGACGTGATTGTTCCAGTGTGCCTTCCCAGAATAATGATCCCTTAGCACTTTGTCCCTCTAAAGCACTTTACATTTTTAGGTCTGCTTGTACGTCTTTCCACAAACGCCACTATCACCTTCTCGTGCATGTTCAGCACTATTTCCAATTTTAATTTTACATTTGGCCTTCCCACAGTTTTAATTTATGTTGTCTTATTGATAATGTTATATGTTTATTGTCTATGTTTTTATTTTAATTGCTTGTATTGTTGTGATTATTGCTTGTATTGTTGTGTTTGGGCTCGGCCTCATGTAAGCCGCACGAAGTCCCTTGGGGAGATGGTAGCGGGGTACAAATAAAGTGTTATTATTATTATATTATTATTATATTATTATTATTAGTTGTGTAATTTCCTAAATTTAAGAACTTGTAAAACTCTTTAAAAGTCTTTTATGAGCTTTTCAAAAAGTCATGCAGAGAGTGATGTTCTTCTAGCTAAGGAGAGGGTAAACTATATTTGACAGGCAAACAGAAGTTAAAAAGAGAATGTGATTTGAAAGGGATGAGAGGGAAAGTATTAGTGGCAGAGAGAAATGAGGTAGCACAGAGCATAAAATGCTGAAATTCCCACGTCAATGCCATAATGATTTTTTAAAAAACAATATCAACAACCAGGTTGCAATACTTCTGCATGTATTATTTCTCTTCTGTTGTTCCTTTTAATTGTGTGGATACTTGTATGGATATTATTTATGTTAACTAATAAACTGATTTTCTTTTTATATAGATAAAGCTTCCTGCTATAACACCAAAATACCCATACAGAACACCACAGCCAATTGCAACTAAGGAATTCCATGGAGGAAACCGGCTTTATTTCCCTCCAATGTTAGTAATAATATTTATTTTTTAAATCCAGATCTGTTGAATGTACAGAGTCATTCCTTTCTTTAATGTAAATGCATTCATAATGACACTCTGAGTGAATCCACAAAATTTACTAACCCTTTAATTTTTTGAAAAAAATGCTACTGGATATAAGTAACTAGCTACCCCCCTGCCATGCGTTGCTGTGGCCCAGTCTGGTTATCTGGAATATAAAGTAATGAGAAAGTGTTGGTTTCTAATATATGTAATTTCTTTATGCTTCTGGGTAAACAATATTTCTTGCTGTTTCTTTGTCAGTGTTGATGTGGAGATTGTCTAGTTTGCCTACTCTGGAACATGCAACACATAATTGTCCTTCTTTAGGGGTCCCTTTCAAATCTATGATGCTATATTTCTCTGTGTGTGAATCATATTTATCTATCTATATCTATCTATGACTGGATGGCTCTTTGTCAGGAGGGCTTTGATTACGTTTTCTTGCCCTGGTAAAGGGAGTTGGACTGGGTGGCCTTGAGTATTTTCTAATGGTCATGGGAGTTCTGTGTGGGAAGTTTGCCCCAATTCTGTCATTGGTGGGGTTCTGATTGTAGGTGAACTATAAATCCCAGTAACTAGAACTCGCAAATCTCAAGGTTTATTTCCCCGAAACTCCATCTGTGCTCATATTTGGGCATATTAAGTATTCATGCCAAATTTGGTCCAGATCCATCATTGTTTGAGTCCACAGTGCTCTCTAGATGGAGGTGAACTACAACTCCCAAACTCAAGGTCAATGCCCACCAAACCCTTCTAGTGTTTTCCGTTGGTCAGGGGAGTCCTGTGTGCCAAGTTTGGTTCAATTCCATCGTTGGTGGAGTTCAGAATGCTCTTTGATTATAGGTGAACTATAAATCCCAACAACTACAACTTCCAAATGTTTTGAGTGATGGTCACTCCTTGTGTTGTGAGACATTTTCTTGCCAAATTTGGTGTGATTTCGTTCATTGGTTCTTTTGTTTTTAAGGTACTCATTACGCACAGAGCATTTTTATATATATAGATATTTACAATTTTTAATGAAAACTTTGCTGAATATATTATTCATTTATATTTGTACATTAAATTGATGAAAGATGAAATATTTTATGATAATAAAATAAAAAGATGAATTTAAATCTTAATTCTGTTTTAATGTTTTTTTGTGTGTAAGGCCTATTCACAAAAAAAATGAACCTGTTAACTTCAGCAAACTGATAAGCAGCGGTTACCGGGATGACTGGCTTCAGCAGCGTGAAGAATGGGAAAAAAAGAATTATCAGCCTAATGGTAAAGTTATATTTCTCCTTTTAAAACCCAAATCTTCTACTTATTTAAAAGAAGCAACAAGAATAGTTTTATGCGACTTTCTCTTAAAACCATGACATTTCCTGCTACATTATCTCTGGAAACTGAACCCCAGTATATTTTCTCTAGGGTTTTGTTTCTTTTTTAACAAGTTCGAGTAAAGAGAACATACTGTGTTTCACTGCGTAATAGTCACTCTTTCCCCTCCTTTGGAGGTGATGCGACTATTATGTGGGGATTGTTTTTGCAACTATGCTTCCCTCTGTAGCTGCAAAGCCACCCTCATGCCTGTCAGTGATAGTTAAAAGGCCTCACTTGGCTGCCCACAGCTCTGACCAGCAGATGCTGATAAAGGCCTTATAGCTCTCTCTGGCATGTGTGCGGGTGAAGGCTCACCCATTTGTATGCCTGCCTGCCAGAGCTCCACGACCTGCCTCAGCTGGTGGCAGCCCAGTGAGGTCTCTTAGCTCTCCTCAGCTTTCACTTATCTCTACACGTGCTCCTCAGAGCTACGGGGACTTCCATAGGTGCAGGCACATGGTCAGGGAATGTGACTATTTAGCAAGGAATCAGAATCATAGAATCATAGAGTTGGAAGAGACCTCATGGGCCATCCAGTCCAACCCCCTGCCAAGAAGCAGGAATATTGCATTCAAAGCACCCCTGACAGATGGCCATCCAGCCTCTGTTTAAAAGCTTCCAAAGAAGGAGCGTCCACCACACTCCAGTGCAGAGAGTTCCACTGCTGAACATACCCAGGCCCAAAATGAGGGGATACTCTGAATTCTGGGCCTCTTATTATTATTACTGTTTAACAAGAGTCAAGTCCATGTTAAAGTGGTCTTCACCCGTACTATCCTGGATTAGCTCCATGTGGCATTTGGCCACCATGGAGCTGATCCAGGGTCCCTTTGAAATGGCTCAGTGTAGATGTGAGAACAAACACAAAACAATCTATGTGTAATATCAAAGTGTAATATCAAAAGAGCATATAGTATGCAATTTACCAAAATCCCCAGTACATAGCTCAATTCAGTGGCACAAAGCAAAATCAAAGTGATTTGGATTTTATCCATGAAGATTTTTTTGAGAGTGGTGCTCCATCTTCATTATTGTCTTCAGTCTACATATAGCCTCACGATTCAATGCTTACTTTGTTTATATAATTTTTCTCATTTAATGTATCCCTGAAGCCTATATACAGTGGAACCCTTATTCAGACCTAGAACTGTTACGTTTGAGAGCAGTTGTTCCTTTTGATTTTGCTTTGTGCCCCATTCATCACACTCTCAGTCTTCTCTTCTTCAGGCTAAACATGCCCAGCTCTTTAAGCTGCCCCTCATAGGGTCTGGAGAACAGGCCTATGAGGAGCGGCTTAAGGAGCTGGGCATGTTTAGCCTGAAGAAGAGAAGGCTGAGAGGAGATGTGATAGCCATGTATAAATATGTGACAGGAAGCCACAGGGAGGAGGGAGCAAGCTTGTTTTCTGCTTCCTTGGAAACTAGGACGCGGAACAATGGCTTCAAACTACAAGAGAGGAGATTCCATCTGAACATGAGGAAGAACTTCCTGACTGTGAGAGCCGTTCAGCAGTGGAACTCTCTGCCCCGGAGTGTGGTGGAGGCTCTTTCTTTGGAAACTTTTAAACAGATGCTGGATGGCCATCTGTCAGGGGTGATTTGAATACAATATTCCTGCTTCTTGGCAAAATGGGATTGGACTGGATGGCCCATGAGGTCTCTTCCAACTCTTTGATTCTATGATTCTATGATCTCTAGTCTAGCAGCATGGCAGTATACACAACACATCATAATTGATATTTGCCACTGATTCTTATAGTGCATACCTCATGTACATGTATTTTAATGTGTGGTATAATATCACTCCTTTTGGATGATAGTTTGTTAGAAATGTCAATTGGCAGTCCAATATTCTGGGCTTTTAAAAAATTATTTCTACAAAGGTTTATTATTTGTAATAAAAGCATATTCCCTAGGCTTTGATTGCCTCATATTTTTCTTAAAGTACTTTACAAGATCATGAAATTTATATAATTTGATTTTTTTACATGAAGGTGGGGAAGTTGTGGCCTTTTGAATATTATTGTATTTCAGTTCCCATTATTCCTGATCATGCTGACTAGAGTCAATGGGAAGTGGAATCTAGTAAATTCATATTGAGTGAGTAAATACTTCTTTATTGTTTGTTGCAGATTCGCTTCTTCCTCCAAGTGAGTACAACAAGAAAATAGAAAAGAACCAGAAAGCTAGAAAAAATACATTGTCATACAAAAGAAAACCTAAATCGCAGTCTGGACTTCAGATAGGCGCTCAGCCTAAGAAGCCAGTTTTCCACTTCAGGTTGCCTCTTAAGTCCCATCCTAACACACAATCCTACCTTAATAGAAACCATTTCTTTAACTGAGATTTTTTTAAATGCATATTTTAAAAATCTAAGCTTTATTCCAAATCTTTCTTTTAGTTGTGTATTATTATAACAAAAACCTGTTGATATGTTTACGTTATGCTTTCCCCCCCAATGCATTCATTGTGATCCAGAGGTAGAGATCTCCATATGTATACAGTCACAACTTGCACTGGAGGAGCTACATTCCCAAATAGAACATTTTAATCAAAACTGTGAATAATCAAATCTAGAAAAAGTCAGACCCACAAATGCATTTTTCTAATAAGTTCCTTAGCAAGGGAGAATAGAGTGGAACTATTACATCTTTCAATCTAGAAACTACATGCTTATTGTTGCAAGCCTAGAATCGAATTGGCTTTTTAGCTGCCGCAGATATTGTTGACTCATGTTCAGTTTGTGGCCTACTAAGACTCCAATCCAATTGTCACCCATTCTATATCTATTTATTTCATTTGTTTTTCCTAAGTGTCGTACCATACATTTCTCCCTGTTGAAATTCATGTTGTTAGTTTGGGTCCACCTCTCTAATCTGTTACGGTCATTTTGGATTCTGATTCTGTCCTTTGAGGTATTAAACTATCCCTCCCAATTTGGTGTCATCTGTAAATTTGATAAACACATTGGGAAGGTCTGTGAGCAAGAAGGTAAGATTTGCTGTATGTGGAACAAACCCAGTGTCTCCCAAATAATCTACGAGGGGTATTTTTTAAGTAAGGTCCGTTCAAACATAAGTACACAACGAAAGTTTATTTCAAAAAAGTAAATTTATTTTCAGAAAGTACATACTTCACTCTATTTTTCGACATAGTTGCCAAGTTTGTTCAAACACTTATCATACCTCTGAATCAATTTTAAAATACCCTCTTCATAAAAACTTGCCGCCACCAAAAGCCATCAAATTGTCTGTAATCAAAGAAGGGCAGCCATCTTTGAATTGTCGTACCCACTTACGCACTTTGCTTTCAGTCATAACAGTATCACCGTACACTTCACAAATCTGTGGATGAATTTCTGCAGCAGGCAGGTTCCTTGCAGACAAAAACCGTATCACTGAGCGAACCTCACATGCGGAGGGTGAGCTGATAGTCTTAAACATTTTTAAAGCACAGAACAGAACCGTACAGGTTAGCTACAGAGCGGAAACTGAGCACAGTTGTTCCTGAGGCACGCCGGTACACGACGCTCGCGCACGTTGCAGTATGAATCAGTACGAATCAGTTTTTGGTCAACTTCAGATTTGGTTTGGGGTACTGATTCAGAAAATTGCATTGGATAGACCATATCAGCTCTAGTTTCTGATATAGAACATATGCCATGGTCAACAATAGGGAAGGAGTGACAGGCAGCATAAAAGGAGTGGAAATTAAATAAATAAAGAGGAAGGAGACTCGCAGACCAGATTTTCATCCTCACAGCCCACAGGTTAAGAACCACTGTTCTACGATGTTTATGAACCCTTAGTATTGAAAAGGAAGCATTCAGTTTCTATTCCAAATATGTATGCATCTTTAATTTTTTCTGCCAGTCCTACTGTTGATAGACCATCTTAACCCTAAAGTTAGAAAGCTCTGGATTAATTTCAAATAAACACTACACATGCATTTCTCTTTTCCACCTATCCTGGATAGTTTCCTCTGTTAAAGTACACACATCCATATTTATCACCTGTGATTGAGTGAGAATGTCATTTTTGTCTTTTCTGTTGCAGATTCAGAGCCATCCCAGCCAGAATCGACACAAACAGACAATGAGACTTCATAGAATTGCTACATATTCTATTGCTATTTCAAAATAGCACAGCATGCAACACATCTTAAGAAGCAAGCTTCAATAGTTCAATTTTGATATGTTATATTATGCAATTCCTTACATGATATTTAAAGAATAGGGCACAGTCACCCCTGTTTGTTCAGTAAGTTTGCAACTGGCATGAATTTGGCCCAGTAATTGGTTCCAGCAAGCCTTTGATGTCTAGATGCTTGTATCTGTTGTCATAGTCTTTTGCTGGTATTTTACAATTCTCACTCTTCTAATGCCGTTTATCACCAACTCCTGGCTAGATTTCATAACAGCCTAGTGTTTTAAAGCAATTTCAGATGGGTTAGACTTGTAATATCCCTGAAGCCAGAGGGCCCAGCTAATACAGGGAATTTCAATGCTAACCCTTATTTTTGTATTTCCAAGTCTTGAATGGGTAAGTAAAAGCATTCTAGTAATGTTATATTGAATTTCAAATATATCTTGCAGAATGTTGGATTGTATTGATAATTTTCAACATTCTTATTTTCTTCTATTTATAACTCACACCATATAAGCTTACTTTCTACTTGAATAAACATGATTAGAAAAGAGGAAATTGTCTCTTAATTTTTAAGAGTTTTGGGGCATTGCAATTAATACAACATTTAATCACAGTTTAGCTTTCTTTTAAAAGGAGGAGGCTATCAAACAAGATGGTTAAACAGAGACTATATGGGTTGTTGTAGGTTTTCCGGGCTATATGGCCATGTTCTAGAGGCATTTTCCCCTGACGTTTCGCCTGCATCTATGGCAAGCATCCTCAGAGGTAGTGAGGTCTGCTGGAAGTAGGAAAATGGTTTACATATCTGTGGAAAGACCAGGGTGAGACAAAGGACTTTTGTCTGCTGGAGCTAGGTGTGAATGTTTCAACTGACCACCTTGATTAGCATTTAATGGCTTGGAAGTGCCTGGGGAATCTTTTGTTGAGAGGTGATTTGATGTGCCTGATTGTTTACTCTCTGTTGTTTTGCTGTTGTAATTTTTGAGTTTTTTAATACTGGTAGCCAGATTTTGTTCATTTTCATGGTTTCTTCCTTTCTGTTGAAATTGTCCACATGCTTGTGGATTTCAATGGCTTTTCTGTGTAGCCTGACATGGTGGTTGTGAGAGTGGTCCAGCATTTCTGTGTTCTCAAATAATATGCTGTGTCCAGTTTGGTTCATCAGGTGCTCTGCTATGGCTGACTTCTCTGGTTGGAGTAGTCTGCAGTTCCTTTCATGTTCCTTGATTCGTGTAAGGAATCCACCCCACTCAGGACAATTTCAACAGAAAGGAAGAAACCATGAAAATGAACAAAATCTGGCTACCAGTATTAAAAAACTCAAAAATTACAACACCAAAACAACAGAGAGTAAACAATCAGGCACATCAAATCACCTCTCAAAGAAATATTCCCCCAGGCACTTCCAAGCCACTAAATGCTAATCAAAGTGATCAGTTGAAACATTCACACCTAGCTCCAGCAGACAAAAGTCCTTTGTCCCACCCTGGCCTTTCCACAGATATATAAACCCATTTTCCTACTTCCAGCAGACCTCACTACCTCTGAGGATGCTTGCCATAGATGCAGGCGAAACGTCAGGAGAAAATGCCTCTAGAACATGGCCATATAGCCCGGAAAACCTACAACAACCCAGTGATTCCGGCCATGAAAGCCTTCAGCAATACAGGGACTAGATGGCCATCAATTGGAAGTGAATTGATCGTGTATTTCTGCTCAACAGAGATTTGGATCGTATAGTCCTTGTGGTTGCTTCCAACTCTTTGCTTCTGTGATTTCTTTGTTATAATTTACCTTTCCTTTATTATTTTTGCACGGAGAAGCGGAAGATTTAAAGTTCTACCAGTTATTTTCTAAGCCAGTGGTTCTCAACCTGTGGCTCCCCAGGTGGTTTTGGCTTACAACTCCCAGAAATCCCTGCCAATTTGCCAGCTGTTAGGATTTCTGGGAACTGAAGCCCAAAACATTTTGGGACACTGAGGTTGAGAACCAGGTTAAGCAATGAAACCTGGGAATTTGTTCACTAAGTTTTAGAAAGCCTGGAGAAAAAAGAGGTGAGGGAAGATCAGTAAACACAAGCAGTTAGTATATTTATTTATCATGTCAGTATCAACCAGACATTTGTATTACGTTTTTAACAAAACAAACAAACAAACAAAACACAAAGTTTGCAAGCTTGGTAGTTGATTAAATGTCCTTTGGCCAGTAGCTGGCCACTTGGAGTGCTTCTGGTGTTGCCGCAAAAAGGTCCTCCATTGTGCATGTGGCGGGGCTCAGGTTGCATTGCAGCAGGTGGTCTGTGGTTTGCTCTTCTCCACACTTGCATGTCATGGATTCCACTTTGTAGCCCCAATTCTTGAGGTTGGCTCTGCATCTTGTGGTGCCAGAGCACAGTCTGTTCAGCGCCTTCCAAGTTGCCCAGTTTTCTGTGTGCCCAGGGGGGAGTCTCTCATTTGGTATCAGCTATTAATTGAAGTTCTGGGTTTGAGCCTGCCACTTTTGGACTCTCGCTTGCTGAGGTGTTCCAGCGAGTGTCTCTGTAGATCTTAGAAAACTATTTCTTGATTTAAGTTGTTGACATGCTGGCTGATACCCAGAGGCGGCCCTAGGTAATTTTCAATGGTAAGCAAACAGTATTTTGCCCCCCCCCCCCCCAACCAATCATGGATATATATTTTCTGTTCGTCGTGGGAGTTCTGTGGCCATATTTGGTTCAATTCCATCATTGGTGGAGTTCAGAATGCTCTTTGATTGTAGGTGTACTATACTTCCCAGTAACTACAATTCGCATATGTCAAGGTCTATTTTCCCCCAAGAGCGCCTCAAGAGCGCCCCAGGGCAAAATCAACTATACTGCAAATGCTTACTTTGCATAATGGGTTGAGCCGCCCCTGCTGATACCCAAACAAGGGATGAACTGGAGATGTCTCTACCTTGGTCCTTTCACTATTGGCTGCTACTTCCCAGCGGAAGTCAGGTGGTGCAATACTGGCTAAACAGTAATTTCTCCAGTGGTGTAGGGCGCAGACACCCCGTGATAATGCGGCATGTCTCATTAAGAGCCACATCCACTGTTTTAGCGTGGTGAGATGTGTTCCACACTGGGCATACATACTCAGCAGCAGAGTAGCAAAGCGCAAGGGCAGATGTCTTCACTGTGTCTGGTTGTGATCCCCAGGTTGTGCCAGTCAGCTTTCGTATGATATTGTTTCTAGCACCCACCTTTTGCTTGATATTCAGGCAGTGCTTCTTGTAGGTGAGAGCACGGTCCAGAGTGACTCCTAGGTATTTGGGTGCGCTGCAATGCTCCAGTGGGATTCCTTCCCAGGTGATCCTCAGAGCTCGAGATGCTTGTCTGTTCTTAAGGTGAAAAGCATATGTCTGTGTTTTAGATGGATTAGGGATCAGCTAGTTTTCCCTGTAATAGGCAGTGAGAGCACCTAGAGGTTCGGAGAGCTTCTGTTCAACCATCTCAAAGCTCCCTGCTTGAGCAGTAATGGCACGATCATCAGCATAGATTAAGCTCTCTGTCCCTTCTGGCAGTGGCTGGTCATTTGTGTAAATGTTGAACATTGATGGAGCAAGCATGCTCCCCTGAGGCAGGCCGTTCTTCTGTTTCCGCCATTTGCTTCTCTGGCCCTGGAACTCAACAAAGAAGCTCCTGTTTTGTAGCAGGTTTCCAATGAGGCAGGTGAGGTGGTAGTCCTTTATGATATTATACATTTTGCTCAGGAGGAGGTGATGGTTCACAATATCATAAGCTGCTGAAAGGTCTATGAAGACAGCTCCTTTCCAGTTAGTGAAAGCACACTTACCATATATTCCGGCATATAAGATGACTGGGCGTATAAGATGACCCCCAACTTTTCCAGTTAAAATATAGAGTTTGGTGTATACTCGCCATATAAGACTACCCCTCTTCCAACACACACCAAATAAAAATTTTAAAAGCGTCAGATTTGATTTCAATATAGTATTTTTCCTATTACTGTACCTCCTTCTCTGCCTCTCAGATCTTGCACATGCGCACCTGCACCACTTCACTGGAGTCTTCAGGAGTGAGATCTGAGAGGCAGAGGAGGAGGTACATTAATTGGATACAAGGGCGGGCCAGACAGGTAAGAGAGTTGTGTTTTTCTGGGCCCAGAGCCACTCTTATCTCTTTTTTCCATACCCCGGGCGCCTGCAGCTTGCTTAGCCCTTCACTTACACCTTCCTGGTGAGACACCCCTTTACCTCACCATTGGGACCACATTAAGTCCACAAATCCTGATCCTCAGAGCTCGGGATGCTTGTCTGTTCTTAAGGTGAAAAGCACATGTCTGTGTTTTAGATGGGTTAGGGATCAGCTGGTTTTCCCTGTAATAGGCAGTAAGAGCACCTAGAGCTTCGGAGATCTTCTGTTCAACCATCTCAAAGCTCCCTGCTTGAGCGGTAATTGGACTTGACTGAATACACTTAGCGCAACAAACAACAGTGCTGGTTCCACAACAGAAGCAGCCCAGCTGTTCAACCCTCACCCCTGAAATACGAGGGCGTTTTGGGGTTTCAGGGCAATGACAGCATTATTTGCAGTCCTTCCTAGATTCATGTACAAGAGCAAATTCCTCCCACCTGTTTTTGCCTCATGAGAGTGCAAATTCTAAAATCGCATGCTACTAAGAGCACCAGGGAGTGGTATGAAGTTGCAGTTTTAACTATGAAGGAGATAGGATGAAAGGGAATTGGAATTCATTTTTAGTTCAAATTGAATGCACGACTGAGAATACGGATACTTTTTATTACACTCTTTAGGCAAAACGATTATACAAAAAGGATCTTCATCAACCATTAAAGTAAAACTTGTTAAGAATCAAGCCAACGAGAGCTCTAGAGAGTTTCCTTTTATCATAGCAATAGTCTCCCTTAGGCATTTGGGTTGAGGCTTAGCCTGTGTTTTGAGACTCTTTAATTTGAGGGATTTTAGAGCTCCAAAAAAGAATTCGCTTCAGGGTCAAACTTGGCCTAGTCTACAAAGTGTCGCTAATAGAACAAGTAGAATAGAATTTTCTGTAGGCCTATCTACTTAAATGTGAAAAATGGTGAATAGCAAAAAAAAAAAAAAAAAAGTATTTATACAGGTTATAATACAGATTGAGTTCCCCTTATCCTGGAATATGAAATAGTTCAAAAACTGAAACATCAGCTGAAAATAAGCAGATCTTCCAGGTACATAGGTCCTTGTTTTCCACCCAGCCAATGGCTACGTGGGGCAAGGTTGCCCTGAACACAGCTGCAAGGAAAAGCATGGAGTGTTGTTGTTGTTATGTTTTTTTTGTTGTGTCAAGAGTGACTTGCGAAACTGCAAGTCGCTTCTGATGTGAGAGAATTGGCCGTCTGCAAGGACATTGCCCAGGGGATGCCTGGATGTTTTGATGTGTTACCATCCTTGTGGGAGGCTTCTCTCATGTCCCCGCATGAGGAGCTGGAGCTGTTAGAGGGAGCTCATCCGCACTCTCCCCGTATTCGAACCTGCAATCTGTCAGTCTTCAGTCCTACTGGCACAGGAGTGATCT